AAAATATAGATAATAGTCAAAAGAATAGTAAGTCTAAAAATTACTAATATTACTTTTTACAAAATAAGCTTCTATTTACTTTATAGGGCCATAAATAAGACAAAATAAAGTAATTAAATAATATAGGCATATGTAGGAGGAAGTTGAGAGTAGATTTTAGCAAATTTATTTCAAGAAGCCAAGAATTGATATCCAAAGAGGACCATTTGTCAACCTCGATTGAAATCAGATCCCAAGGTACAAAACTACACATCTATGACAACTTTGAGATTCTTTTGGAGATCAAAGAATAAAATTTGATAGTAGACTTGATAAGGTTTCTATGAACATTGATTTTATATAATTTGGATTTGTAATGACTTTGTAAGAGCCTTATAAAGTCAAGATTGTTTTGGATGATTCAAGTTTTTGTAAAATAAAAGAGGGTTGACGTTTTGGACAATTTCAAGAATTTTGTAGTAGATCTATAAGTGAAATTTTTTTGGATCAATGTTTATAGTTGTGTTTAATATGTTTTGAGAATTTTAGCTTTTTCTAATAATTGAATTTAAGGTTATTGAGATTTAAGTAGGTCAAGGTCTTAGAAAGTAGAATTTTAGATCTAGTGAGGATTTCTAAGATTTCTTACAATCTACTAATTGGATTGGAATAAAAGTTATGTATGTAGATAGTAGACTTATTTATTTACATATATGAGAAATTTCAGATCAATTTAATAGTGCAAAAGAGAGATATTAGCACTGGAAGATCAACATTAAGGTTAGAAAAGGACGCTAGCCAATATCTGAACAAATTTTAGGATTTTTCTTCTATTTAATAAGTGCAACTATTCTCAAATTTGTTGTATTTGTTTGTAACTAAGAGATTGAAAGACATATAAAAATTTAAACAAAATCAAAGGGTTTAATCAAAAGATATCGAGGTTCTAACTATCTTAAGGTTTGATTTAGAGTTTAGGATTTGGTTACAGTTTGGTTTAGGATTTAGGATTTGATTAGGATTTGATTTAGAGTTTAAGGTTTGATTAGGATTTATTTAGGATTTAAGATTTGTATAGGATTTAGTTTAGGATTTAAGATTTGGTTAGAATTTTTCTAGGATTTGGTTTAGAGTTAAAGATTAGATTAGGATTTAATTAGGGTTTGATTTAGGATTTAAAATTTGATTAAGGTTTTATTTAGGGTTTAAGATTTATTTAGGATTTGATTGAAGTCTATTAAGATTTTAACTAGGATTAAATTAGAACTTAGTTGAGATTTATTTAAGATATATTGTGATTATTTTAATATTTTTTAGTATTTTTTAAGGATTCTTTTAAGGTTTATTGTGGATTATCTTTTAATTCCTTTAAGATTTATTATTGTTTCTTTTGAAATTACTTAAGGTTTATTTTTTAATATAATTAAAGCTTCTTTATTATTATTAAGATTTGATTAGAGTTTATTAAGTATTCTATTAGAATTAAGAGTTTGTTATTACGATTTCCATTCTACCTTCTACAACCACGTACTCAGTGTTCTCTCAAGCAATACTTCACGTATTTAGACACCATTTAAGCATGTCTTTATCAAGATTTGATTTCAATATCACTTATCGACCTCAAAAACAAAAAGTTTTGTCAAATGCTCTTTCTAGACATTCTTATCTTGTACCATAAGAAAAAGATGTAGTTTTTCATCAATAAAGAATGATTTTTTTGAAGCTGGAGCATTTTCATCTTCAAGGAATAAAATTAACATTGATTGTTGACTCAATCTTTGTTAAGTAAATTCAATTAATTATATCCTTTAATTCTCTTATATATGATATCAAAAATACTTCTTCTAAATCTTATGATACTTCTAAGTTTGAATTCAAAAACAACCTACTCTATTTCAAAGGCCATCTATACGTTTCAAAAGGAGAAGTATATTTACATGTTCTTCAAGCTTGTTATGACTTTTGAGTGCATAACATTTTGAATACAATAAGACTTTAGAGTTTATATCCAAAGGTTTTTGTTGGCTAAAAATGTAGAAGGCTATAAAAGACTTTGTGTAGTCATATTACATTTGTTTAAGATCAAAAACTATTTATTATTGATCCTATAGACTTCTTCAACCATTGCCTATATCAAAACAATTATGGTCTTCTATTTCTATGGATTTTATTAGGGATCTTTCAAGTTAAAGTTTATATGATTCTATATTTGTGATTGTAGATTGCTTCACCAAAATGGCATATTTTATACTATATACAAAATCTATTACATATGAAGAAACATCTAAGTTTTTCCTTAACAACATTTATATCTATTATGAATTGTCAAAAGTTATTATATCAAATAGAGCAATATAATTTACATCAAGATTTTACAAAATTCTTTTTAAAATATTGAAGGTGGATATAAAACTATCTTTGGCCTTTCATCCTCAAACTAATAGACAAATAAAATAAGTGAATCAAGTTTTGAAGTAGTATTTGAGGTGTACTATCAACTATCATTAAGATGATTGAATAATTCTTTTATTTTTGATAGAGTTTGTATATAATAATTTAGTATATTTTTCTATTCAAAAAACACATTTTTTTGCTAATTATGGTTATCATCTATAACTTGATACTTTTGACTTTTCAAAAGTTGATAATCCTATAACAAAAAATTTGACAAATTATTTGTCAAAGCTACATGTAATAATGAAGGCATAGTTAAAGGAAGTTTATGAATAACAAAAGATCAATACAAATGCCTATTGCAAGAAACAACCATAATTTAATGTAGGTAATAAAGTATGGTTACTACATCATAATATCAAGACTACTTGTTCTTGTAGCAAGTTGGACTATAGTAGGCTTGGACCTTTTTCTATTACTCAACAAGTCAATCTTCTTGCTTATCAATTACATCTATTAGAATCTATGAAGATCTATCCTATATTATAAGTCTATCTTCTTGAGCCATATAAGATAGTGAATATCTTGGAAAGAAGACAAATGCCACCTCTTCTTATAGAAGTAGATAATAATCAAGAGTTTGAAGTAGAAGAAATTGTAGATTCAAGGAAGTACCAAAATAAGTTGGAATATCTTGTTTATTGGCACAAATATGATATTAATGAATGCACATAGAAGCCAACAAATAATCTTATAAATTTTGTAAAAACAATTGAGGTTTTTTATTGTCAACTTCTATCAAAATCAAGATAAAGAATAGCAAGATCTATGAAAGATGATGATCATTCTTCATAGAATTCATCTCTAGAAGGGACATAATGTCACAAACATACATGTTTATTCTAATAGTTATCTATATGATTAGATAGAAGTAAATAAATATAAATTAATTTCATAATATTTTCTAAAAAAGCTTCTTAAAAGCTTCATAGATGCAATTTTGACTTTATATGTGTTTGTAGTTGATTGATAGATTACAAAACTTAGTCAACAAGTCAACGACATGCCACATGTGTTGATAGTTTGTGAAACAAGCTAACTATGTGGCGCACATATAAAAAACTTGCCTTACAAATTAAGACATATGTCTAGCAAAGTCAACACATATTAGAAGTCCTATAGAACATCGCCATGTAGCTTTTAATTAGATAGTATATATTGAGGCAAGAATAAAGCCTTCTTTATTCTTGTCAATGCCTTTTTAGTCCTTATTCTTGTTTCAAGACTTTTTAGTCTCCTTATCTTTGGCAATAGCCATTTTAGTTTAATATTATATCATCTTTGAGTGATTATCTAGTTTTTTTGAGTGATACAAGAGTATATTGATCTTTTAGTTCTTTGAGGTTTATGTCCTTAATACCAATTTGGAATTACATTTGACTATATAAATACATTCTTTACATGGAAAGGTTTGTTTTTCAGCACATATTCTTATTGTTACTTTATTCTTTCTACTTTCTTTACTTTTGAATCCTACATCTTCAATTTCATTAGAAAATTCAAAAAGAGAGCAAGTTTGTTTATTTTTAATTTTATTAGATTTTTCTTTTGGATCTCTTATTTAATATAAGGCTTTTCAATGATGCCATTGTATTTTTCCAAGCTTAGATTGATTTTGTATTCAAATACATTAGCTTGTTAAAATAATATACTATTATAGATGAAAGCTTGTTATACCATTTTAATTAACTTAAATACATATGACTTTTAGTATACATGATTCTAGAACTTAACATTTAACAAATAGTTGTAATCTTTAAAACTTACACATTAAACAAAGATAGTATATTATAACAAAGCAATAAATGATTGTGACTAATAGACATCCACAAAGAATGTCACCAATAATTTAAAGAATTTAAAGAGTTTAATGAACAAGATTGTAATATATTTTGATAAATTAGAAAAGAACACAAATGAATTGTATTTTTTTGCAACTAAATTTATTTCATTTAAGTCAAGGAATTTTAAAAATCTAATGTGATGCAATGTCCAATAATTTTAAAAATCAATTATTGGACACAAATCAATTCACAGTTTCTCCCTGTTTCAAATCCCAAGGCTTCTGGTTGAAATGGAACCCAGGTTGTGACAGAAGTTCTTGAGTCTCTTGTCTACAGAACCAGTGTTTCTACCAGATAGGAGTCCTCATGCGTCTGCACTGTTTGGTCCCTGAAACGGCGTCTATAAAAACGCTTTGCTGACACACAGTAACCACCTCACAGTTCAAATGGGAATGACCCACAACAAATACTTGGACGTTAGTTCATAGGTATCAGACCCATCTAAGGGACGCACTGTTGAACCATGTCAACGACCTCTTTTAGAATGCGCCGCTTCATCCCTCTACGATTACCTTGCCCTGCTTTGAACCACGCAATGGAACAGAGCACTTGTTGGTTAAATACAAGTAATCTGAGGAACACGCTGAACAGATTGCAACATCGTGAAATTTTAGCACGATTCTTACACTCAGAACGCTGTCAAATAGATTGGACTGGTTCATTCAGACGATCAAAGGACATGTTGCAGCAGAAGGATTTGAGGGTGTAATCAGGTGGTCAAAGATGGCTGGAGACCCGGAGGATATTGGATTCGCAGGAGTAGTAGGGATCTGTAGCGAGGCCGTGAAAATTTTGCGATCATACACACGCCACTTTCTCTCCATGGCTGGAACCTTGGTGCTTCCATTGGGCGTCGTTTTGTTATCCCAGAGCTTTGTATCTGATCCCTTGCTCCGCAAACTAACCCAAATGGGACGGAATAATCAACGCCTTGATGCTGAGTTTGTGGGGCTCTACCTGATTGCAGTTCTCTACCTAGTTTTCGTTCTCGCCTTGTCACTGTTCGCAACGGCAGCCATAGTGTACAGCGTTGCGTGTATCTACACGGGTAAGGGGTTATCCTACATGAAGGTGATCAGGGTGGTACCCAACGTTTGGAGCCGGCTCATTCACACTTTCCTGTGGGCTCACATCTTGTTGTCCTTTTATTACGCCGCATTTGTGGCACTGCTACTTGCGCTATTCCTCATTCAAGAATCCACTCAGGTGAGCATGACGATGATCATGATTCCCTCCATTATTGTCTTCAACGTGTTCCTGGTCCATTTCAACCTGGTGTGGCATCTGGCAAGCGTGGTCTCGGTCCTCGAGGATACCAAAGGCGTCTGCGCCATGAAGAGGAGCAACGCCCTCATCGCAGGAAAGAGGTTGGCTGGATTCTACTTATTCGTCATATACGCCAGTTGCATCTTATTTATGCTAGGCTTGTTCAGCGGAGGGCTGGCAAAGCAGAATACATCGGGACGAGTTTTCTTGACAATCACTCTGTTGGTCGTGTGGACGACGGTAACATTACTGGCCATTGTGATCCAAAGCATCTTCTACTTCGTTTGCAAGTCATATCATCAAGAAAGAATTGATCGGTCAGCATTGGCACAAAAATTGGATGGATACTTGGGGGATTACACTCCCCTCAGTGATCCTGTTTCAGCAGGTGCTCCGAATGGTGAACTAGAACAAATTTGAAGTTGAAAAATAAGCAAAAATCCCAAAGACCTAGTCCACCTAATGACTAAAACTGATTGAAGTAAACCAACCAGAAACCCGGTTGACGAGTCTGAAATAGAACCAGATAGCGCAGGTGAGGTCCTTCATACTCTTTACAAGGATACAACCATCTCACAATCAGGGACGTGCATCCCGAATGCAGTGGAAGGATCTGCTTTGCTTAGACTAATTATGTGTAGACAGATCTAAAACAAAAAGAACTATCTTACTGGACGAAATTCTACAAGGTTGAAGGAAGAGCATTTGCTTGACGTAGACATTATCAAAGAGCACTGCGATAACCTCGAAGAGCACTTTCCTTACAGCTTATGACGTTGATAAACAACCACTAGAAAAATGAGCTCTTATCGAGTACCAAGCTATTTACGTTGCCGAAGGTCGTTGGATTAATTACACCCTCACGGACATCAAATTTAACATTCAAAACTGATGGTAGGTAGACACAAAATAGAAGCTCCACTCGCAGTCATAAAACTAGAATTAATTTAAACTTTCCGTATCTAAATAAACATGATGACCAATGCTTTGCTAATATCATACCCATTTATAATCGTAACATTTAGCATGTAATTTCTCCATTCTAAATACACGTACTTAATCAAAACTTCATTCATGAAATGGTGGTTTCCGCAGCTGCTCGGAATCCGACAAGGCCTTTCATGAGATTTCCATCATCTATCTCCAAACCGATTACCATATAACCAAACGTATCCAGTAAGATGACCACAAATCCTAACACGGAATGAGCGTAATTAGACAGGTCGTCTGAAGCTTCGACCTTGAGCAATTTTCTTCTGCTTCTCAATTTCCAACTTCGTTTTATCCAATTGCTAAAAGACATAACGACACAATGAAGATACATAAGTGTTATTTCAGACAGAAAAAATGTGCTGTTCACTTATATATATCACAATACATTCCAAGAATCCACCCAATAAAGGCGTAAAGCATCTATTATCTGCCCTGCATTATCTTAGAAAGCCGGCAATTGGATTATTACATAAATTTAAATAAATGATAAATGAGCAGGCATACCTGAGAAAGCGTATTCACCCGTCTTCTCATCTGGGGATGCATAAATGCTTTCGAGCACTGCAAGCAAGGTGCATATCATGCTTGAACTAGGATCATAATTCCAACATTCAATTCTTTATCCAAAAGACCGAACAGAATCGCAGGCACGATTACAAGCCATCTCACATAAAATCCTAACTACCATCCTAACAAGAACAAGTGACAGGGGAAACAATCGTAAGAAAATTGCATACGCACTTCAGGGGGCCGTCGCAAAAAACATATGCTGCACGTTCATATTATTTTTTCATGAAGAGCACAAACTACTGCATAAAGCGAAAAAATTTAACATACCTTGATGTGATAACTGATGTATGCATAGAAGGTTGACAAATTCCATACAATTCTATCCAATTTCTCACTCTCAACATGACGAGGAAAAATCACTGCAAGAAAGCAAAGATTCATCAATGAAATGGTAGAAACTTTCCAGTAGACACAAGTTTTGATTACAAACGTATGACTGTTATGAAGCTCTATGTACAACACGAGCTTTCAAGCTTCAAGCCAAGGTCTGGCTGGTGCACCAAAAGATACAAAACCACAGTTCGCATCTAAAGCATGCGCTGGAGCTCCTTTAAGCGCAAGGGGTGGAGTGGGTGCCCATAAGCAAGGTGATGCTGTACTCAATCCTGCTGATCGTCTTGCTTTCATAAACTCCTGCCGACACCACTCTGTCCAAATGTTAAGGTGGCTGCACCGTAGGTTAAGGTTTTTTGGTTGAGAGCAAACCAATTAAAAAAATTCCCTGGTAACTTCAAGTGACATTACTTGGAAAACAGCAAGCTGTTAATTTCTTTCATCTGCTCAAATTTCAATATGGTTCAAAAATATGGACAAGCCATACTATCGAGAGCAATTACAATAGTTCGACAAATGTAACACAACATTCTGTTAACTAACAAGTCAAGAGTACGTTGATCCGACAGAACCTGACACTCACCTGCAAGAATGATGTCGCGAGAACAACATCGTTACTGTCGTTATAGCGCATAGGAAATACAACCGTTACTTTTCCAGGCTGCAAACCTCAATACACGATGTAACTTCAGCGCAAAACGTGAGGTGTGAAAATTTTCTGCTTCAAAGACCGCCATATTAGCTATAAACAGCTGGTCCATCCTATACAACTTTTCCAGACTGGTCTCTAAAATTTTCAACTGGTGCATCCTGAACAACGAGAAAGCACTTACTGGTGGAATCAAAAAGTAAGATTGTCTAGGCCGATGCATTAAAGCAACAAGATTATCAGCATCTGGAGCTACCGATCTGTTGCCTAAATGCTTGAGGATGTGACGAAGTGGGGCCCCGAGTACAACAGTTCGCAAGGAAGCTATCTTTGTTATCTGCTGTATTCTTTCAGCTGCTCAATCTCGATATACACAAACGTAAGAATACTCAAGAAAATCGACAGTGATTAGTTGATTATGAACTTTATATGTAAGAACAAAAGAAAATTAACTGAGCATATTCATCTCTTCTAGTTTGCAATTTAAATTTCTTGGCAATACAGACATTAGGTTGTGATATAAAATCGTTAACAATTGTCTGCTTCTGGGTGAGTTTAAGCTAAAAGATTCACCAATCCAAATACTAATATTTCAATATAGACTCAACATCAGAAAGAGGAGCAAGCACTTTCAGATGATGCGATTTTCGTAAGATCCACTTGAATGGTGAGATGAAACCCAGACTCTGGGGGCTCAATGACTTGTACAAACGCTCCATATGCAGATCTCACGGCCTCCAATGCACCAGAAGGAAGGCCTCCGTCAAAAACGGTTTCGGGTGGAGGGGAGGGCACTGCTACTGAGATAGTTATGTGCTGAGTATCCTTTTCTGAACCCTGCATACGAGTTACTTCCAACTTACATAAAACAACCTAAACAGGTTGAGAGAAAAAATTACAGAACTGATCTTGGCAAGGACTTCGACTAAATATTCAAATCATTACAAATTGGTTTTAGGAGGTGAACAAAAGGGACAGGAACAACAAAGGAATTGACTGCAACCGATCTTGTGTTGAAGATTCTAAATATCTGCCTGAATAAAGATGAAGTTCATTCGGCTCTAGATTTTAATAAGTATAGTTGCATTTCAAAGACTTGAATCCAAAAACACATATTCTCAAACCTGAACGTGAAATCGAATGTCATCGAACTCTACGATATGGAAGTCAACCTCTGCTAACTTCTCCGTACTACAAAAACAACATACAACATCAATGAATTTGTTTTATGACAAGATTTACATGTGCGATCTAAACTTCACTCAGTGAGGATAATCAAAACAAGTATCTTCAAACTTTGGTATTACGATGAAAGTGTGCGCTCCTAATTTCTACATTCAATTCCACTGTACACAGTAAGAGTGAGATGTTCCAACTCCACAGATAAAGAACAAAATAAATTAATAATTCTATTTGTTAATTAAATGAGTACAGAATAAAACTTGAATGTACTGCTCTACGCGACTGCTCCAAATTCTATTCAAAATATTACAAGAACCTTGCTATCTTCAATTTCTGCTACTAAGAAATTGATAATGGGTCTTAAAATTTCTTTTAGTGAGTCCAGATACACGGTGATTATGGCCAGAACCAAACGGCATCCTTTACAGATCCAATTCTACTAATTACCCCTAATTAATGCTATGGTCATCAAACATTTAAGAAAGTGTCCGAACATATGAAAGAGAAGACAATGCCGTTAATTTGCGACAAGCCGCTTCAAAGATATTGTGCTGAAGATCTAAGGAGAAGCTAATATTGAGCCATCAATCCACGACTCGCAGCCAATGTGACAAAAGAAGGTGCCAGAACCATCTTCATTTTGGCAGTACATCAAGAAATCAAATACTGAACATCAACCCGGGATCGTATACAATTAGAAGATCTCGAATCCGACTTAGAACAACTGAGACCAAACCTCCAACTAATATTTCATCATAATCTCAGAAACATCTTGGAGCTCCAATCGAGAGCGCATTTCCAAATAAATTCCTAAAATGTCTTTCACTCATAAATCCGATTCGTGGAACGGATCTAATTCCTCGCTAGCCTTGCTACAAGCCCTAAGCAGAACCGTACTACAGAAAAAGAAAACAAGTTAGAAGTAGGAGACTCTCACTTTCGAAGGCGATTTTGAAATATTTGCTGTAAGACCCGCGATGGACCTTCCAGCAGAATCATTTTCCCTGCTTCGATCCTCCTCTCTCCAATTCACTACCAAATCCTCTAGTGCCGGCCTTTAATCCTCGAAATGCAATCTATTATATCCCCTCTCTGGCACAGTTCACTTGCAAACCCTCGTCCTTGAAATCCAAGTAAGTCCTATAGGCGCAGTTACTGAGGAGAATGCAAAATGTCAATTACTCTAATCGCTGCAACGCACTCGGTCGATGTCTAGCACCTGCTGTCAGGAAGCTCTCGGTCTGATGTCTAGCTTCCCGACTCCTTGTCATATTTTCCGTGTTCACTGGAAGAACTGACCCTGTTGGCGAAGGCAGCAGCTCTCAATTGATAACCGGACAACGCCTAATTGAGTTGGCACGTATTCGACAAACAGATTGATATCTCTTCGGAGGTTTTAGATTTTTCCAGCAATATTGAGTTGACTCTGTCCGGGTTAATGTACGGGTATGAGTTTGCGAGGGTATAGATCCTCGCTTGAACAAGGTGCAAATGTGTGCGAGAGTGGAGAGCAGAAAGATTTCTCGTGGTTTCTGGAAGAAGAGCGGGAGTTGGAGCAAGGACCGAACCAGTACTCACGATGGCGACCCCGGCGGCAATGGTAGAGGAGATCAGCAAGCTAAGCGTGGAGCAGCTGCGTCAAGTGAAGGAGCAGGTCGATGGGGAAGTCTCGGTTTTGCAGGACAGTTTGAACAATATCCGGACTGCCGCCAATCGCTTTGAAATGGCTTCCAAGTCTCTCAATATGCTTTCCACGCAGCCTGCTGGTATGATACTGCTTCCTCAGTAGATGCTCTTTTTAGAGTTTCCAGAATGATGTCATGTTCAGCATGTGTATTTTCGTATTGTTGTGGTCTTATTGAGGGGCAAGAACGAAGGAAGTGTCGATGATTAGGAGTCGTGTACGAGGGTTGCCTGCTCTCCGAGGATTATATTTAAATCTCGGCTCATGTATCACTTCAGATTTATCCGTTTCTCGATAACGATCCTTTCTTGCTGTGGAATGTGAGCGACTTGATTGCTGTCTCGGCCACTTTGAAAGAAGGTCTTGTAAGGTTGTTAGTATTCTTGTTCGGGTGTATCCGTAATTGAGTGAAGAAGCATTCATACGTCATTATATAATAGTGTTCTTGCGATATTGATCGTACAGTTGCCAAGGAACGATGCCACCCTATGGCTTATCAACCGCTTTAGGAAATTCTTTAAATCATACTTCGTCATGGTGGACATGACTATTTTATGGATTGCCGCATAACCTAATCTAAAACCCATGAGGGGACTTGTGACATATTTTATATTAGGTTAGGGCTTATAAAATTTTAGCAGGATTTTTTGGTTTTCAAGCCTGAGTCTACAGATTTACACAACCCCTGAGGCTTTCTGTGCTGTTGATTTGTTTTGTCTCCAGGAAAGAAAATGCTGGTCCCCTTGACAGCTTCGTTGTATGCATCGGGAACGCTGGCAAATACAGATCACGTGTTGGTAGATGTAGGTACCGGCTACTTTATCGAGGTATGTACAAGGATTCTGATCATTGGACCACTTTTGCTGCAGCATATCTCAATTTTTATGGCGGATATTGCGTACCTGTTGATGTTTGCCTGATGAACGCCCACATGATGACAGAAAAGTTTGCCCGAGGGGAAGGACTACTGTGAACGTAAAATAAAGTTTTTGAAAGAAAACCATCAAAAGCTAGTGGAGGTGAGTCATATCTGATTACATCTTAGACACCAGGTTTTAAGGCGTCGTGCCTAATTCACTACCGTCAGCGAAAAACATGTTCCGTCAACTCCACAATTCATTCGTAATGTGATATAATGTCATGTGCAGGTGGCAAGTGGGAAGCAAAATGCGGCAGAGCAGATAAGTATGGTTTTGCAGGCTAAGATGCGGCAACCGTCATCTCCTCAACGGTCGTGAAAACTGTGGATACTTCTTTGTAAACTTTTACAGGAAACCTTAAAGCTTCACACTTGCCTGTTTGAAGTCTTCTGTTCGAAATTCTGCAGCTGGCATATGGATACGATAGTTCTACTTCCACGAAATCAATGGAGTGCACACTTCATTGAACCATGGTACAGCAATAGGAAATGCTTCGGTAGCAACAAAATTGGGCAGTGCTACCGCAACAATTAGGTTAGAAAGATGTCTGGCAGTGCATATTAGCCCATCAGTCAGCTGGTCAGTCACAAGTATGTATTTATCAATCAGAAGTTCTCTGCGGTGCATCGGTTTCGAGTAACGCTGACTAACCTCTTTATGAGTGACGCATTCCTCTTAACCATGTTGGTTTCTTCAAGAGGTGCGAGTGAAACTTCGTCCATGATAAGATATTGAAGGATGTAAATTTCTCGATCCTTTGTGTGTGCAAGGTTTCTTCCTGAACCAGAAGTTGCCTCAATGGTAAGTTGCGTTAAGGTTTCTTCTACATTATTCCTGGTTTCAAAACCTGGCTTCAGCACCATTGCAACTCGCACAGGTAATTTTGAAGCCAAGGGTTTAGGGTTTAAGACGTAACACATATATTGTTCAGCTAACCCTAAAATATATGTGTAAAATTTTACTAACATATCCAGCCCCTGATTTGACTATAGTCATAAGAAATAACCTTGTGTAAGTATTATATATTGCATCAGTATTATACGAAAATATCAACCTACCACACTATGCATATTAGGGGTTAGGGTTTCTTACTTATTTTGGTAGGAACATATTAAAACATGTTATCAATATACAATGCAGAAAGGCATGGCATAAGCAACAATATAACTATCACCTTAACATATTTTTTTAATACTATATATATATATATATATATATATATATACATATATATAATATTAACATATGTACATATGTATACACTTGCTTTTTTCTAAACAATTAGGTTACATGTTCTATTATATAAATATGCAAATGTTTGTCTCATAACCAAGTTTTTGTTTATACATATGCAATCGAATTTAAGAACAAATTATTTTTAGTTATACATTTAAGAATTCAAATATGTAGCACTTAATCAAGACAAAGTTGGCAATTTTAGAGAAGAGTGTGCACATGCAATTTGAAATGTATGTTGTTTATGGCACCCAAACTTATAATAGATATCCCTAATTGATTGCAAACCAAATAACCTTTTTAGATGATTTGATGTATAATTCTAGTGGATTCAAGAAAGTAACAAAGGTTGCATAAGTAGATAGCAAATTGAACTTCATTAATAATATGTATTACTTGGATAGTTTTTGGTTTTTTTATCAAAGAGAAACAAGAAAGTATATATATAATTTAGTACATTTAAGAGCATTTAAAGATGTTTTTTATGAATATATTTGAGGACTATTTTGTACATAAAATTTAAACCAAGGAATTTAAAGTTAATAAAAAATAATGGACCAAAAATGGTTTATTTGAGTGCAAATTCAAAGATAAAAAAATAAATTATAAGTAAACCTAGAAATATCCATGATTTGGTTTTTAAGTGTAAACAAAAATAATTTATATGCCATGTATTATTTATGGCAACATGGTATATAATTAAATTATATGTATTTTAATAACATATTTATTGCCATCATTATTACTATCTAATAATGTTAATTGTTATGATTGTAGAAAAAAGTAATAATAATCTAAGACATACTACAAAATATAATAAGGCAAGTAAAAACATGACTGTCTTCAAAATAAAATTTTAAAAAAATTCCATGAAAAAATATATTTAAAAATTAATTAACAAAGTATTCTTTCAAGAGATATTTTAACAATGCTCATATTAATATATATATATATATATATATATATACACAAAATATCTAATGTAGAACAAGATTAGCAATGTGTTACCTTTTATTTGTATTATGATATCAAATAATGTGTGGAGTTTTTTTTGCAAAATCTTCTCACTTATTTTATATTTTTGATAACTCTAACTAATTGATGGTTGTACTAATTTTCTAAATAGACTCCAGCTACATGCACACCTCAAATTGCTTTTGACACACCTATTATGTCTACATGCACACTTTAAGTCTCTAATTGGCTGCTTTGCTTATCTCCTACAAATGGATTTGAAAATAACTTCCTACCCCTCTTTCTTACCATGAGTCTAGGACCTCCTTGTTCTTGTCAATTGCCAACCAAAGGTCTCTATTTTCCTGGGTTTGCATATAGCAATTTAGGGTGTGTATAGAAACATTGTACATTGTTCATAGGAAACTAATGGAAAACACAAGAAGAAATAAATTGTTTGGGAAATAAATTTTCCTTTTTTGTATCTTTTTGATGTTCATACTGAAACCTCCTTACATCTAAAGGTAATTCACACTTTCTGAAGGTCCTTTTCCCCTTCATTTTCCCTTGCCACAACTAATAGGATTGCAATCTGTTGAAATGACGGACTTACAAAGAGCTGATAATGTATAGGTAAACAGTGCAAACAAGAACTTCAATAAAAATATAAATTGAATGAGACAAACCTCAAAAATGTGATGAAGAGTGAATAGAGGCATCATGACATTACTCGTATGTATATGCATGTGTACGCCTTCTTTATCATTGAGAATAGTTGTACTTACTAACTAAACAGACACAGAAAAGGAGTTTGATAACAAATTTGTCCTTCATGCCACAGCATCAAAAATTAACAGCAGCAAATTTCAGGTACGTTAAATTGAAACAAGAGGAAAAATCAAATGTCTTCACGCATGTTGAGGCTCAATGAATTTTAGTTCTTCCAACCATGAAAGCCATCGATTTTCTCCAAAACAGCATTGAGTGCAACATAGTAATACAGTTCTATAGAGCAAAATCGAAACTTTTAACTAGATTTCCAAAAGAATTTTTGCCATGCATCGAAATTGTACAAAGCAATTCTACTCCTTCACTAGTTCCATTTCTACTTCATCAGACAAAAGTTTGCCTGTGTAGAGGTTTAAAGTGAACACGTACATACAACTCACATACAAAACCAGAAAAAGTGAAAGAATCATCAGCAGGTAAGGCTTGGCCAGAGGTTTGAAACACCAACAATAGGTACCAAGAGGGCGAAAGCTACATCATGACAGAAGCTGTTTATTCTATTGCAGCACTAGCGCACGGCCAAAATAAGTTTCAACAAAAGATCTCCACCCTCAGTCCAAAAGTCCCAATGACTAACCCTAATCTCCGAAACGCAAACTGCCCTTACTTCTTCTTCTCGGCGTGACCACCAGCGCGCATCTTGCGCAACACAGTGGTCATCTCCTCCCTCTTGCGCTTGGCACGCAAGTGGGTACCAAGCTTCCTCTTGGCGACCTTGAGAGCACGCTTGTCCTTGCCTACCTTCAACAACTCAGTAATACGCTTCTCGTAGGGAGCGAATCCAGCGACCTCGCGGATGAGGTTGCGGACGAGACTGGTGCGCTTGCCGAGCTTGCCCTTGCTGGCGGAGGGACGCTTGGCGATGTCGCGCTTGGTAACTTGGTGGCCCCTGTGCAGACCGACGGCGATGCCGTTGCTCACCACGGATGGAGCCATGCTGCGACTGACTGCGGTGTCTGGACTCTCAGCTCGAGGGGGGCTCCGAGATCGCAAGCCTGTTCCGAAAGGGCTTCTCCTGGCTCAGCCCTAACCTTTGTGTTCTGCCAAAGCCCTTCCCACCCACCCCCGCCCCCCAACCAGGTGGACGAAAGTATTCATTCATTTATTGGATAAATGTTTGTCTCCCTTCTTTCGATGTGGCTGCCCGTCTGACCGGTGCCAGAACGGGCTGCTGCCCAGCCCTCCTTCCACATGTGATAATATCACAATTCCGTTCAATCTTCTTGGAAATTGATTTTCAAATCATCTTTGATTTTTTTGGGGGAGAATCGCATCATAGTCGTGACATGATATTTCGTTTTTCCTATATAGAAAATTAAGGTGGATTTTGTTTCATTGATGATTATATAACGTGGAATATTTATTATTTAATATGATACTCCAATCTTACTTTAAAATTTTGATAAAACAATAAGTCATTTAACTATTTTTTAAATTTAAGATTTTTCATTCTGAAAATGTTATATAATTTCAAAAATGATAAAATATACATTAAATTAAGAGAAATTATAAAGTGTCCCAATTTTTTACTAAATCAACCCACATGTTTAAACCATCATTGTATCCTTTCAACTTTATCCTCTTTCCAAACCATTCCCTTGTTCCCAACCATTCCCCTATTTCCAACCATTGTCCCTATTCTTAATGTTCCCAACCCCCCCATCCTTAGCAACAGTTGGAAACAAGGAATGGCTAGGAATAGGAATGGGGGCCACATGGGTGCAATGATGGTTAAGGTAGAGTGGGTTGCTTTATTATTCCCTTAAATTAATTTTAGATTAAGTATTATTATACACTTAGAATGATCTTTGAAAGATGAATGATCAATTTTTTTCTACAAATAATCTTTTTAAAAAAGGAATTTAAATTTAAGTTCTTTTAAGAATCATTTTGCAACCACAATATATTAATATAATAGTTCTTTTAATACATGATATTGTATTATGAATATATTGTATTAATATAATGTATACACACATGAATAATTCATACTTGACATTATGTTTTTATCCATGTAAATGTCCAAACATTGGCTGACATCACACAATTAATATACAAGTTGCAACCACCGTAAATTGATGGCATACCATACAACTGTAACTGTACAAGTTGTCCAGAGTAACATATCAATTGCCCAAATTTCCTGTACTTGATCCTTTAGAATTTTTGTGCATGTTAACATGATTAAGTTGATGCTATGTTCCATTGTTTCTCATGTGACTAGAGTGAAATGTAACCTTCAATATAAACGTTTGAATGATAATGAAATGTGGTTTGAATATAACATATACAAAATCAATAGATTACTTTCTCGCTTATGCATCAACCACAGGTATATTCCCCTTCAAAGTTTTGTCAGGGTAATCCTGCCCTCAAAATCCTACCGCTAACGTACTCGGACTGCCTGCCATATACTGTTGAGATAAGATATTGCTGTAGTAACATCATCAAGGTACGCAAATTATTCCTAAAATCTCCTTTCCAATCCCTGTAATCCCTTACAGTGTACTGCGACAATAAATTTAAGTTGTAGTAAATTCAGGCTTAGAAGCTCCATCCTGGATCTCCAGAGGCTACATGGTGAATGGTGCATGGTCACAAAAGAGTCGGAAAAAGACAGCACTATTAACCACTATCGCACTTGGCTGATTGCACTTGATCAGTACTTATGTACTATTGCTGTCATCTTTACTATACATCGGAGTATATTGATTCTGTGAGGGAGAATAGCCTGGAGCTGATGGAGAATAACCACCGCCAGCACTGCATGATATAAACTCGGACAAAGTTTTCTTAGTTTCAGGTAAGAAACATTGACGGTTGGAAAGCAACGTGTCAGAATTCAATTCGAACCTTTTATAACATCAAAAAACGCCATACCTGTAATTTGGGGAAGTAGGGCTGTAGGCAGGACTTCCAGGGGTATATGCAGGACTGCAAGGATAAAAAGGAGAGCTCAGTACAAACACTCCATATATAAGTTGGAGAAGAAGTCTCAACAAAATTAGGATTAATTGAAATGAATTTGGTAAAATGGTTGCCTGCGAACCTTGTTGGAGAGTACGAATGTGATCCTGGAGTGTACGCAGGGCTAGTGGGCAAATATGAAGGGGACGACGGAGAGTAAGATGGTGACGTAGGACTGCATCCAACATTGCAATTCCTTTCAAGTTCAGAATACTTCACACGTTGCAACAAGTCAAAAAAATTGAACATGTTGACCCGTTCTAATGACACTTTGAACTAAGTGATATCATGAGTCAACATACATCACAAACCAGAGTATTAGGAATGGAGGCGCACCTGTAACTTGGAGAAGTTGGGCTGTACGAGGGACTAGAAGGAGAATAACGAGGACTGCTCGGGGAGTAAGCAGGGGATGTGGGACTATAGCTAGGTGAAGTTGGGCTGTAACTGGGTGAGGTTGGACTGTAACTTGGAGAAGTCGGTGAGTATCCAGGAGACGTAGGACTATAACTAGGAGATGTAGGGCTGTAACTAGGAGAAGTAGGACTGTACGCAGGTGAGGATGGAGCATAAGAGGGCGAGGTAGGACTATAAGCTGGAGAACTGGGACTATAAGCAGGAGATGTAGGACTGTAGCTTGGGGAAGTGGGACTGTAGCTAGGCGACGTCGGACTGTAGCTAGGTGAGGTTGGGCTGTAGCTAGGTGAGGTGGGGGCATAGCTTGGAGATGTGGGAGAGTAAGATGGACTAGTAGGGGAATATCCAGGTGATGTAGGACTGTATCCAGGAGAAGTCGGGCTGTATGAAGGTGATGTTGGGCTATAACCTGGAGACGTTGGACTATAACCAGGTGAGGTAGGACTGTAACCAGGTGACGTGGGGCTGTAACCTGGAGACAATGGACTATATCCAGGGGAAGAAGGGCTATAGCCTGGAGATGAAGGCGAGAAGGGCATACTCCCAACATATGGAGAAAATTGCGCTTCTGACAATGGAGAAGCTCGCAGGCTTGGACTGAGAAGATAACTAGGTGACATCATCCCCTCGTTGTGTGGTGTTCCGATCATTGGAGATCGTGATGGGGTCATGCCATAGTCAGTTCCTTCGAAGCTGGGCAACTGCAACTCAATAGCATGTTGAAGCATATTCTCATTGAGGTGCAACCCGAAATCACCAGTCCCGATTGGCGCCAATTGACCAAGCATAATATTTTCAGTGACTCCTTTCAGGTGGTCTGCCTCCGCATATACCGCAGCATCCAGTAAGATATCCACTGTTTCTTCAAATGAACACCGCATCATTGGCCCTGTATCGTTTCTATTGATACCATGGCGCGTGATTGCCATCAAGTGACCACGGTATGTCATTACATCGCAAAGAATAGCGAGATGCCTGTAATTCACGTATGAACCATCGAAGGAGATGACATCACGCAACTCCTTCAAGAGAGCATTTCGAACTGCTTCGATACCCAGGACCTCAATAACCTCTATTAAGTGGTTACTTAAGGTTCGAGACGCATCTACGTCCTCGTGACACATTACCGCAAGCATATTCACACCCTCTGTGTCAAGGATCCATTCTTTCTCCGGCTCGAAGGCCACATTTTCATCAAACCGATTCTTCTTGTCTTCCTTGATAAACACCTTCCGAATATCAGGTATTCCTCGCAGTGCCATCTCTGTAAGCATGTTACTCTCTATCTTTTTCAGGAAGACGTCATCTTCAGATTGTTCAGTGGCCTCTCCCTTGGGCGCTTCGTCATTCATAATTCGAATACGAAGTATGAGCTTCTCAGCATTGTCATCATTGAAAATACACGTCAAATCATCATCAAATTCAAGATTGATCTTCTCTGCAATATCAGCCATGCTCAGCTTCTTGTCCACCATCATCTCGCGGTTTAACTCGATACGTAGCAGCCAAGGTGAAATTTTTTCAGGGGCCACATCTTCATCCGGCATTTCATAGTACGACCTCACAAACTCCACATCCTCCTCTATCAATGTACTCATTGGTTCTGGATCATACCAAATCTCGGTCGCCTGGGTGACAGAGCGAAGAGTAGTATATTCCAAAGCACACTGAACATTTTTGGCCTTTTCTTTCTCTTTGTTTATCCCAGGTTTTAGAAATACTGTCAGCGACGGAGTCTTAGTCTTCTTTGCAACATTGATGATCTCACGTAAACGAGGTACACCCAAGGTCACATTCTTGGCACTCACACCAGCAAAATGGAAAGTGTTCAGTGTCATCTGTGTAGCAGGTTCTCCAATTGACTGAGCAGCAACACAGCCAATCATTTCTCCAGGCGCCACAAGGGACATGAGAAATCGTGTTTCTATTTCACCAATGACCCAATCGAATGCCTCTCTTGTCAATCGATAGTCCTTGAGAACCCTCTTGCTAGCAAGAGTACTGCGCAAAAGACAGCCAAAAAATAGAGTAGCATTTCTTTGCGCTTCCATGGATATCTGATCATCCCCTGGTACAACTCTAAGCCTCTCTTGCAACTTGTCCACTGCCTCCACAATTTCCATTGGATGCATATCTGATGGCTTACGGAAATCCACTTTAAAGATTTTCTGTGCATTCCAGATGAGTCGTTTCAGATTGACAGGAAGGGGCCAATTAGCTTCCCCAGTAGGGGCAATCTCTAAACCCATTTGCCTACGGTCAGCTTCGAGTTTGGATACTTCTGCATCAAACACATTTCTGATTTCTTGAATTGTTTTTATGTCTTCTGCAGCTTCCGTCGACATGTAATCAGGTGACCAATCATCTCTATCAATTTCAAACTTATACACCCTGTTAAACTCAGCCTTCTTCATTTTCAGTGAGTCTAATTTTTGCGACTCAATCCACACCGAGTCCATTCCATCCTCTCCATACAGAAACTGGATTACATCTCCAAGAGAATTGCGCACTGTCCCATCATACTTGACCATAACATCTTCCATAGCCTTCACCAGCCGCCTTTGAATATAACCAGTCTCCGAAGTTTTCACAGCAGTATCAATAAGACCCTCACGACCTCCCATAGCATGGAAGAAAAATTCCTGGGGTGTCAATCCTCGCAAATATGAATTTTCTACAAATCCACGACTCTCTGGCCCATAGTCGTCCTTTGTAAAATGTGGCAGTGTACGATCTACAAAGCCGTATGGAATTCGCTTCCCTTCAACATTCTGCTGCCCCACACAAGCAGTCATCTGAGAAATATTGATGAATGTACCCTTTGACCCAGCTGTAACCATGGCCTTCAAGTTGTTGCTCTCAGAAAGACTGCGTTGGGCACTGGCTCCAGCTTCATCACGGGCCTTATTTAAGACGCCATTGACTCTGTTCTCGAAAGATTCTTTCATGGTCCTACCAGGTTGTGCTTCAAGTTGCTTGTCCTGAGCCATTTTAATAAGATCCTTCACATCGTTTTTAGCTATCGAAATGGTTTCATTAATTTTCTCCATAGTTGCTGCGTCCGCAATTGTATCTCCGATACCTATACTAAAACCTTGCTGTAAAAGCCAGTAGTTTACTAGCCACTGAGTGTGCCCCAAAAACTTCCGAGCGGCATCAGGCCCAACTTCCTCCCTGTTAAAATTCCAGACAGAAATTAGAACCACCCATGCTCTTAACTGATAAAGTATATCACACTAGGATCATGGCCATTCATTAAGTCAAGACGAAGCACAAACAAGACGGTTATCAAATAAACATGCAACGAATTCTGAATAGCTGACATTTTACTTTGTTGGGTTATTAAAAAGAATCATTGAAAATATTTATGTGAATATTACACATACCAAATGACATGAATAAGACTGCCTTGTCCTGTGCCCAAAGTCTTCTTACAGAGCGTACCAGCCACCACCTCTCCCTTTTCGATTCGCACCTGCGTGTCACCGGGCGAAAGATCACCCACTTCTGAATCAGGATGCCAAAATGCCTGGCGCATCAAATTGATTTGCTTTGGAATGATCAGAGTAAAAATCTGTTTCCCTGTCCAGAGAGGGCGTGGCTTCAAAATTGTGGGAATAGGTATCTTGCCAGCAAACTCCTCCCACCACATGAGGATGTTATAGAACACATCCTGCATACAATCACCATTTTACAAAACCTTTCAGACTCATTAAACAGCATAATAAAAAATGTCTGACAAATCGTCAAGACATAGGACCTTTATCTGAGCAAAAACACGAAAACGGCCAATAAATGATGTACATTTTCCAAATCAGCCAGGAAAGAGCATCACCTTCTCTATAAAAGTATCTCTCTTTGTCACTTTGCGACATCCCAGGAGTGTGTCTTGCACAATTCCAATAACTGGGCGGTTTGACTGTGGAGACACGACACACTTCGGAACCATCATGAGTTCCAACACTTCTGCTCGAGTCTCAAAAGACTGAGGTACATGCATGTTCATTTCATCACCGTCGAAATCAGCATTGTATGGTGAGGTCACGGACAGATTTAGTCGAAAAGTTGAATAAGGCATTATGCGAATACGGTGTCCCATAATAGACATCTTGTGCAAACTAGGTTGTCGATTGAACAATACGAAGTCGCCATCATTCATATGCCTTTCTACCTGCAACAAGCAAAACGCGGTCAGGAGAGCTATGATCAACAGTTGTCCTGCTGTCAACACTTCAATAGACTCTCTAGAAAACGTCAGACTGGCGCACAGTGCAAAATACGACTAGTTCTATGAATGGAACTGGACAAGGTCAGGCACAAAGGAAGTCTTCATGCAAGTGTTCCAAAAGTTTCAATGGGAAATGTACCTTGTAGCCAAGCTCCAAATGCCGATCGCTGCTCCTTTTCAAGAAACGAAGATCTAGACGTTGACCATCCTCTCTGATGATGTACTTTGCGCCAGTCTTTCCAGGAGGCGGGTGAGGCCCGTACTCTACAAGCTCTTTCAGCCTATTGAACATCAACCAAGAATCTGTTCAGGCACAAGATAAAAACTTCTGAAACTATTGTTGTTCAAATATGCCTGAAAGTGTAATCCACTACATGAAGCTCACCTCTCCATATTGTAAGGAGTTACAGTTTCTGGATATGTTAAATTTAGAGCGATACTCCAAGGTACTCCTAATTCATCAATATTTATATTAGGATCTGGGGTGATCACGGTACGTGCAGAAAAGTCCACACGTTTTCCCATCAAATTTCCACGAATACGACCCTCTTTCGCCTTCAAGCGTGCACAGATTGATTTTATAGGACGCCCGGACCTTTGAGTAGCCTGTCATATGTGAAATATAGCACATTTAAATATTGAAACCAACCGCACTCAGCACAAACACAAGTAACTTTGATCAACGCCTTAAACAATCAAAGAGACACTTCAAAATTTCTTTATGACATAAACGACGGTCTAAAGAAACAATCAAGTAAAATCGAGACACTATTTTGGAACAACTGGCATGGGTAAAACATAGGTACAACACCTTGAGCACGTTTAAGAGCTCACAACCTAAGAGCTCAGTAAAGACAGCAGGCAAGAGCAAGCAGAAAATTGCACACCCTTGGTTGTCCTGGGAGATCGTTGTCGAAGTATGTTGCTATATGAAATTGCAAAAGCTGGGCAAACTCATTAATGATATGAGTAGGTGCCCCATTTTGCTCCTGCTTCTTCAAGTTGTTATTGTGCCGAATGATCATAGCCAACTGATGGGTGAGATCGTCCTCACTGCGAGCAGAACTGTCCATCATAACAGAAGGACGCACTGGAGGTGGTGGAATGGGAAGCGCTTGTAAGATCATCCAATCCGGTCGGGCAAACTTTGGATTGAGACCCAAAATAGCACAATCCTCGTCGCTTATTCTCTTCAGAATACTCAAAACCTTTTCGGCAGTAAGTTGCTGTTTACGTTCCACAGGTTCCGGCATATGCTGGTCCTGTTCGTCACCCTTTTTCCGACTAGCTTTGAATTCGGCCACAAGCTTCATACCATCTATGGTCGTCTTGGGCTGCTGCGCACCGCAACCTCCGTGAGACTTCTTTTTCTCAGTTTCTTCACCATAACGCGTATCATTTTCGTCAAGCTCGTCGCCTGCATCACACTTTGTTTTGCTTTTACAGCAATCCAGTACTTTCTTCAACCTGTGCTTCGGATTGCGAACTTTCCTTGCTTGCTTAAATCGATGATCTTCCTGCACAGTTAAAATTCGGGTTTATGAATACTGCTAAAGCGACTCACTCAATATCATATCCACACCTCCTCACCAGCCTGCCAACGCTGGTCTAATTGTACCCTTTCACATACCTCCTTACTTCTGCACAGTAACGTCAGCTTCGTGGATCATGAAGCAAAATCCAGCAGGAAAATGAGAATTTGAAACCAACCTCATCTGCAAGACACCGCGAACAGTTGTGGCAGACACACCGCAGGATGGAAAGAACAGTCTTCAAGAAACCAATATGAAACATGGGTTTCGCGAGCTCCAGATGACCAAAATGACCAGGACATTCCGCCATGCTACCAGCACATGTCTCACATTTGGTATGTCGGTCAATCGTGCCCAGCCGCGGGTCACTGAGGCCCCCCATCTTGGGCTTACCCCTGTCATAAGTCTCGCTGCTCTCTATTAAGCACACTGACATTTGGCGCTGTAGCAAAATGCAAACGAGGCTAATCAGTAAGTTATAATGTGAAAACAGCCCACTTCATCTGATCCTTACTACTAACGATATCATTTAAACCCTAAACAAGCAACGAGTTTCATTTGGTTGGATCAGAGGTGGAAGAAAAGCAGGACACAAGTCAATGGCATCCAAGCTGAACGTTACCGCAGCTGAGTTGCTGAATATTCCATAAGTCATGCCGTATTCAGATTTCCGAATCAATACTTAATTATCATGCCCGGCTTAATGTTGAAAGCGAAAGGATGGCATAATTAGGTTGAAAAGCAATGCTAGCAATTTACGTCCCGCAGCATCAAATCTGCAGTGCATCATACCTACTTGCAAATGCACTTTCATGAATGCAAAACCATGAAATGAGCCCATGTTCTTTAGAACTCACAATTTCATCTGGGCTGATGATACCAAACTGCACAGTCTTGACACGAGCCAAGTCGGCAGGAGAAAAGGCAAACCGCTGGTCCATGGCGGCGCGCTTTCGCTGCCTCTGTTGCCGCTGGTTGGACTCGAAAGACTGACGCCTGCTCTCGTATGCACACCGAGACGCAGCGCTTGCACCAAACCCTATTCCATTGAGGTCAGATCTGAGCCGGGTTCCGAAGGATCAGAGAGAAGATGGCGGAAGTTGCTCTAGTTAGGGTGGCGAACCAGATGTTTTCTGATTGTTAAGGTGCGAGAAACGGGAGACCAAACCAACGGTGAGTGCCGAGGGGAAGGAAGATCATCAACCTCCGCCGAACCCCAAAAGTAGAATATATGGACAAGCGGGGGATGGGAGGGGCTTGAGGACCACAGTGCTAGTCCAGCTTCCACGAAGGGCGGGAACTAGACGCCCACAAAGGAATGGCGATGAGTTCAATCCACTCAGAAGTGGGCAATTACATAACAGAAGTGGGCAATTACATAAGTATCAGTGAACCGGGTAAACCCGGATCTCAACCTGAGAGTTGCCGGCTCCGCTTCCAATACGATACGTGGGCCATGGGATAAATACCCCGCCCGGAATTGCACGTGCAAGGTATTCGTAAGATGGGGCAGTCCTGCGAGAAAGTAAAAGTAAATTCTCTTGACCGTAGCTCAACGCTGTGACAGTGTCGTACGTATAACAGATACTGCAACAAAATGCATGCAGGGTATGGGTACAGGATCCGAGAACACCGTTCCCTACGCCAGATTTAATGCAGTGCCCTACAGACAGACGGTCTTAGGAGCACCTGAAATCCAGCTGACAACCCTACTTGGTCATCAGTCTCTTTTCAGTAGTGTCACCTTCTTAATCAGGAGTCCTGTAAAAAAAAAAAAAAAAAAAAAGCTACTACCAAGGACTTGGAATAATCACAAGATTGTTCTTAGAAACTTGGATTGCAACGGCAAATGTTATACATAATTATATGACATCTTGTATATTAATTTTAAAACATCATGTTCTTTAATAAATACCACTCACTTGCCTAGTTTACTTGTTAAATGCAACTTGGTTCTTACATTGCAAATATTAAACAAAAGTATCATGTCTAAATTTTAATACATAAAGGAAATAACGAGATTTATTTTATATCTAATTTTTAGGTGATGATTAATTCATCTTTTTGAAAAAAATGAATAATTTTTTTGGCTAATTCCAAAAAGAGTAGAAGTAAAAATAAATACATCATTATTTGGAATACAAAACCTTTAAATTATATATAATATGAAAGTAATACATGTCAACAATGTAGTCTTATCTTATGTAAGTTCATATATATATATATATATATATATGTGTATTTATTGGTGGAAACTTGTATTGTTGGACAATGAAAAGTTGTAAATTTTAATTTATAGTTTCTAAGTTAAAATTTGGCTATCCTTAAAGAAAGATTGACTAAGAAAAATAAATAAATAAGTAAATATGCATAACAATAAAACCATTTATGTTGATTTAGTATTTTATAACAATAATACTAATATTTATATTATTTATTCATTAAAATTAAAAATATATTATATTGTATTCTTAAATGTTCATTAAGAAATTAAAAAAAAAAAAAAAAAAAAACAAAAACATGTAAACAATAATATATTTAATTATTTGCTATTTGTTGATGTAAATATGATGAATTATTGGCAAATACATTTTCATATATTATAAACAAATGAAAGTAATTTCAATCATTACACAATAATTATTGAATTAGATTTGCAAGTTTTATTAATGATAAAAATTTACCCAATTACATATTTTGACCATTTTCAAATAACATCAGTAATAAATTCTACAAAAGACTTAATTAATGCTAAAATAACTGTGATTCAAATTTTAATTAATTTAAAAATATCATATCATGAATAAATCATAGGCAAATTAAATAACATAGTTACCATGAATTAATTATTACTTTTTTCAAAATGATTAGTGCAAGTCACTAGTGGAAATTTAAGCATTGAAAACTAACAGAAATTCAAAGTATTTTTAATGAGTTCAATTTTTTATTTTGAATTTTTTTTAAAAATATAATATAAAATAAAAATATTGCAATCTTTGAACTCAAAACAATAATTATTATGATTTTTGATATATATTTCAGTAAATGCAAATATTACTCAATAAATTCGTGAATTCTAGATAAAATGACATGTCATTAAATATCAATAAATTTTATCCATCTTCAAATTCATTAAGATTGAAGTAAATACAAATCAAGTCTATAAATAGATTATAAATTAATTTGTGCAAAATAAAATTTAATGATAATTTTATAGAGAGGAGATTGTAACAAAAACAAAGCTGTGAAATTTATTCAAGATACAGTATTCAAAATATTCTCAACAAATATGGTCTATATCTCACAAGAAGTAATAACAATCTAATCACATTATTTTCCAGGTTTTGGATCTGCAAAAACTAATTTAAAAATTACACTAAACATATGATCAACATCAATAGATGATTCATCCAACCATTTTTCTGGGTTTGGTGGACTCCATACATCTGATTTTGTTTTGTTTTGTTTTGTTTTTGTTTTTTTTTTTTTTTGAAAAGTGTTTTACTGCCATCATTGACTTCAATCTTTCATATTAAACTTAGTGAAGAATCAATAAACAGTCTTCAATCCTTTGTCTAGATCATATTCATGCTTACATGCATCACTCACTCACTCATTTGTTCATTGTGTGCAACAAACCAGTGTGGTTGATGATGTGTTGTACAAACAGTAAATTGGAGGTCTTTTTTGCAGATTATGCAGGGCTTTCTGCTCATGGTTGTAGCAACAATGAGTTTGATTTTGGCCAATAAGAAGGTTTATTTATGTCATTGTCTTATAATTAAGCTTTCTTATTATACAGATATAATCTTGAATCTTTTATGATAATATTCAAATATCATACAAATTATTTATATGTAACATAACTCTACATATAGTCTATAATGATGTTTTAAATTTAGAAGTAATGTTTTTAAATGTTTTTTTTCAAATGAGAGGCTTTGATAATATCTCCAGGTGATTTTGTTTTTGTTTTTGCTTTCATTTATTTTATTTTATTTTTTCTCCTTTCAAATGTTGTTTATAGTTTTCAACTTTCAAAGAAGTGTTTTAAGATAACATTTTTGTGTTGACTATATTTTTATATGTATTAAAATAAAAATAGAATTAGTGATTATAGAAAAAAATCCTATATAATTGAAATAAAAATTATCTTAAAAGGGTTTTTTATTTGGTAAAAAAAATAGATCATTAAAATGAAATTAAAAATAAATTTAAGAATATATATATATATATATATATGCACCTAAATTAATCAGATTTAGGAAAAAACATAGAAATTAGTTATTTAAAGCACTTTGGTTTTTGTAGTTATTCGAAAAAATTCAAAATAAATTTAATTTATTTCTTTCACAAAAAAGTTAATTTCTGTTTACTACAATATTTTATTGCTAATTTATAATGCATGTAATTTAAACTTTTCTAGAACACAAGATCTTTTAACAAATAAACGACAAAGTATATGTGTGCAATTTGAAGTTTTGTTTTAAATTGTGACATTGTAATTTTATTTGTCTTAATTATCTCTCTCTCTCTCTCTCTCTCTCTCTCTCTCTCTATATATATATATATATATATACATTTTATATTTACTCATGGTTATCCATATTTTTTCATTTCAAAATCTTTAGTATAGGTCATTTTTTATTCTTCATCAACCTCGTAGGCTTTCAGATTTTCAATCTATTCTTTATAATTCTTAGATAAATTGATGTAAAGTCTTAAATATAAACTTCAAGAAACATTGTCTGACATAACTTCACAAGTTATGTTCTGTTTCAACCTTATGTATATATGTACGTATAAATTCATCAGACTCCAAACATGTACTGAGATTAAGATATGTTTATTCAGAATAAACCATTTTTCTTGTGATACATTTCAATTAAAAATAATTAATAAAGAGATTCTAAATATATATATATATATATATATATATATCTCTTTTTCAGAAATTCATATTCATGACTGTCCATGTACCCACACATACTCTCAAAATTGTAATGATCGTAGATCCTGGCTTGGTGTGGTGTGGTACCCAATACCCTTCATGCGTTGCTCTGCTTCATAAATAATTAGAGGTTTAATCAGTTAACAGATTGTGCATGATAATACGCACTGTGAGGAACAAATATGGTCCACTGCTCCCAAGTTGGGAGCCTAAGTCCTGGGGGGAACCTGATGCTTGTATAACTTCCTTTGGGTGGAAGAAGCATCTTTAGTTTGTGTTGTAAAATTGCAATTGAGCAATTGAGCAATGGATGGGTCGGTCTTAAAACCTAAAAACATGGATTTCAGTCAAGTGCTTGCTCATACATTTTCAAACAAGCTGAAACAATATGGCACGGAGGAAATGTAGTAGATAATGAAGGTAAAACAAGCCGACACTCCCTTATTATTTTATAATTCATAACCTAATCACATTATACCAATGCCCTGGAGATCATGGTGAGTATCTTGCGATTGTGGACTTCGATGCAGATGACCAGCCACCTTCTATTCTTGCAGACTGCTAAACAAGTCAATTCCTTCTATCATAAACTCAATGTTTGTGTATTGCAACACTCACGCCAACAGCGCTAGACACGAGAGATTGAGAATTCAGCTTGCTCTACTTCCTCAGTGTGTATTGTGCTATCCTTTGTAGAGTTGTATTAGATTCACTGATGATGTTTTTTGAGTTTTCGTGTGTTGCTGCTGGTTTGGTGTCAGCTCAAGATACATTTGGCGAGTACTCCCACTCCTTACCTGCATGAAAATCTTCGCTCGATTTCAAATCCTCCCCACCTACCCGAAGAGTCTCCCACGACCAATACTCTAAACCCTCCGCTCTTTTAATTCTTCGTACAGTCTTGTGCAGAAAACCTGCGCGTGACCTTGGTTTGCTTCTCGAGGTATTAACTATTTTTTACCTTAAAGATTCGCTGCCCATCAACCGAACAGCCGCAATATTATTCCCTGCCCCCAAGAGAAGATTTTATGATATGTGAACAACACGATTACACGATCCAGGCTGCGGCATTAAAGTGGATCTAGGTGGATGGAAATCCCAAATACAGCTAAATTGTGTTGCTGAGTGAATGAATTGTGGCGTTCGTTGCCCAAGCATGGTGGAATAGAAGGCAGCAGAAAGACATATCTGCGAAGAGCTCCAGAGAGTGAGCGCACGCGTGTCAAACTCAAAACAACCCCTGTCGACATTTTTCGTTGAGTAGTCTGACCCCTTTCGTTCCTTATGCCCACCAAGAATACAGAGTCCATCCTAATGAATCCGCCGCTATCTCCGCTAAACTTGCTAAAATATCTTCGAATGGATGATTCTCGATTGTGCAACACAGCAGGTAAAAACGCCACGGAGATGAATGTGAGGCGAAAATAGTCGACGAACTATTTTTAGCGTCGAAGTTGCTATCTCCTGTTTTTGATTTCACATGTTGGATTTCCTCACCGTTCACATGTCTTTCCGCAGTGAGGGACTTGCCCTTGTGCACACGTATTCACTATTGTGAATAAACAAATGAATATGTCAGCGAATTTTCTATACTTGAGTTCCCATGTCTGCTGGTTGTGATATTGTCTGCTATTGGAAATTAGGATATTTGAATCTGTCGCAAATCATAGATGTGTCAACTTTGAAGCGCGTCAGGAAATGATGTTGCGTCGGGATGTGATGCGATCTGAATACTGCTGATGTAACAATTTCGCACGTTTAAATGTCCACTTTTATCGTACACGACTTCACCCTTGACTGCAGCATGCTCAACATTATCCATGTAAGAATGGGCAATAATAAGCATATATATTGCCGCGCATCAGTCCAATAACGTTTTTACAAAAAAGTTCTGAAAAGATGAATATGGCCCAACAAATTTCGCTCAGTGACTTAAATGGCAAGGGCACGAAGTCTGTCAATCTACTTGTCCATTAGATTTATATTCATTATACTGTTTTGGAAAATTAGAACATGTCATTTTCTGGGCATGTGTCTGCATTGACGTGTCCAGTGTTATTTCAACGGAATGATACTAAGGATGGCAACTTCAATGAATTGAGGGCTGCTGTAACAGAACATTGCCAGGGTGAATGTGCAACTGGAAACAAAGGAATTATCCCGTATCAGTTTACACATGCTCGGGTTTCAGGAGAAGGAACGCATTAAATGAGTCACCTTTGTCATCACCTGATCCGTAAGTTATCCGCAAGATATTTCTGTCAGAGAGCCAGTCAGAGATTTATGCAACAGACTGCCTACAGGTGGCCGTGGCTCTGAAAGTAGAGTGTGTGTGCAATATGATGGATCAGAAACAGAGACAGAACTTGTGTAATATCTTCATAAGCTTTATCGGCTAAAAGCCATAGTACAAAGCTCAGAAACAGTAAATACGGCTGCAGAATGGCAATAAGAACATACCACCGTAAGATATTCTTCTATCTACAAACTCTTGAAGAACACCACCAAAATGAAGTGTGCAAAGATTCTCGTCTAGAGAGGCAATACCGAAAGTCAACACCCTACAACTGTCCGCAGTCAGCTATCTCGACAACATTCTTGGGTGTACCATTGGAAGAACCCTGCTTCTCGATTTCCGACACCACATTCATTCCTTTCGTTACTTGGCCGAACACAACGTGCTTTCCATCCAGCCAAGGGGTGGCAACGGTACACAAGAAGAACTGCGATCCATTGGTATTTTTCCCAGCGTTGGCCATAGACAACACTCCGGGGCCAGTGTGCTTCTTGATGAAGTTCTCGTCATCAAACTTCTCACCCCAGATCGACTCCCCTCCGGTACCATTGCCCCTGGTGAAGTCACCACCCTGGCACATGAACTGGGGAATGACACGATGAAACTTGGAACCCTTGTAGTGAAGGGGCTTCCCTAGCCTGTTCTTCCCCTTCTCACCAGTGCACAAAGCGCGGAAGTTCTCAGCAGTCTTCGGGGTGGTATCCGCGAACAGCTCCATCTCGATGCGCCCAGCGGGGTTACCGCCGATGGTGACGTCAAAGAATACCCTGGGGTTAACCATTTTGATCTGCACATACACAGCCGTATATCAATATTATAGATCCAGCGAACACACACAAAACAGAACAATGCAAAATAAAATAAAACATGAAAAAAATGAAAAGATAAAATCAAAGATGAAGGCAGACCAGTAAGTGGGCATTGACATCAGAAGAGAGACTGGCATGAGTGAAGCTCAACAATAAAATGAAAAGGGAACAACAGCACGAAGCCATGAGAGGACAACGAGTAGAGTAACGGGGAGCAACCTGTTAGAAACAGCGGCGACAGCGAAAGCAGCAGCAACACGGAAATAACAGCAAGACTACACAGGGAACCCTTTGAGATCGGAGCAAGACAAACACGGTATGCACGCCTGGGATAATGAGCAAGCACAATATATAGCAAGGGCAGACGGAAGCAAGGCGAAGTCACGCCGTTATTTTGGGGGTGATCGTCGAATGATGCCACGCGGCCCTAAGTCGTGGAAATGGATGAATGATGTAGCCTCAATTTGGAGATCGGAGTCCGACGACATTCGTTCGAAGAATCTAAAAAATCTCGAAAGTGGTATTGCTTGCCTGCATGAGTGGGCAATGACATCCAATGACTGACTAGTAAGTCATTGGGAGAGCTCCCGTAGACTCTCTTTTACTCTCTCACTCTCACTCTTACTCTCTGTCTCCAATTGCCTTCCTCGCTGCTTAGCTCCGTTTAGAAACTTTTTTTAATTGGTTCTTGCTGATTCGCCCTTTTCACACTGCCTCCCTCCTCTCCCCTCCCCTCCCCTCACCTCCCTCATTCATCCACTGCACCCATCTTCGAATCTTCATCCATCCACGGTACAGCTTTCATCCCCTTGGCGAACTATTAACCCATGAGCATGCAATGTTATGTCGGATTTTGGAAAGGGGCTGTTGTGCTCGGAAGAAGGAGGGATTTAAGGGATCAATGATAAGGACAACAGCCATTAAAAAATAAAAATGGTAATAATAATAAATAAGGTTGAGAATTTACATCACTTATGGACTTTAAAAAATATTAACAAGGGTGAGAATCATTTTGACACTGTGTGTTTTGCATTGGTTGTGACAATTTAATGAAAAGAAACCTTTGGTAACCGTGGTTGTGTTGAGTTGTACCATTAAGGGGCTTTTTTCAGCAGTGGACTAAGTTATTTAAATCATGACGCATATTGCAATCATGTGTATGAATTCTGAACAAATAAGTCCCTTTGATTAAGGAGCATCAAAGCTTGCTATAATGTGTTCCATTATAAATCAATTTATTGTATAATCGACATTTGTTAAAAATCACATCAAAAATTGCTTGCTAATTTTTTAAAATTTAATTTTTTTTTTTTACAGTTTGAGTAATAAAATAAACACTTTTTTGTTTTATTCAGATACTGCATGATTTGGTTGTAAATTGTCTGAATAATTCTATATGCCCAATAATATAACAAATATTTTTCAAAAGAAAAAATAGATAAGCTATAACTTTACGGTTTCTTTGGATATCAATTATTGTTTTTTAAAAAATTGAGGTTCTTATTGCCTCTTGAAAACTGATAGAATATTTTAAAAGCACTTTAGAAGTCACAACCAATAATAACTCTGTTTCAAAATGGAACCCTACATATATTTATTACTTTAAACAAATTTTCATGGAAATTTTGATGTATAGGATTTATCTCAATTAACACATTAGTTTAGTAGTAAAGAGCTAAGTTTAAAAATGATATTTGCATCCTGGAAAGAAAACCCAGATATACAGATCTTATTCTGCATTATATTTTTATTTTCATTATTATTATTTTTAATGTGATCTACGAAGGTTGCAACACATGCCATTCAAAACACCTTAAAATTATCACTTGGCATTGTTAAATCATCTTAAAGACTCTCAAATAAATTGTAATGGTGTCGTTGAGAAATCAGAAGATACAATATTGAATTTGTATTGCAATTTAGATGTTTTTTAAAATTAAAAAAGACATATCCGCTTTAACAATATATGAGGAGATGACATTTTAAATAATTGTACCACAAATTAGTACTACCTTCGCATAACCTTAATCACACCTGTTTTATTTATTTAATTACATTTATTCCTAGATATGGAGAGGCCTATGTTTTTGACCTCAATACTTTTACGAACTAAGTAGTGGATGAATTTTCCTTCATACTTCAGAAATGTAGGAAATGGTCATCACCAGTAGAGAGCATTGAACTGGAATTCGAGCTTGGAACTGCTGCTGCGAGCGAGCGAGCGAGCACGCATGCACTCACCTGGAATAGGTTAATGACGATGGCCTCGGAGAAGTTGGAAGCCTTGGTGCTTTGACTACCTTGAATGCTTAGAATCTCTCTTAGAGCGGTAGGCGCAGACGGGCAACACGAAAGCACCGAGGCCGGTGTCATTGCGCTGGATATATGTGCGGCGCAGTGAGATTGTGAGCAGGAACACGACGCGAGGAGAATGGCGAGCCGGCGCCGGGCCATTGGTTTTTTAGCCGCCGTTCTATTCGTCACCGGCGCGGGCATTTTCTCTGTGCACTCCATGCAGAAGGAAGAGCGGGCGAATCTTCACCAGGGCGTTATCCGTGATCAAGCCTTGATGGGCTTGAAGGAGCAGCAGCGCAGAGAGCAGCAAGATAAGGTTCCCACTCAGTCTGTGCAATACTGAGTTGTCCGAGAATCGAGTGCCATCTCCCCCCGTGCTTCTTCCCCGTACGCCTCATCTGCACCCCGGTGCTGTTTATTTCTTTTCGTCGTGTGTTCCTACTCTTCTTTGATATCATGGACGGCTGACGCCTCACTCTAATTGTTTGTCTAGGCTCCTCATAGGGTTTCAGCTTTCCTCTTTCTAACGCACGATTTGCAATGTCATTGGCTCTTTTGAAAGACAGTAGCACTCTTTCGTAAATCTTCGCTTTAGAAAAAGTCGTGAGGGATTGCAGTGTACACTAGATTTTCTAGAGGATTGTCACAGAGCGTCTGTTTTTTTATAAATACGTTTTGTTTTATCTGGCCATACCCTAGATCCTGGTCATTCGTGCAGAGATAGGTAGGGTAGGATATTCTCATGCTACGCATTACTTCCACAAACCCGATCATTAGAACTAAGAAATCTCTTGTTATTGTTTACTTGAAACAGCTCATTTCTGTCCGGTTTCGTCTATCAACTTCTGCAAGGCTCACATTTTCTCTTGCTTCTCTATAGTTTGGACGAATTGTAGGTCTTTGGAGCCTTTCGAGCAGCTGATAGACAATCCATTAATTACAGGCTGATGCTACTATCAACAAGAATGAGTTTCATGAAGTTGTGTGATTTTCATGTGCTGGGGTCCCAATTACTGGCATTCTATCGAAATACTATGAGTGTCGAACGAGTCATTCCATCTTTCCTCGACGATTTATTGATCAACTATCGTCATACTATTATCAACTACATGTTGCATCGAGGATTTAAACGAAAATATGAGCCCTAATCTGTTTCAATTCTCAAAGTATCCGACATGCGATCGTACCGCTAAAGCACTTTATTGTGCAAGACTCTCGGGTCATTCATAAATTTGAAATTTGGTTATTAAAGGCTTCTCATACAAATGACTTAAAAAATCTACTTGAAGAGACATGTTTTCTATTGTCTGTATGTTTCAGCAACCTGATTATAAATTGTGGATTTAAGCTTTGTATTTTTCGCCTCATGTTTTTCGAAGGCTTTGCTCCTTTTCCGCGTGTGTCAATAGCATCATATGATTTTATGTTAGACGATTGCATGTGCTTCGACGATAGATTATAGTCTGAATTGAACTGTGTTGTACGAAACGTTAAGAATTAACACCACTTGATATTTGTTTTTTTATTTATTGTGGCAGTAACATGGAGTCGTTTATGTAGTGAGCTTGAGATTTAATTAAGTTAATCGTGCCGGAAACTTCATCTAAGTCTTGTTAAGTGCTCATGCGCACTCGACATTATTCTGGAATATTGTCGAACGACTTTCTCTTTGACGTCGATGGAATCGGAGATTTTCATAAAGTCGGCATAAGTTAGTGTTGCGGAACGTCGAAGCATTACTTCAGCAATGTTTGATCTTTCTTTCTAGGAGATAATTACAGATTTTTAAGGATTCAAATCTAGTGCTGTAAGTTTTGGACAATACTGCAGCCATGCAATTCACAAAGCTTGATGACTCGCCCATGTTTAGGAAGCAGGTATACACGTGTACACTGCAAGCCCCTTCAGATTATAAATGGATTTCTTGACATGCTTTAGTTCTTGGTCATTGTATGCTGCTGCTTCAACGATGTTGTAAGAATTGCAAACACGATGCGTAAGCTGATGTGAGCATTCTGATTGCCAGCTTCAAGCACTTGAAGAGAGTGCCGAGGCCCTGAGGGAGCGATGTCAGCGTTTTTACAAGGGATGTCGCAAATATACGTATGAATTTCGTCCATGCTTTACAAGTGACTGCTAGCTTAAACTTCTTACGTTTGACTTGGTTGTTTTTATTTTGTTTATGTCAGGGAGGTCACATCTCCTAGGTTCGGGTATTCTAATATTAGGAAGCTTGGGATATAAGAGAACATGTCCATATTGGTGTATTTTGCTCAGAGGTTCTAACTAATGATTTTTGATACTACAGGGATGGTTTGGGTGAAGCGTATGATGGGGATATAGCTTTTGCAAATGCCCTGGAGACGTTTGGAGGAGGCCATGATGATCCTATTAGTGTGGCTGTTGGAGGTGATTCTTCTGCTCCAATATTTTCACAATTTTAAAGACAAGAATGTATGCTTGACTTTTCGACTTACTAACTGTAGCTTTCGAAATTACGTACAAGTATCGTCACAGAACTCCAAGCTTCCTTCGTAATACAACATCGGCTGGAGCTTCTTTTACAGCCCTTTTGAGCGTTCATAAATCTTCACCTTGTGTTTCTAATAGAGTTTTTATTTATTTATTTATTTATTTCTGTCCCTGCATATCCTCGTCTTGCAGCATATCTCCTTTCTTTGTGGGAGGAATCTATACTCTTTTTTTCGGTTCATTAGCTGCACCTCTTCTCTAGTCATGTATGTCAGTATTTTTCTTTTCTCATAACGTATTTACTGGAGTCTGTTTAATGGGAACCGCAACGTGTTTTCAACTCTGATCCCTTCTTAATACTTGCAGTTCTTTGGAAATCTGGATTTTCAACATAGAGGGACTCTTCTTGCTGCTTGGAATGGGAAATTTGTGAATTCTTTCTACTTAACTTTCTGAAACTTACTAGGTGGTGAAACCAACTGATATCAATCTCACTCCTAAAGTAAATAGATGCCGTTGTTGCATTTGAATACCGTAATCATACAACACAGATGGAGTTTTGTGGATAGGATGAAAACAACCAAACATGTATGGGGACTGAACAATGCTCATGTGTGGAAATGTTTGGTGCGTTTTACTAATTTGGTTGTAGGTTTTTTTTTGTTTTTCGCAACTGTAACCAACATTTCGCTCATTGCACCTTTTGATTTGAAATACACTTCTCACCTTTAGTTGTTGTGTTTGTCGTTTTCAAGTACATCTTGGTTACTACAAATAATCTCGTTATTACAGAGATCTGACTTTGGTTTGTTGTCTATTTTCGTGCATATGGTTACTCTTCATCCTGTTCTCTATGTTATCCATTTGGCTAGTACTGAGGTTTCATTATTATTATCTTTTCTTTTTTTTGGGTTATGAACAGGACCTGTGATGACAAGATTCACTATTGCGTTGAGAGAGATAGGAACGTACAAAGAGATCCTCCGTTCACAGGTGCTCCAGAGTCGCCATTATGCCTCTTGAACCTTGGAGGTTGTACGCTGAGATTTGAATCAAACTCCCAGTAATCAAGTGTGCATGATCCAACTTCGTACACTAATCTTTTGTGCAGTTGCTTTAAAAATCCTTCAGCTATTCGTACGAGTTTCGGTCATACTAGTGAGTAATTCTTATTAGTGACGCACTCAAGACGTGTGAGGATAATCTCAGGAGCTGCTCGTCTGCTGTAGGTGGAGCATATGCTGAATGACCGTTTAACGCAGTTTGTGAGCATTGATCTCCAAGACGTCAAGGTTTGCTCCTTTGATCCAAAATGTTGATGAAGAGCATCCTGAATATATTATCTCTGGACATCCGCTACTTTCGTGAAACAGCTGACATAAGTGCGAGTAAGATGGTGCCCATTGTGACTCATTCTTTTGATTTGTGTGTTGATTAATGGCAGAATGTAAAGGTTGGTGGAGAGCATTGGATACAACATATGACGGCTGTCCTGTCCTTTACAGCTGTGCTTACGGATCTGTTTACTAGAGGCATATAAATTTGCAGATTTTGTCGCGTTAATTTTAAGTCCAGCTATTCATTAGTTAACACCAAAGGCTACTGTCTTGTTTGGCATCCGTAGCTCGTGTCTGCAGCCTAAGCGTGCAAGATTGTCTTCCTTTAGCTTTGGTCAGGGAGACATTCTCATTATACCATGGCTCAAAGGAGCTAAGAGACTGTCAGTTATTCAGTTTGACACAAGCTTTCATGCGTTTTAGTTCTCTATTCCTGTCTACCCATATAAAATAGTATAATTTTATCATTTTAACATCTCGTGGGAAATGAATGGTACTTGAGTTTTTTACGGTGTTTTATATAAGCGTGCCAATTTCATGACATGAGCGGACTTTCGCAAGGTAGTGGTAGTAGGCTTGGTGTGCTTGCATTAACTTGAGATAACCGAATGTGCAGGAGCTTAGAAAGCGCTTTGACAAAGCCAGTTTACATTATGACCAGGAATGTTCATGTCTCCTCTCTGATGTTTATATTTAATTATTTTTGAGCCGGATGACGTTAGTACTGCAAGTGTACAGTGATTGTGTGCTTGATCAGCACAAATATTATGCTGCTTGTCAAACAAAGTTTATGACAGCAAATTGATTTAATTTGCTTGATGTGGTTTCTGTTCATTAGTCGCCTTTTTCAGTTTCCATCTCACAGTTGCTTTGAAGAATACCGCTCGAGTGTGGTGCAGTTTTATGTTTGTAATTCCAAACTACATAGTTTCAACTGAGTTTGTGTTCCTAACTTGAACAGGTGCGGGAAAAGTGTCTATCCTTAAAGAAGGATGCAAAGCCAGAGATCATCAGCGAGTTTGAGGAGGTACGGTAGTGGTCTTTCTTAGTGAAACTGATGATCATGCTTGAGGATGATTCTAAATGGATAAAAGTGGATTGCTGGACATTGATTTTGAATTTTTTTCAACAGCTGTCAAATACACCGGCCATGGATATATTCTTTGAATTGTTACAGCTCTTTAACTTGCATGATGTCTTATTCTTATTCTTGAATTTTCCTCTCTGTGTGCTCTTTTGTGTTTCTTTTCAGGACTTACGAAATGCCAAGTCACAATTTGAGGAAGCTCGGTTCAATCTGGTATTCTCTCTAGGAAGATGGGAAACTGAAATGTTTGTAATATATTTCTCTCTCTAAAATATGTTGCAGCCATATTTTCTGTTTGATATGTTATTATGGTAGTTTATGAGGACATCTCCTCTGTTTTGTATGATATGAAGTGCTAGAAACTGGCTTTTAACCATCAGTTATCGTATTATCAGATGACGGCATTGTCCAACATCGAGGCAAAGAAAAAGTTTGAGTTCCTGGAAGCTGTGAGTGGCTCTATGGATGCTCATCTCCGCTACTTTAAGCAGGTGAATTTTGTAATTTTCTTGTGTTTGGCAATCAGATATTTCAGACATCACATCAAAGATACTCTTATTCTCAGAACAGTTTGCTCTATATAATTGTTAACAGACGGATTGTTAGAACTTACTTGAGGTTTTCTCTGTTTTGACACAGGGCTACGAGTTGTTGCATCAGATGGAACCCTATATCCACCAGGTAGATTTTTTAATCTATGCATCGCTCTGTTCTTTGTTTTATTCATGATGCTCTTTACATGCATATGAAACAAACAGTTCCGCTATTATCATTTACTACGTTCTGTCTAAGGGTTACCTTGTGGGGCTGGGTGTACATTATTTCTTTCGGAAGGTTGTGCCTTCGTATTTGCATGAGCGTTTGTTTAGCATCTGCAAGTCATATTTTCTTTTTGTTTATGGTGCGTTATGCCAGGTATTAGCATATGCGCAGCAATCACGGGAAAGAGCCAACTCTGAGCAGGTGTTACTTGCAGACCGCATGCAGGAGTATCGGCAGCAAATGGAAAGAGATAATCAGCGCTCGCTTAGTGTGGATACCACGACCGGTGGTGATGGAATCCAAGCTGTTGGCCGCAGTTCACATAAGATGATAGAAGCTGTTATGCAGTCCACTCCAAGAGGAAAGGTAGGAATTTGAGCTGAGGAATTCTAAATATGTAGTTGCTTACGATACGGGCTTAAAGCTGAAAACGCAGACCTTTTTATCCTTATTTACATATCTGTTTATTTTTTTCTTTTTTACTTATAGATACAAACCATCAAGCAAGGATACATTTTGAAGCGTTCCTCAAATTTGAGAGGTGACTGGAAGCGAAGGTTTTTTGTGCTGGATAGTAGGGGAATGTTGTACTACTTCCGAAAACAATGGGGGAAACCATCTGTAAGTGCATAGATCCAAACTCATATTTTCATGGAGTGTTTTTTCATGTAGAATTCAATGTGAAAATTGTAGGAAATGTAGATCTGTGTTTCAGTTCCCTCATGTGTGTTCTTGACCAGACATAATCTCAGTTTGCTAAGTTTATTGGCGTAAACGCGAACTTGAATGATTGTGAACACACAGGATGACAAAACGATCGCCCATCATACTGTGAATCTGTTGACTTCTACAATTAAAATCGATGCAGAACAATCGGAACTTCGATTTTGTTTTCGTATAATATCGCCATCAAAAACCTTCACATTGCAGGTTTATGTCTATCTTTTGCCCTTTTTCTCTGCTGTATGCTTAAATATCACACTAGATACTTGATGATGATACCATTTCAACCTGACAATACAGGCAGAAAACGCAATCGATAGAATGGATTGGATGGACAAGATCACCGGGGTGATTGCGTCTCTTTTGAACAATCAAATATCAGATCAGGTAAAAATGTAGTATTGTTGGTTTGTTATCTACGTTGAACGTTTTCAATGTTGTAATTTGATGCCTAATAACAATGATTGATATATTGTTTTCATTGGTACGACTGCAATTTCCTGGAGGAGCCAGCTTTTGCCAGGATTTTTGTTTGCTTTCCATAAAGCTATTCTTGAATTCTTGTTAACTACGTAAATTACAACAGCGGCCGTTTCGAAATTCAATGGGGCTTCACCAACGGACAGGTAGTGAGAGTAGTACATTGAGTGCAGCATCTTCTTCCGAGTACGATGGCTGCGAAGACACGGCATCGTCAAGGCCCTTCTCGAGCGACTCACATCGTGATCACATCCCTCGTCGTGGCCCAAAATTGAAGCAACAAGAAAGGCCTCTGGATATTTTGCAGAAAGTACCTGGTAATGGTATTTGCGCTGATTGTGGCGCCAGTGACCCAGATTGGGCTTCTTTGAACTTGGGAATTCTGCTCTGTATAGAGTGCTCAGGGGTGCACAGAAATCTTAGTGTACAAATTTCCAAGGTGAGAATACTTATTTGTTTATAAGCAGAATTGAATTTAGATAATTTTTTTTCTTCTAAGTCTTGCACAGGGCTGTATCTGGTATGTGGTCAAACGGTAATTACTGTCAAGAGGTACTTGCATGGCCCTTTGAGAGTGTCTTGTTTGCTGGGTACTTTGTAGAGTATGTGCAAGACATGGCCACAGTCTGTTCTACATATGGTCTCATTTTTGAATTAAGTGTCGAAAGTTCTTTGTTGCTTTTAAGCTGTGGAATCAGGATTTATTTCGAATTGATAGTAATTAAAAGGGTCGTTCAGGGAATGTTCTATATTGTAGTTATTGTTCTGTAATGTTCAGTATTTAGGTACATGGATGGTAATTGTGTGTTGCATTCTATTGATATCTTTCGTTCACGTTGTGCTTGTATTTCTGGCAGGTTCGATCATTGACACTAGATGTTAGAGTGTGGGAGCCTTCCGTGATTGGATACTTTCAATCTGTTGGAAATGCATATGCCAATACAATATGGGAAGAACTTTTGACTTCAGATTTCAGAGACACAGAAGACATTCGCGATAAGTTTGTATTCAATTATACCTGCTTGTTTAATGTTTTTTTTCTTTTTTTCTTTTTTACATTTTTACATTTTTCACTTTCTATTTGTGTACGGCACATTTAGTTACGTGCTGTTGATTTAGAATTTATGCAGAGGTGTCAGGGATGAAAGAAATGGATTTACGAAAGATGTACGAGTGAAACCAAAAGCCAATGATCCCATTGCTGTCAAAGAAAAGTTCATACATGCCAAGGTTTGTCTAGAAACGAGAGCAGCTTGATTAATCCATTTGTTCTAGACCATATTAAGCAGTAGAAGTTTACATTCCAAATTATTTTCTCGACATTTTTATTGCAGTGATTGTGGAGATGGTTGATTTCAAGGTCTATTTGAACCCTTATTTGTCTAACTTTACTTCTCCTTGATTATTTGTCGACCTTGTAAATCTAAGTTTGTTGCATTCAATGATTTCGTTTGGGTTGAACGACGTTTTATCATAATGGTTACACTTATTGTTTATAAGTTCCGCTTGATGTTATCAATAGTGGGGGTTTTAGCCGTCTGTACTTGTGGGCAAACTCGTTCGAGCTCGAGTGCTTAGGTTTTTGTTCTTTTCTAAGAGATATGGTGATTGTTTTCGCAGTATGTTGAGAGGAGATTTATTCGGAAGTGGAAGCCTCAATCAGGGGTTCCTCCGGTGGCACGACAAGTATGGGATGCTGTTTGGACTAACAAGCCACAGCTTGTCCTTCGGTTGTTGATTACTGCGGATGCCAACGTCAACACAACTTTAGAGCAAGCCATGGGTGCTACTGAATGGTCTCGTTTTTCGTTGACAAATCTTACAGGTGTACTTTCACGAAAGGGGTCTGTTTCCTCCAGCTCTCGTGGTAACTGGAGTGGACCTCTCCTTTCCACCTCGCAGGATTTTCCCCGACCTCATTCAGCAGTTTCAAGCCCATTGCGAGGTTCTGACTTAGCTGAGGATCCAAGTCATAGAGACGGGTCAATCCAAGACTTCAAAGATTTTCAGGGTTGCACTTTATTGCATGTTGCAAGTCAGATCGGGGAACTAAATTTAGTTGAGCTACTACTTCAGCATGGTGCACAAGTTGATATTGTTGATTCGTTTGGTCGAACATCTCTTCATCATTGCATTTTGAAGGGAAGGAACGAATGTGCAAAGCTCCTTCTTACAAGGTATGATTATTATGCAGCCTGATTTACTCGTCGACCGAGTATCATTGTGCAGCAGTTCATTTTTCTTGCCTTGGAAATCGGATTATTGGATTTGAACGGTATTAAGACGGACCGAGATAGGTCCATGTGTGTGCTATTGAAGTTGTTTGAGCTGCTATCCACTATCAATTTGGTCTAAAGATATGTTTCTAGCTGTCGAGAACTAGTTACCAGGTAGCGATCGAAAGAATTATATTGAACAGGCATATGCTTGGGTAATAGTTACTTATGTTATGGTCACGGTTCAACTATGTCTACTGGTTGGGTGCTTCCAGGTGTGAACTTCTGAAAGACGTTTGTCTGAAGGTTCACAGTACGTTCAAATAGCATATTAGCATAATGTTCTATCAGAGCTTTTCCTGTTTTGCTGATACCCCTTTGGCATGCAGAGGATCAAAACCAGGTGCACTAGACAACACTGGAAAGACCCCACTCGAGCTTGCAGTAGAGAAAGGAGCGATAACTGACGATGAATTATTTTTGATGCTTTCTGAACTAAACAAATAATATCCTGGCTGACGCAATTTGAGATATGTTCTCGTGTATGTACTGCAATGGTTATACTGGATCAATGTAGGGATGTAGTTGATTGATGTCTATTTGTCTTCCTTTGTGCATATAGTGATTAGTTAAAAAATTCTAATATATAATCATTGTTAAGATCCTGAGGGATGGAATGGGTGAACCAGAACATGTCAGTTGGCATGTGTGAATTTCCTTTGTCCATGTTGGACAAGAAACTTTAAAAACTTGAGGTAGGAGAGGTAGATAGTTCGTCTTCCACCGAATTATTTGTATTTAGTTAATCCTAAGCGCAGGGAGTTGCTGATTTCTTCAGTAGCAGGAAAGAATGAGAAGCGTTAACTGCGCTTTATGCAATGATTTTGGGGAAGGAACTCCTTAAATTCGTTATGTGAGTCGGGCAATAGGAACTAGGAGTGTGGGTCCTGGTAACTGGTCAAAGATTCTACTCTTTTTCTCTGCATGGCACAGTTAGACTCAACATCAGCTTCATTAGTTTTACTTATTAGTTTGTTTATATAGACACATGTTCCCACATTTCATCTTGAACCCGAAATCTACACTTTCTGTGTTGAAGTTTTTTTTCTGATTGCCACTTAAGGAGTATGTGTGATATAATAGTTTTAAATGTTAAACATTCTTTTGGTGATGCTTATTGCAGGTCTATGGAGTTGTATGGAATTATGCATAAATATGATATCTTTATCCAAGTGATCTATTTAAAGTGTGATTATTTTTGTTGATTTTCTATTTTGACTACTTCATCATTATTTTCGTAGCTTGTCTGGTAGTGAATGAGAATCGATACATTGTGCTATTTTATTCTATCACAAGTTAATTCAGTGGCTTAAATGTTAATACTTTATACCTTTTCTTATCTGAATACATACTATTTTTATTATATATATATATATCTCTCTCTATTATTACCGTGTTCTCAATGTAGATCCGTGTGGAATTTGCTACCGAGATCCTTTCTTATTTTTTGATATTTTCAAAAACATGCACGTACGTCTGTTTGTACTCAAGTTGAAAGATACACATTTTTAAACTGAAAAAAGTATGTTGTCCAATGTACAAATACAAATACACCTGGGTTTTATCAACGAGGTGTATATAACGTCTTATTTGTTGATCCTAATACCAATTTACAACTCTATGAAGAAAACATCTCAAAAAGTTTGAAGAAACAAAGTGCTTTACTTTATTATCAAAAAATAATACATGTAAGCTACTTTTAGTTGAATTCGCACTCCCTCTGCATAAAAGTTGTCCAATTTGGGATCGACAAAAGGAAGAACCCACTCCTCTATTGAACAGTCAACTGGGGACCATCTCCAAAAAAATACAGTCCACTAACAGATAGAGTCGAAATCTTGGAATTCATGTTTAAACATATCACTAAAAATAAATTGAAATTTTTTAAAAAATTAAATACCATAGTTGTAATTATAAGTGAAAAAAACATGCACCGCAACTCAACGTCTAAGCTCACCCTAAATCTGAATAAAAACATGCACCACTACTCAACGTCTAAGATCACCCAAAATCTGAATAAAAACATGCAATCCAATTCAGATAAAAACAAATGGCGGTCGTGCGTAAGATAAACTTCGAGAATATGCGACTATTTAAAGAAAATCCACGTGGATTCAGAAGAAACAAGATACGTCAAATAATTAAGAAAGTAAATTCCCTTTCACGCATACATCCAAACACCCATCCATCATCCACCGCGTGTCGGCTCTGGAAGCATATTCCCCTGGGGATGCTTCCAACTGCAACAACGCGGCGCGGTCAGCATGAAGCACAGAAGAAGCTCTCGCCTCGCAGCCACAAGATGGAAAAAAGAGAGGCGTTGCAGGCATGGATGGAGGCTTCGTGTTTACCTACCCTCCATTTACCTGCACCGTGATATTTACAACAGCAGCAGCAACAACAACAACAATAACACCAGTACAGACTCATTCAGATTTCTAAGCCTGCTGTGGAAGTAGACTTGGTCACAATCACCGCGGTGCTTGGAATTTGCAATCTTTGCCTCCGCAGCGGTGTGAACGGGACCCTACCAGCGTAAAGGGGCAAAGTGGGAAAAGGAGGAGGAGTCTTCCGGGGACGAGCTCTTGTGACGTTACCCGTTCTCCTCCAGGGGCTTGGTCTCGGCCCATCGAGTACCAGTGATTTCGTGACAGTTGGCGTGCGGACATTCATCGTAGGTTGCCAATGTCTTTGGATTCCTTATTTTAGGATGTACAACGGATGGATGATTCGTAATTCGCAGTTTGTTCATCTATGGATGGATGATGACACGTGTAGTCTCTTTCCTCGAAGGTTGCAGACAATTTGCACCGAGGTCACGAGTAATCTTTGTTTATTTTTAGTCTTCCATGATTTTATGTTTTCTAATAATTCGATTTTTTTTTTGTTATATATGACTTTATGGGCGGATTACAAGGTATAACTCGTTTTCTCGGAGTTGACTGAAGACATAAGGAATATATATTAAGTTCCAGACAATGTGCTTGTTGTTATTGAGACGAAAGCATCATATTTATTCTTAATGAGAAAGGGGAATTAACAACAGTATATACTGTGGGCATCTCTACTTCCTGCTCGTGATACCAAGAACAATTCAAAACTTTGTCTCAACGTATTATTAAAAACAATTAAAAAAATCAGAGAATTTAACATATAAAGGGCATCTCAAGTATATTATACCAGTTAGTTAGTCAGTTGGTTTGTTTTATTTTTGTTTTGTATTTTTTTGTATATATATATATATATATATATATATGTTAATATCTTCTGAAATCATTCATTAAAATTTTGATGCTGGAACAATCCTAACATAAATTATTGAATTTCAACGTTTTCCAATGGTTTATGTCATGTAGACTTATGTATTGTTTTATTGTGCATCTTTTACTATCATTGTTAATTTTAGGGGAATGTTAAATAGACCCAGGTATTTACTAAATCAACGTATCCATGATGAAGAATATGGTACTCATGATGTATGTAGTTCGATTACATTGGTTTTAGATCCAATAGTGGAAAAATGAATGTAGAAGTAATTTTCTTTTTTCATGATGGTCAAGATGGGAAGGTAAATTTAGTAAAATCCCGAGTCTATTTAGCATTCCCTTACTTAATTCTTAATTTATTTTTTTGCACCTAGAGTACTAAAAAAGTAAACTGTGCAACTCTAGGATATGGTCATGTGGTTGGAATTAGTAGATAATATACACACACACACACACACATATATATATATATATATATATACACATACAAACACACACTTTTAAAGAATACAATACATATTACATAAATGTGTGTGTGGGACTTATTTTACTTCATTTAAATAATCATTCTTTAAATCAACATTAATAACAACCATCTAATAACACTTCGAAACTTTTGAACATGAAATTCAAGTATATGATTAAATGATATATTAGAATTTTCTAATATTGTTCGATTTCCTTTTAGAAACCAAGTGTGATACTTCATTATCTAAATTATTATTGTATGAATATTTGGATTTAGTGCTTAAATGTATTTCAATCAAGACAGAATTTACACCCCCTAACATAATTAAGTTATACTAAAATGAATCTTTTTAACAAACATAAAAAAGCACCATTTTCTTAAAGCAGTTTGTCAATATATATATATATATATATATTTAAAAAACTCCTAACAGCAATCAATAACGATTCATTTTAAACGGAACCAGAGAAACCCCACCACACGAAAATTAACGCAAGTAATTCATTTCCAAAATTAAGTCTTTGAGAAATATCTTCACCAAACACGATCTTCAAGAGAAAGCATCACTCACACCCACATCCACGACGCCACTATATCCCCCACTAAATTTCTCAGGAACAAAAATTTTCCTCGTCCCATGACCCCAAAATGGCATCCAATAAAAACGAATATTTACTAGTCTCATTCTACGTCATAGCCAATAGAATGAGGTCCTAAAAACACGGAGATTCACTACGGAGATTCACAAGTGTGAACGGGAGTAAGGGGGGGAGTGTGAACGGGGTTCGCTAGCACCGACCCTTTTGAACAGGGCAGGAAAGCGACGACGCTCCACGGCCGCGCCTACGCCTTCGCGATCCTCGTGAGCTATTTTTAGTTGTTTATTTTATTTGTTTCTCCGTCGCAAATTGCTCACCAGCGAGATGTCTTTTCGGTGAACGCTATGGAGGAACAGACGATTAAGCTTAAGTTACAGGAAAACACATTGACAATAAGGGGAGGAGGAGCGGAATGAGAAAGGGAAATGGGACTCCCACCGCATCTGGAGTGAATTGCACGAACTTCAAGTCAAACCCTGTCAGAGAGGCGGAGGAGGAGGAGGAGGAGGATGGAGGGTGATGGTGCCTGCCGTAGCCAAGTCATACACGCTTTCGAACTTGCGATGAAGGATTCCAATGTGAGTGAGTGAGTTCCCAGCTCAGGGACGACGTACTTTCGCCCACATTTCTTGCGCTCGCTTTGATGGCGCTCATTCCTCGTGCCCCCTCGTATTTGTGTTCTTATGGCTGGATCAGCCGCTTCGAGATTTGGCGGAATTAGTGGATGCGCAGACGGGGAGGAAGGGGGCTGAGATAATGGTTGTTCCAAGTGCAGAGAAGGTCGTGACATTTGCTTCATCGAGGTGCTCTTTCGTGCGTAATGCCAATCGTCCCTGATTTTGTCTTAGTTTCTCTAGGTGTTGAGTCCAATCCTAACGTTGATCTGTGAGGGTCTCAACTGTAGAGTACAGGATGGAAACCATTTTTGATTGTTGAACTCTGCCCATTCTGGTAACAAGTTTTGGAATGATAGATGAAGTTAGGTTCCACGCAGTCCCAAGCACACCTGACTTTAAATTTACATCTGGATTGTTGGTGAAAGCAGTGGTTGTTTTTTGTGAATTGTAGGGCAGCATCTGTATTCGTCCCAGGCTATCTTAAATTGCAAGGATAGGATGTTGTGCCGTATTTCATCGTTACGATAGTTTTCTGAGAAGCTACCTCATCAGTTGGTGCAGAACACGCTGTTTGGTGTGAAGATTAGGTGAATCTTTAGTTCTCTTTTCTTTTTAGATTCTTTCCAAGCTTTCCTCCAAATGGATGTCTGGCGCATCGCAATTGGCGGGACCTTTTTTTTTTTTTTTTTTTTTTTTTTTTTTTCTTCATTTTTATACTACGTTGTAATTGATAATTATCCTAATTTTTTAAAAAAAAACTGGAAGGAAGTGTTTCATTAACTTGAGGAAAACGAAGTTTAAAAATGCATTTCAGCATCCCCAGCTGGATGCAAGTTACAAATTGGTCCTTTTAGTTCCACCGAAATCGAATTAAGACATATGCTGTCGATGAGAAAGCTTTGCTTTCAAATTGAACTGCCACCGCTTAGAATAGTTTCATTTCGATAAAGATTACATATGGTGTGCCTGCGGAAAGGTTTTCCCAATCCTTCAATTCATGTATGATGTTTATGATTCTCACAGGCATTATGTTATTAACTATTTAGGTTGAATTTAGAAGAGATTTGTTACTTGTGTTTTAAATCAATAGCTCGTTACGTTGTGCTTATAGTGTTAAGTGATTGCTCAGGCATCGATCATGTCGCGAATATGTTTCCGGGCGTTTTTGAGGTGGCGATGAAGCTGTTAACTTATTCCCCAAAATAATAATAGTTCCCACAAACATCCGCATTGATGCTACCAGTAGAAAGAGGCCAAGAACTAAAGCGAAGCTTGCAACCTCGAGTGGATGTCGAGGTCACGGGGAGCTTGAAAGGCGTCTGCGAGGGTGGCCTCGAGGCATAGGAGGAACCATTACAAAAACAATCAACCATGGATTCAACAAATGATACCTTAGCGGTACCGCCCGGACTCCGCACAGATACCAGCAGTAGAGTTAATCCCAGTATGGCCATCATCATTGTGGTCCTTATTGCCGCATTGCTTGTGGTGGCTTTTTTCTCAATGTACGTTAGGAGGTACACTCGAGGGGACAGCGGAAACGATAATGAATCCGCTGCAACAAGAAACGGAAACAGATCTATTCATTTTTTTGACCGACCGGGCGAAGGACTAGATAGAGCACTTATAGATGATTTGCCACTGGTAAGTTTCACGGTGGTGAAGACACTGAAGGAGGGGAAAGAGGACTTTGAATGCGCTGTGTGCTTGGAGAAATTCCAAGAAGACGAGTCTTTGCGATTGTTGCCTAAATGCAGTCACGTCTTCCACACAGAATGCATTGATGTGTGGTTCCTATCGCATTCGACATGCCCTCTATGCCGCATGAGTCTCAAGCCTACCGTTGCTGAGATCCATGCCGGCGTCCCAGAGGTTGGCGAGGTCTCCAGGCGTATTCTTGAAGCTCAAGAGGAGATGATAGGTTCTGCGAGGCGGCCGACCGACGAAGGCAGTGTCATTAATGAAAATGACGCGTTAGGAGGTAAGTTGATACTCTGCGAGCTTAAGCTTAGCAATTCGTGCTCTTAGGTCTGCCTTCCTACGTCTCGTCTGTGTTTATTTGCATCATAGAACCTAGAAACTTATGCTCAAGCAGAGTGGCTGCTGCGTCTGGGGTTGTATTCTCATATTCGAACAGGGATGTGAGCCTCGATTTCAAAGAGTAAAACTTCTATGATTAAATTTGAATAACATCAAAAAAATTGGACTTAAAACAGACATTCCTTATCTGAAAGGTGGATTGAATCCATGAGTTAGTGGAACTAACGTTGAATCAACGCTCATGCTTCGCATTACATCATAATTGATCAGCATTAAACTATCTATCTCATTAAGTATATTATAAAAACTTGCAAGTCTCCGTGGCGATACGCATAAGAAGTCATTCGGGACATTTTTTGTTTTACAAAGATAACATTAATTGAGCAGGTGATTTGTCCATGAATAACCAGGAAGTAGAAACGAAACGGTGCTGGATACCGACAGAGATAATGAGAGAAGTGGCGCAAGATTGGCTCTTTTTCGAAACTCAAATTCTTTTCGACAAGCAGCTCGAGGGGTTGAAGTCCGAGAAAGACTTGCCACGCTATCCTCTCGATATCCAACGTCTTCTGCAGATGTACATAAAGATCCTCAAAGAGCGTTAAGCTTGAGCTGTCTCTCATTTCAGAGGACACGATCTTTGAGTGCTGGAGGAACGGGGGACTTTTACAACGGTGAACTATTCAAGTATGGATCGCAAAGATATGGTCTCAATGGATCGCCTTTGAGCAACTCCTTAGGAAGATTATGTAGTTTAAATGAGCGAGAGCTACAAGGAACAGGTGATTTGAGCCGAATTGATCCTAGTGCAACACTTCTAGAGGAAGGATCGTCATCATCGGCAAGTAGCGAGCATTGGACAACCGTAGATTTAAATGGAGTTGCTGCTCATCCCCATCCATCAAAAACTGAAGAGGCAGTAATCCTTGCCAATACACAAGTCTCGACTACTCCTGGTACTCAATTGCCCAAAAAGCCCCGTTCAGGACCACTTCCAAGGAAACAAGTAAATGTAGCACACAACAAATCAGGAAGTGCATGGGAACGGCTGAAGATGGAGGGCGGAAGTTTTCGAGGTCTTCGCGACTCATTCCCATTGCATAGATCAGCCTCCGAAGGCAGACCGCAAAGTTTCGCCATTGATCTCCCTCCAACTGCAATAGAGCCTGCAGTGCTCGATGTTTGCTCAACACCTCGGGCTGATGCGACTCCTCCTGCGGATACAGACATTTCCTTGGCTCAAAGAACAATGCAATGGCTGTCTGGAGGACATGGGCATACCTTTTCTGCCACTTACAGAACATCACTCGATCAGAAAAATGCGTTGCAGCAGATTGTCACGGAGGGATAACTGGGTCGAATGTTTTGATCGACTCTATCGTATGTGTTGTAAGTTTCGGTGTGGGAAATTGAGGCTGTCGTAAGTAAATTACTTCAGATGATTGGATTCCAGCGATCACTGTACCAGCAGCGGCAAATCCATGGCCTCATTTTGACGCCAAGGGAGATTCTATTCGAGTCTTCAAAATTCGGTGGATTTGCCAGGTAATACTGCATCTCCGTTTCACGGTCAATTTTTTAAGCATTTGTAAATACAGTACACAGTAGTGTAGGTATGAGAGGAGAAGTTTCTGCTGGTATTTGTGGAGTACTGGTAATGAGAAGAAGTCTATTGTATAGAAGGTACTGTTGTGTATAAGGTACAGCGAAGGCTTGACCCTAGATTTGTGTAATCACAACAGGTCGTTATTGGGGCAAGTGGCAGAACCAGACATGTGTGCTCATCCTTCTGAATCATGTAATGGTCTACCTTATCCCTTCCCGTCCGTAAGTTACTCCGAGCTTCAGATGTGGGTACATCACCAGGGAGTTTACTCTCGTGGATTTTTATCAAACTGTCAACTGCCATTTTGCCACTTGTTGTATTGTTGTATCATGTTTTGTATGTAAGCAGCTTGTGAACAAGATTGAGCGAGGTAGAACACCTGGAACACTTGGCTGGAGCAACAGAAGGTGATCCATTCACTGGACCCGCAGTTGCCGTAGGAAAGTTTGCCTGGCACCGTGAAGGCGACATTGTGGGCTTTCTGATACAGTCAGTCGTGTTTTTTTCATGCATTCTGACAATCTTGATCTCCCCTTCTTTGTACACAATAAGTCATAGAATGTGAGGTATGGAAGGCTTTTGTTCTAGTGTGTTTTGAGGTGTTTCCAGCTGATATTGTATATCTCTTCAGTATCCGTTTTCATTTCATTTGTTCAACTTCTGAACGCTCCGGCGTTAGCCTTTGTGCATCGATCAAGTGGCCAAAGTTACCTAGAGCGTTCAGAGGTTGATGCATTTCGTGTCGGTATGTATTCTATATCTGCAAGAGATAGAAAGCAAACATGAGAGAGCTCTATTTCATGTAGGAGCTCATGACGGAAAGGAAAAAGCTTTCGTGTGTTTGCTGCTTGCATGGTGCTAGAAGGAGAACCCACCAGCAAGCCCATCTAACGCTCATGTATGAAAAGTTTCACGCAATGAGCTGAGTCAAACTCGTTCTCAACACATGGCTCCACATTTCACGAACAGGTAACACTTCGTTTTATTGGTCGCATCAAAAAATTTGAGAAAAGTATGGCATAGCTTTGTTTGTTTGTTTGTTTTTCTGTTTTTTGTTTGTTTCAATAGTAATAATTTAATGGTAATGGTTTTAAAATATCTTAAAAGAAGAAGAAGTCAATGCAGTATTGTTATATGTGTTATATAAGTTTGATTTGAAGTTTTGATGCGAATACCAATTTTCAACACAATGGTGTTACCTTACATGGCTCCAATAAGAATTGAATCTTGCAAAGATTTCAACAATTTTATGAGCATGGACATCAAATCTTTCCAATCCTTGTATCGTTCTGTCCATTTAGACAAATTACAAAACGCAGTACATCAATTTTAGCCTTTGTGTTGCATTAAACAACTCACTTTCCAAGGAATCTTAAATATGAATTTGAACTTAAAATGCAAATAATAACTAACTAAAATGAAACAGAACGAAATTAAATACGAAAATCACAAACTCAAACCCTAAAAATATAGATCTTTTTGTATTGCTGCAGTAAACGTACTCATTAGCGTAGTCTTCGTAATCTTGAAAACAAGTGTCGTGAAGAGCAGTATTATAGAATCTACATGTAACAAAATTGAATCATTGCAAGGATGTAACTGAAGGTTCAAATTACAATTTGAACTAATTAAGCCCTAAAACTTAAGTTTGAAAATTCAATCACAGAGATTGGTTTGAAAGTCCATGTATCTGAATACTTGCAATCTAAGACATAATAATTTCTGTCATCATCTTCGGTTTGGTTAGATAATTAATCTGATTGTTTAATAGGAGATATGAAGGAATTAAAAAATCAACATGTATGAGAATGGCTTCAAGGGTAATCTCAACACGAATCTACTGAGGATATGTTTTTTTCATAACAACCACGCAAAACTATAGAAATAAAAAATGAGATATTAGGTTAAAACATCTTAATGATATCTAGAGTTCTTATCAAGAACACAAAAATTATCACTTAGTAATATAAAAATTATAGACATTTTTCACAATAAAATTTTAATATTTTTCAACAATAATTATGCTATAAAAAATCTAGCTGTTACAAAATTATGTTTTTTGAAGGAAGTAATGTTAGATTATTCTGAGTTTTCAGCTAATTACCAAACGTATCAAAAATCTTGAATAATCATTTTATAGAAAAAGACTCATTGGGACTTTGTTATGACATTGAAGTTTTCACAGCTTTAAGTTTGTATGATAGTTTTCTCATGTTTTTTTAATTGACTTTATTGACAATTTACTTCAGAACACTTATGCTGTAAATATTATTCATGATGAGCTCTAAATTAATTCATTAATTTCTTCTGAATATGTTCGTTTTCAATAACATAATTTATTTGCATTTTAAATTAATTAATTTTTTTCTTCTGAAATGCATATGAATATGAAGTAAATAATCTTAAAAATCACACGCTAAATTTAAATCAATTAAAATAATATACAAAATTATTTTAAAATTTTGGACTTTCACATTATCATAAAAAAGTCTATAGAACCAAAATTTAAACTTATGATCATGTTTTCTTTTACCATCTACAGATTATTCTGCTTTTTTAGAATGATCAAATTGTGTTTAAGGTATTATTGTGCACATGAATTTTTATTAAAAAATATTTATTTAGTGAGGTCATTTAACACAATTTTTATAATATGATAATTTCTTTATATCTTTGATTTGATTTAATTTAATTAATTAGTTAATTAATTTTTTGTTAAATCTCTATCATTAATATATACAAATCTCACAATAATGACCATAATATCAAATATCTCTTAGATCAAGGATATAATGGTTATGCAAATATAGTTTGCTTCTACCTAGCAGTATTCTATGGCCTCCATTTTCTAGGACTAGATATTAACTTGTGCATAAGTTATATAGTGTAGTTCCAAATGCATCTTGCTTGTATAAATTTCTAAAATCTATATAGAGTGGTCTTGTGTTGTAGGAGAGAGTTTATGAAGCAATAAGTGTCAATGTTAGGACAAGCTTTACTCCTTTATTTATTTCCAACTTCACCCTTATATTATACGAGCTATATAAACATGGCTTCTTTGCATATATAAGATTTTTTTTTTAATTTTTAATTTTAAAGAAAAACCAAGGTCTAAAATAAAATTCTATTTAATGGGATTTAAGTTAAAATGAATTTGATTTTTACATATCATATGTTTAAACATTTTTTTTACGTGCATTTAATTTAATATATAAAGACCAAAAGTATTTGTAAGGATAAATAAAAGCTCATTCATTGATGTAAAGGAAAATTTGATGTTTTTGTCACTATAATAATTAAGCATTTTATTTGGAGCAGTTTATATAACTTACCGAAATTTTTCCACTATATATTTTAATATATTGAAATGAACTTATTCTTGACTAACTTATTTTGTCAAGGTATAGTCTTATTAATAATGTACCAACTTAATATGATTTAAATATGATTGGTTTTATTGATACAAACCATATACCTTCGGCCCCCCTTCACATTATACAGGATGTTAAAAAAAAAACAATGGCAAATTATCATTCTTAGATTTGAAATGTCCCACCTAATTTTTGAATTTTAGAGGTGTAATTTCCGATTACATCAATTTTAATTAATATATTAGAATTTGAATTATTAAAAATTCCAAAAAACATGCATCATGAAGGTTAATTTAATATGATCGTTTAAACTCAGTTTTCTTTTTCTTTCTTTTTTTTTTTTTTTTTTTAACATTTAAAACCTAATTAAATATATTTTTTACTTTTTGAAAACCATGAGGATGAAGTGAGGCAAATACGATAAAATAAATGTATTTAATAATGATAAGAAAAGATGGATTCTACCAAAGAAATCTATTTTAAACTAAAAAAGATTTTTTTTGGATTATTTAGCTAAATTGAGGATATCATAAATATCCAAATTTTCTAATTTTAGGCCATGCTTTTTATTTACAATTATTTGTCAAAGATGATTAAAAATCTAGCCATTCTTTTATAAAAGTAATAGTTTTGGTGAGTATTAACTTATAAAATAAGAAAATTTGGATGTTTAAATGATTTGGCTGTAATGCCTCTATGACCAATTTGGTTATAAGAGCTTTGGTTGCCTCTTACAGATTGATATGACCAAGTTCTTGTAATATCTTAATTAAAGAATAAACTTTTGATTTTTCTTCTTAAATTATAAGCTAAAAATTATTTACATATTGACATATAGGTTGTCAATTAAAACTTCATAAAATGTAGTGACATTTTTGTCACCATTCTTTGAATACTTCATTTATTTTACTTTTAAATTTGTTACAAATTCTTATTGACATTTTGATGTGCATATGGGTCCATTTTTACATAGAAATATTTCTACATATGGTATTAATACAAGATGCTAATCACAACACTTAAATAAATAAATAAAATAAAATAAAAAATTCAATTTATTTATTTTTGATAAACTTATCACATATTCTACAAACTTATAAAATGCTATAATAGCCAAAAATTAATAACAAAAATATAGAAACAAAACCAATCTTAAAAACCTAATAAGCATAGCCACAATTTTACCATATTCTAATTCTACAAGCTTACTCTTTTTCTCAAAAATTGTGGTCTTCTGCAACATTCTCATCTAGTCCTCAATTTTTATATTTTGTATTTTTTTGTGTTTTAAAAAATATATATATATATATATATATAATTTTAAAAAATTATATTTATTATTTATTAAATATGTAATTAATAAAACTATATCAATCTTATTAACTAAATATTAAAAAAAAACACATCATTTTTAAATAATCTAATTTTTATTAGTGACAAATATTAAAAAAGACACATGTATGTGTAACTTCTATCATAACAAATCTTAGAGCTATGTTAACAATAAATAACTCTCATCTATTTTAAGTTTATTATAAGTTAATTAGAGATTAATTTATAATTGTAATAGCTATCTATATATTGCAAAGTGTAATATTACGATGGCCTATATATTATTTCCTTATGAACATTCTACTATTAATAATTCTTTATATATATATATATATATATATATATATATATGAATGTTAAATGGGCCCAAGTTTTGCTAAATTTACCCACCCATCCTAACCATCATGAAAAAAAAAAAAAAAAAAAAAAGATTTTTGGATTCATTTCTCTTTTATTAGATTGGCAACCAATAAAAACCAACCACACTCATCATAATTACCATATTCTTCATCAAGGGTGGGTGTATATAGTAAAAGCATGGGTCTATTCAACATTCCTCTATTCAACATTCTTCTATATAAAGATTTGTGATATAAGAGCCTTAGATTGGGATTTATTTCATTTCATCAATTCTTACAAATTTCATTCTTATAATCACCATTCATACCTCGCATGCACATCCAACATTTTCACCCACGAAACACACCTATCATCCTTGTCCTCACCCATCCATCCATTCATTCATGGACTATCTCCACGGTGTGTTTTTTTATTCGAAAAGAGGCTTCCTCCGCCAACTTTGGCGATGGCGGCTACGCGCATCCGAGGGTACATAGCGACAAAGCTGAGCCCTGCGCAATCGCCTCGCTTCTCCGCCATTGCACGCTCTCGCGATCGTTCTTGCACATCGTGGGATCCAGTGCCGTCGAATGAGTGCCTACGATTAGATAGAACGAAATCGGGCCATCGCCGTCGAACTATGGATCGATCACCAGGCTTTTCGCGAACTGTGCCGGCCTGGTCGCAAGCATGCGTTGTCTCTTCGATTGTTTATCTCTGTGGTTGCCAATTTGGTGGAATAGGCGACGAGGGGAAAAAAAGAGCGGACACGGATTGTGCTGCTTGTCGTTGCGGCACTTGAATTTGAAGAGATCAGATGTTGATGCGTAGCGGAGAGGGTTCAGGGCTGGTCATGAGTAGCGGGACATTGGTATGATGAGGCGTGAAGAGATGGGAACGTTCCGTAGTTCTGACACTCTGTTGCGTTGCGGCTACGTCTTTCGTTGATGATGCGATTGAGAGATTGAAAATTGTGTGCGGTGTTTGTTGTGTCCGTGTAGTCTTGGTTGGTTAGTCTGTGAAGGCGGGCTGGGAGGGAGGAAGAATGGATGCGGACGAGATATGTGTAGTGCTTGCAAGGGCGTCAGAGCTTCATGCCAAGTTCAATGAAGCCATTGAACGTGCGTTGACGTCGGATGTTGTACAGAGCACTGGCGATGAACGCTTTGATGCTGATTTTCACTCCGTCCTCGATGGGGACGAGATCAATGGCTTTGAAAGGCTTGACAGAGACTTCAGCAAAGGTGTAGAAGGAAATGCAGAAGCGAGGACCTTAGGTTTGATTTGCGATACGTTGGATACACTCGAAGGACAGCTTGAAGCTTTGCAGGTTGGTTGCTCGATTCTCATCTTCTAATCCCATTGGCATCGGTTTCCTCGAGCGTTTTTTAATTTCTTTTTAATTTTTTAATTTTTATTTTTGGCGTGGGCTCTGTGAGTCGGATCCTGGTGCACTGCATTCTTTGTTGTTCTATTCAAATGCAAGTACGTCTCTTCTTGTTTTGTCTTTGGTTCAGGGTTTTCACTTCTGATATCGATGTTAGACGGAACGTGTCCCTCCTGCGCCGTTTATTAATTGTTTCGACCGCATGTAGACTTGCGGGAGGCTGTAAGGCTGCAACTCCAATTTAGTTTTAATTGCTTTCGTATAAGATACGAATTTTGATATTAGAAAAGGAGTTATTATTAGAAACCACGTCCAGTTTTGGTGTTAGTTGTGTACAGCTTCTCGGAGGTGCTGAAGGTACACGAGTTTCGTATTTTTAGTTACTCAGTTAGTTGGAATAGTGTGCTTTCGGAGGTGAGATTTTTTATGCCTTAACTCGTGTAATACCACAGCGTGATTGCGATCGCGACCTGGTCAAACTTCAAAGCCAACTATAAGTCTGGAACACGCTTTGTTCTTTTACTTTTCAATGGACAAGGTTTTAAAAGTTTTGCACTGGGATCCTAAGATGGTAAGATCTATGGCCGTCTTGTTAATGTCCTTTAATCCCACAATGCGTTCCTGTTATGCCTTATTGAAGGTTTTGTAGATTAGAAATCTATCAGGGACGAAAGGTTTTAGTCAACAAAGTATGAACACTGCCTTTTGTTGAACATCAACTATCTGTATATCTGAAGCTTTGCAGTGTAGTTTGAGGGTGTGATGGTTGGATAGAAACTCAATTTGCAACCGTGATTGAGCCTGCGATGCCTAAAGCTCAACCATTTAGTAATTTATCTGGAATCTCTGTTGCCTGTGAGGAGCCTTCACCAATCTGTATGTTACTTTCTTCCTCTGCGTTGATACACGTCTAGATTATAGCATGCGCTTAAGAAAAATCATGCTACCTGAGAACGCACCAAATAGAGATTTTTTTCCGCAGCTCTAATGTCGAATGCAATACACAACTTGGAAGATTATTGACTGTTTTGTTAAGAATGCCGAGGCTTTCTTTGTTCACCCTTTCAGGATTGCTTTGAAAGGTTGAGGTGTTTGTGCTATTTAAAGCATGCAAGGAAAAGAAAACGTTCATGTCAAGGACGCTGCTGTTGCACTTAGCTCTCGAAGCCTTTCTAATGAAGTCATTTTTTTCTTATTGATCAGTGCATGCAGAACCATCAGCGAGCCGAAAAAGATGCAGCACTCGCAGAACTTGAAGAGAGTCGCCATTTACTTCTATTGAAGTTGAAGAATCATCGTGGGCGTGAATGGCAAGTTGTCCAGGAAGCTTTGGCGTTCGCGGGAGAGCCAGTGGAAGAAAGAGAAGACCTGCTTCTTCCCCCTTACTCCAGGCCAGTTGTGGACGACGTCTCTACAGTGAACGACCAATCATCTAAACTTCTCCGTCGAACTATCTCACTGCCAAGAGGTCGAGCTGTTAAAAAGCTCGTTCTTTCTGAGAGAGACGAAGAAGTAGACAATGACGTGCACAGAAATAAGGGAACTTCTGAAGCAGTAGGCGATAAACAGGATTATCAAGAACGATCCATCCCGAAGCATAAAGTGGATGGCGGAGGGAGCATCGCTTTTGCAGGAGGATTCATGAGGGGTTTCGGTGGGAGAGTTGGACATGTACTTGCCCATGCTGCGAAGGCGGTCTTCGTGGTAGCCAGTGTTGTCGCATTCCTGGCATTTACCGAGCACAACCATAGACGCCCAGTGCCTTCAGCAACAACTCCTGTCTTAGTTTCTGAGAGCCGCCCCAGGCCTCCTTCGCCTCTGAAATGTTCCCCCGGCAAGAAGCGGATAGTTTTGGATGATGGAAGTGAGAAATGTGTGGTGAAAGAGCGATTTGAAGTACCCTTTTGTAGGGAAGTCGAGGCTCCTTATGTTCTGTATGGACGAGGTTGATTTACTCCTAGATGTTACTTAGAGTTAAGTTTTGAATTCAGGTTGTAGAACCAAATAGGATTGTAAATATAGCATATTTTTATTTTTATCTTATTTCAATTTTTAACACTCATATTTTCATGGAGGAAGAAATTTTGCACATGCGTCGGTTGTATGTATTCCTCACCCCACATGGGCAAGTGACCTATCTGTCAGACTCGTTCCACCCCTCTCCTTACTGCAGCTCTCAGTTATTAACAATGTTTATATCGTGGGTGATTCTATTCCTAGTTGCGGTGAATCGGTGAATAATTCTGTCGTGTTTTTCGGAATAGTTCCAGAAGAAAAAAATACTCGGCTGGCTCATCTGATTGTTCTCAAGTAATTTTGCAGGATCACTCTGGAATTGGCACTGAATCAACAATGTTGCCTATGTGGGAATTTGTGGAAAATAACTGGTACGTGCCCACAACGAAAGAAATGCAAGCGAGATTCATCCCCCCCGTTTCGAATAAAGCAGTGCACTTACAAGATGATTTCGACAGATATTTTGAGAGAAGGAAGTACTTGCCCTGGCCACTGGGACCATCTTCCAGGTGTGATTTTCACGTTCTCATCCATTATTACTGTAGCTTTAATGCAACGACGGCTTTATCGTTTGCAGCCTAGTCAAACTAGTGACATCTCTGATAACCTTCCTGATAAGATCATTGCTCAACTGGTACTGGTTTTTCGGGTTGTTGAGAATGTTTAGAAAGACACAAGAGTAGTAAGTAATACACACACATAGGAGAGTTTCCAAGGAGAGAGAGAGCTTCACACACAAGTCTATTGATTTGGTTGTGTTTCATATACAAGAGGAGAAGGGGAGAAGATAAACAGTTCCAAATACTATAGCTATAGTATTTATTGTAGACTACAGTAAATATCATGGAGAGTGTTAGTTACATTTAATGCTCTCAATACTCTTCCTCGTTCATCATAATATTTACATAATATAAAAATTGTATAGAATTATGATCTATACTTTTTTGTAATTTTGCAAGATCAACAATTGTTGCCTCATTAAAACCTTATTTAGGAAAACCTTGTTGTATTTAAGGGCAAAACCATAGATGAAAGAAAAAGAGTACAACATCATTTTTCTTAATTATTTAAAGAGTTCATTAACTTTTTTATTCAAGAAAAGCAAGTCGTCGCATACCAATGCCATAAGTAAGTGGACGATGGTTGCACAATGGAAGAGCTTTAATAAAGAGATCAGCAAGGTTATTTGTAGATTCAATTTTCTTAATTATGAGTGCTTGATCAGTAATCAAGTCATGGGTATAACTAAAATATTTTGGATCAATATGCTTTGTCCTATCACCTTTAATGAAACCAACTTGCATCTGTGTAATACAAGTACTATTGTCTTCATGCAAGATAGTTGGAGAATCATCATATAAAAATCCACAAGTGTTTTGAATAAATTTATCAATTAATTGCAACCAAATACATTCTTGAGATGCTTCATATAAGGCAATAATTTTTGAATGGTTGGATGAAGTTGCAGTTATTGTTTGTTTCATTGATTTCCATGATATTATAGCTCTATGTCTTAAAAATACATATCTTGTTTGAGATTTAGCTATTGCAGTATCAGATTTATATCACACATCACAATATCCAACCAATTTTGGATCTGTAGATTGTGTGTAGTATATTCTCAAATCTTCAATATCTTTTAAATAATATAATAAATATTTGATGTCATTCCAATGTCATAGTATTGGACATGCACTATGTCTTGCAAGAATATTAACTGCAAATGTAATATATGGTCTTGTAGATGTAGCCAAATATAAAAGTGCTCTAATCGTTGCGAGGTATGGATATTGATCTCCCAATATTTCCTCCTCCTCATCGCATGGATGGTATGGATCATGACCATCACAACCACATCCAACCATTGGTGTGGACAATAGATAAGCATCAATCATATTGAATCTCCACAAGATTTGTCTAATATACGTTAGTTGGTAGAGAAAAATGCTACCATTTGTGAGATGCATAATCTGAAGACCAATGCAAAAATTTATTTTTTCTGGCATTCTCATCTCAAATTCATGTATAAGTAGGTTAGTAGCTACAACACATGCATATTTAGTGCCCACTAGATTAAAATCATCAATATATACAGCAATGATCACAAAACCAGTTTTATCTCGTTTGATAAACAAACAAGGGATTAATGGTTTACTTACAAACTTATGTGTAATTGAATAATCTCAAAGACGTTGATACTACATGCGTTCGGATTGTTTTGAAACCATACAAGGCGTTACATAATTTAATAGCATGATATTGTCTTGGAGCAGATCCATTTGGAGTTCATATTTCTATGCCAGGTGGAACTTTCATATAAATATTTGCATCAAGAGAACCATATAGATATGTAGTTACCACATCCATCAGATGTATCTCAAAGGTGGCATAAATTGCCATTCCAATCATATATCAAAATGTAATTGAATCCAAGATTGGAAAATATGTAGATTCATAATCAATGCCAAATCATTGAGTAAATCCTTGAGCAATAAGACGAGCTTTATAGTGGATTATTTGACCTTGAACATCTTGCTTACATTTTAATACCATCTTATATCCCACACGGCGAGATGTGAGAGTGTCTACAATTGGACCAAAGTCTTTCTTTTTATGCAAAGAGGCATACTCTTCTTCAATAGTAGTTTTTCATTTTGACTAATTAGAGCGACACATCGCTTCTTCGATGGTTTGAGGTTCAGGATAGTCTCCTTTGCAAAAAAAGGCTTCTGCAATCATACATGCAAATGATTCATCTATCGTAATAGATGGTCTGTCCTAAATATCATCTATAGCACAATACAAAATAGATAATTCTTTACTCAACTTGTTCTTATTCCTTCCAATTTCAAGATTGTTTTTCATAGGAATTGAAGATATATTATGTATGGATATATCATCATGAATTGGTGGTCTTACAGAATGAGTGGCAATTTCTTGAAAAATAATATCAGGATTAGTCAATATTATAGCTTTCTTCTTATGTGGTTGCTTATCTAGTCTACGAGTTCTTTTAATTCTTGTTGTTATAACTTGAGGTATTGTAGTCAATGGCACTACAATCTGAGCATGAGCATTCTGAGCCTCATTAATATGAACTCTTGTAATTCTAGGTGTATCATTGAAGCCATCAAGTATTTCATCTGCGATCCATTTTAGATGCAAAATCTTAGCAACTTCAATTTCAGCCAAAGATGTCCTAAGATCGAGATTCATTGTAAATGTTTTTGGTGCTTCAAATACAAGTATTTTATTTTTTTGTTGATTAGATACTCCTCCTTCAAGAAATGAGAATACATTCTCTTTAAAATGGCAATTTTGTAAATGTGCATGTAATAACATGCCAATTAATGGATCAACAATATGAATAATACTTGATGAATCAAAACCAACATATATGCCTTCTTGTCGATGAGCTCCAATGGTACGCCATTGAGGTTTTGGTACTGGAATCCAAACATGGTAATCAAATACTTGTAAGTGAGATACATTTGGAATACGACCCGAAATGAGCTCATGTGGTGAAACAATTTCCAGAGAAGAAGGGAGGAGGCATATTAATATTGCAACATGTAAAACTCCATGACCCCACATAGATGGAGGTAAATTTGCATGAAGGAGGAGTGGCCAGGTAATGAGTTGTTTATGCTTTATAAATGACTCTGCAAGTCCATTTTGAGCATGTTTATATCAAACACAATATGTCAACTCAATTTCTCTTGCAGTACAATAGTCTTCAAAAGACTTTGATGCAAATTCTTATGCATTATCTATATGCAATGTTTTCATAGGATAATGAAGAAAATGTGCCCAAAAAAAAATAAGCATAGATATAAGATTAGAAAACACCATGTTTTGAGTTGATAATAATGAAACATGTGATTGTTTACTTGATGCATCAACAAAGATAAAAAAAAATAACAAAATGGTCCTGATATTGGATTAATAGGACCACAAATATCACCATGCAATCTTTCAAGCATTGGTGGTAATTCTTGTAGAAGTTTTTAAATTGAGGGCCAAGTAATCATCTTACTTTACACGCATGCACAATATAATTCCATAGAGTCTACATCTGCATGCTTTAAATTGTACCTAGTTATATATGAAATAATCTTTCTAAATAAGGTAGATTCTGGATGTTTCAATCGTCCATGCCAGAAAAAAGCAAGATTCTTTATGATAGATGATGCAAAATTAAATATAATGGGAGGCCAAATCACAATTTGGTATAAACCATTTTCTGTAGCAAAAGCTTTTTCAACAGCTTTATGGTTCTTCGCAAGAATCAAAACCTCTTTTTTTATCTAAAATGGCGGTTGAGAGGTCATAACCATTGATATGCATATCTCGATAGTTGATCAGACTCCGAGGTGTTGAAGGTACAAATATTGCATGTTTACATTTTATGATGAAATCCGCATATAATTTTACTATCGATGTGCCCTCTTAAAAACAAAACGTATTTGCTCCAACCATGGTTATCATATTTTTAGTTTGCCAAGTTGAAGATTTTTCAATAAAAAATCGTCTATCTAGCAAGATAGTATGTGTTGTTACAAAATCAATGAGTGCATCATTTGATTCATCATTAGAGGTTTTGTCATTCATATAAGCTTCTAAATCATCAACACTAATTGAATCTATCGACGCATCCATGGTATGAATTTCATGAGCCTCAACTCATGATTTCTTATTTTATTAGAATATTTTAATAAAATATTCTGAATTATGGCACACATGTACTTAATATCCAATCATTCCGCACTTATGGTAAGAATGCATTTGTGATTTTTGTTTTCTATTATAATTAATAATAGAACATTTATTCTTTCCATATGGATAGAAATGGTCATGACTATGACTGCCTTGATGCTTATGAATATGTTTTCCATGTTTATATAATTTTTTCTTAGACTTTGAAATGTTAAGTGCATGAGATTCTGGAACTGTGGTTCCGATAGGATGAGCTTCCATATTACGCAAGAGTAGCTCATTTTGCTTCTCCGCAAGAAGTAGATTTGACATGAGATCAAAATGACTCTGAAATTTCATGTTCTTGTATTGTTGTGGAAGCATAGCAAATACAGGAGGAAATGTAGAGAGTTTTTTCTCAATCATTTCTTCTTCACAAATGCTTTGTCCACATAATCGTAATTGTGAGACAATACTATACATTTTACTATTGAAAGCATTTAAATTTGGAAAATCCAAGACACATAAATGTGTCCAATTATGATGTGCACGTGGAAGAAAAATGGTCTTTTAATGATCAAATCCGGATTTAAGATTCTTCCTAAGTTTTGCAGGATCTTCCATTTCCAAATATTGATGTTGTAATGTAGGTATAAGATGACGACGAAGGAGAAGAAGTGCTTTCCAATGGATAGTAGGAAGAATAGAAATACTTATTGTAGGATATTCTTCAAATATAATGGCATCCAAGAGTTGTTCTGCAAATAAATTTGCTTTTGCCATTTTTGTCCATAATAGATAATTGTTTCCATCCATAGTCAATGGTGGAAATAAAAGAGCTTGAAAATATTGGGATGCAATTGTAATAGTTGGAACCATAGTAAAAGTAGTTGAAGATATTGAAGCACTCATTATAAATAAATCTGTAAAGAAAATACAAGATCAAGTAGAAAAGTTGAGTAAAATGAATCTAAAAATATATAGTCAAATAGAATGATAAACTTGAACTTGAAATCAAAAATATTAATTAATTAATTAATTAAAATTTTTTAAGAGGGTTGTGGATCGTGACAACAGAGCAGCAACAGGACGGCAGCGGTAGTAGGGTGGCAGCAGTAGGGCGATGGCAACAGGGTGACAAAAGCGGGGCGTGAGCAATAGCAACAGGGTGGCAGCGGCGTCAGCAGCAGTTAGCAGTCAGTGACTGTTTGGCGATAGTCAACTGTCAACAACAGCGACAGGACGGTATCACTGGGAGAATTGGCGATAGGGGCAGCACTTGTAGTTTGGCGGTAGACGCATGATGCATATGGAGGCTGGGCTGGAGCAAGTATTCTAAGCAAGCATGGCGTAAAGTGGAGCAAGTGCTCTAAGCAAGCAGCTAATGTGTGAGGAGCCAAGAAGAAGTGTAGCAAGATCATGAGTCACACAAGAAGCAGGAATAATAACAAGTTTGAAGAGTCAAGACTAGAATAAAAAAAAAATTGTGATAATGTGTAGAAAAGAGTCGTACTTATAACGTGTTGAGAATGTTTAGAAAGGCACAAGAGTAGTAGTAAGTAATACAAACACACAAGAGTAGTAATAAGTAATACACATATACACAAGATAGTTTCTAAGGAGAGAGAGAGCTTCACATACAAGTCTATTGGTTGTGTCTTGTATACAAGATGAGAAGGGGAGAGGATAAATAGTTCCTCTCCACTACATTCCAAATATTGTAGCTATGGTATTTACTGTAGACTACAATAAATATTATAAAGAGCTCTGGCTACATTTAATGGTCTCAATACGAGTATTGTCTCAATTGCTCCTTCAACGTTTGCAGAGTATACCAGTTCTTGGTGAGGTTGGCTGACTTGATCATCATATGGAAGTATCGTGAAACAGAGCTTCCTAAACATGTGGGTCTGGTTTGGAATGACAAACAAGAATTTTGTCGTGTAGTGGGTATTGTGTTGGTTTATTTCGTTTGTTGCTAGTTCTCTTGGGTTCAAGATAAACTAAACCAACACTATACCCACGACACGACCGCCCGATTGCACGAGAGCATGGAAAGAATTTAGAAAGTCCTCAACCATCGTGTAGGATCTTGCAGATTGTTGTGTTGTTTGTGAAATATATGGCCGCATTCTTTAATCTCCAGCAATCATTATCATCCCTTAAGTAACATCTCTTCACCTCAACCTTTCCGACAGTGGGCTGAATGATCTGATTTGGTCTGCAAGCTGACTGCGAGCACTGCAGTAAGAATACCCAAAAAAGCTCATGAGTCAGACTACTATGCTCTCTACCGAGCTCAGTGCATATCGAGTGATACGCGACTACTTGCGAGGGATGGTTGAATACATGTGCGAAGAACTCATGTGCGAGAACTCACGTTGATTTCACATAATACTTGCAGTTGAAGCTACATTTAAGATCATTGTTTGAATTGACAATCTTCCAAGAGTTGATCATACGAGCTTGTGCCCTGTATTATTTACGCTACCTGAAGGTATTCCAAGTAATCATTTTAAAAACATTTTATCGTAGTTAGGAAATAGTGCATAATGTTACAATTCATTTATTGATATTTTTTCCTCAAGTCGTCTTAGTGACGAAAACAAATTAATGAAATCCACTAGTATCAAGGGAAGGGAGCAAATTCGATTTTTCGAATCAGAAAACAAACTATCAAAACACTAAGTTGTCTTCATTGAGAATTCTAATTTTTGTCTTGAATTCAAAGATGTCCTAAATTCTACGAAGTTCTAAACTTGGAATTTCTGAATTTTATGATTCCTATCGTAAGAGAGCCAATAACAAGAAGCATTTTCAACCCAACGGTCAAAATTCGCTCCATCTTCCGGGGGTAAGAGGGGGCTGGAGTATCTTTGTGAGTGTTCTCGAGATAATCAGAAGCAGAATCTGAGAGGTGTTTAACGAGGGGGCGTTCGTCTACTTTGAAGAAAACAGCATCCTGATCCTGTGAAGATGGATTTTGAGATTCATGTTCCTTCGAGTCAGTTGAACTATCTACTTCTTCTTCATCATCTTCTAATGCCGTTGATTGAGTAGGGACGCATGTATCTTGTTCTGCACATACCTCAAGTTCCTCTTCACTGGTTTCAAGGTTGACTATTGTGGAAGTATCGTCTTCTCTGGGACCGTCCAAATCCCCTTTCGTGAAGCTGAAGGACCTACTTTCATTCCCTTCTGTACAGGGAGGTGAATTAGTACATGAAACATCACCTGCACTGCTTTGAAATGAGTCATCACATTTGAGCAATTCCCCCTCGCCGTGTATGCTACCTTCAAGGTTATTCTGTGCAACATTAAACACAGAACTTGATACGTCAAATTCGTTCGTAAACCTTGTGGAATCCAAACCCAAGAAAATGGACGACTGAGTCTCAATGGACTCATATTCGTGTCCAGCGCTTGTTACTTCTTCGTCCGATGCATGCGTTCCAGGCGGAAATGGTTCAAATGGATGTGAAATTTCCGTGACTTCATTAAAATGGATTCGTCCTAATTCCTCCTGCTCGTCAGTCTTGCTTCCGATCTCATTCGAATTTGAATTCCAGCTGTATGTCTCCTTAAGAGGAGGTGGAGAAGCAGTTCGGGAATTTTCTTCATCTACAGTTCTAGGCCTCTCAATACAAATGGCTGCCTCAGCATAATTCAAGGCCTCAATTTCAGGAACGATAACATGCTTCATAGTCTCGATATCCTGTGCCAAATTGTTACCAACTTCACCGTCTTCAGTGCTCTTATGCTCCGGGAGGCCATAGCCATCACTATCTAAAAGAAGGTTTGCATATTCAGAGTCATCGTATAAAGCAGAAACAGAGCTCCACTTCACATCACTTTTGTTCTGATCAGGTACAGAATTTCGTAGATCTGAATCAGATGAATCACGCGCAAGAGTTCCAGCCACAAAGTCTTCACCACTTGCATTTTGAGAATCTGCGGGAGCAGCAGTTACAACCACTTCCGAGTACTCGTGGTTGCCGGAACCATCATTCTCACCAGCCTCTTCTAGAAGCAAAAGCGCAGGAGGAGCAACCTGAGTATGTTCAGAACCATCTCTGGACGTCGTTGAAGTCTCCCCAAAACCCTCATTATTCTTATGGATGTCCAAAGCATCCTCTAAGTCTCTGTTTTCTGACCCAATTTCCAAGCCCTTACTCTCTAAATCTGATTCTTCAACATCTATCGAGTCTGGTAGATCATCGGAGGCTATGCTTGGTTTACCTTGTTCTAAAGTGGATGGGATTTCACCTAGATGGGATAATTCAGCGCCTGGAACATTTATTGGTTCTCCAAAACTAGTATTTGTTGGCAGATGTTGACCTTTAGAATCATTATTCTCAACCAGTTGGTTGGCGATGGGTGGGCCTCGGCCTACATCAGTTAAAACATTTTCTACGTGCTCTGATCTTCTATCCGGTGCTATGGTTAATTCGTAATCTAAGCTGTTTGCAGATCCCTCAGAACACACGGCGCCGAAGTCATCATCAGCTGCAACCGTATGTGATATCTCAGTCGTAAGGTTATCATTGCTGGTGCTGAACATGACAGACTTCGCCTCTGGTTCTGAGGGAAGTGCAGCCACATCGGCATGAACAATCCCTGGCTTTTCAGTAACAGGTCGTGCGGTTTCGTGATCCGCCAACAAACTATCCTCTAACTTGGATTCAAGGTCATCTGTTGTTAGTGCAGCTACGTCGCTGTCAGACGTGCCAGCAGCTTCCTCTCCCATACGTCTTTCATTATCAACGACGATATTGTCGTGATAGTGTTCGGCGAAGGTATCAGGGATAAGAAGCTGGTGAAAATCAACTTGATTTCCATCTGCCCCAAACATTTCAGGGTCCGCGATTGTCTCAGCCAGGAATGAATCCAGAATGTCTGTGTCGTCTACCAAAGAGTCAGTGCCTTCTAAAAGATATGAAAAGATGTCCTCTATATCCTGCGCTGCGGATAGTTTTGAAGCATTGTTACTCAATGAAGAATCCAAGGAGAGGTTCCTTCCATGCCTACGTCCATGTCCATTTTCACTGTCCCACAATGAATGAGCACCGCGACCCAGCTTACTCCCTGTACTAGTGCGCGGAGTAAGCTTATTAATCTGTGAAGCAAACCTTGAAGCAGGCTCACTCGAGACGCTACGACCGTCGTCAACGTCAGAATCTTCTGACATGATATGATGTCCAGCATCAGTGGCAAATTCTGAGACACTGCAGAAACTAAGTGAGCCTAGGTCGCTCGAATCTGCAGCAGTGACACTTGCGTCACCCTCAGACGCTCGAGGGCTGCTTGCTGCTTCAGAAAAGACATCGCCATTCATGTGAGCTTTTGGTATTTCACTGGTCTTCACACCTGGACGATCACCAAGACGTCTAACTGCCGGGCGTGTGCTTTTCATGCTTCGCTTTCGAGCACCGAAATAATCAAGGCCCTTGGCAGAAGATCCATCAGTTCCCTGGGGGCGACTTTCTTGTAATTGCTTGTCTGGTCCAGATAAACCTGTATTCAGCTTCTTGAGTAATATATCCGACCTCCTTGCTGGTATCGAATTGGACTTTGTCATTATCGGCTTCCGGGGCAATACAGGACTTGGAGAAAGGTCTTTCCTATTCCTTTCAGGTTCACCATCGAGCAAGATGTTATCCTGAATCAAAAACCAGAAAATTAAATGTAGATAAAACGAAGTAAAATCACATAAAAGATGTATAAGTAGAGAAGGGCCATTACGTTTTAGGATAGATAGCCGGAAACCTGAGGAAAATAAAATACTTTACTGGATCACAAACTAGAAAATGCAACATTTGGTAGTTCTTACATTTTAGTATTACTTCAAACATCTACTAATGTCTGCATCGATACTGGAAATCTTCTGTAGCGAATTCATGGTGTGGTCGATTGGAAAAAAGTACTGATGTAAATATAATACAGGAGAAGCCTGGCATGAAGAGTGATTTAAGAACAAGTCTACTGTCCTACCCCGACTGCAAGAGAGCGTTTGTTCGGTCCTTGAAGGGTGGACTTAGTCTTCTTCGCAGATTCATTTTTGTCCTTTGACGAGATTTGAGAGTCGTTACTCGTCTGACCGCGTGCCTTTGTCGATCTGTTTCACCAACAAATTAATTACAATTCAATCATTCTAATACCCTGTAATGATGAAAAGTCTGACGAAGAGCAATTCAATCGTTTGGAGATCGACCGATCAAAATTTCCATTTGCTGTGCATCGGCTAGAGAGTTTAACAATGAGCATGAATCTCAAAGGTTATTTCATAGAAGTGTACCCTGAAAATACCTGGGCGGATCAGCTGCTGGAGGATACAATTTATTACGCAGCAACCGGACAATATCGTCATGCTACAAAAGTCCACAACCACAAAGCGGAATTAGTACAAAAGTTTACGAAACGTTTAGTGTATTCATTTTATATAACGACTATATACGAAGCGGTTACTCCTAAAAATGTTCATGAGAAAGAAAGGACACAAATGAAGCCGAAGCAGTGCTCAATGACGATAGTGGTACAGATAGGCCTCAACTCGCCACCATTGAAGTACACGATGATTTATTACCCTGTTGCGGCCTATATATCTCGGAGACATTTCGCTTAATACAATCACAAAGTCTTCGACAACGTACACACTGCTCGAAAGCTCCGAGGATTTCTTATCGAAACTAGTTCTAATCTCATGGAACCAACGGATCGTGCAAAAAACTGTCATCACTACCCCGCCAATACCATTTCATTATGGACCACAACAGACAAACCGGGCGACGACGGCTCAACGTCATTGATCAACAAATCTTAAGAAGGTTTTAAAATCCAAAGGTGACCTTCGCAACGTCTAAATGAGAACAAAAAATTGCAGAGCCTCCCTGCAAGATTGGCCACCGGAATCAAAGAACTATACCTTAACACCCGCCGTGCGAATGTTATGTTCGATACACAGCTGCTTGAGCTCCTTCCGCGGTATCTCGTGTAAATTGTCATGCTCCATCCCTCCGAATTCAGCTCAACGAAATCTTGAATCTACAAAACTATTCGCTAGATTCCTCTTCCTTCTTCCCGGTCTCACACCAAGCAAAATTCCTCACACGCCAAATCTATTCCCTCCGAATCTTATTCTCCCAAGGCTCATCCAGAGCATCCAAGACGCGGCATCTTACCACCTGTGAAGCGCATCTCCGGGCTCACCTCAATCCTAACCTCACCTCGCCTCAAAGAAAGAATAAAAGAACAACACAACAAAATAAGCGCGAGAGCAACAATAAAACGGTCGCGCACGAAGCAAACTCTCCGGTATAAACTGGTCTACAAGCGATCGCTCCGCTAACTGCGCGCTCACTCCATCTCAATCCGCTCCCCAGCCTTCAGTTTCCCGATACTCGACCAAGTGGAAAGAATTTGCACACACGACAGAAACCAGAGCAAGCGTTTCCGCCTGTCCTTCCTCGGGATCACGAGCTCTGACCCATTCAAGCGCAGGGGACCCCGGGGCCCATTGCAAGGGACAACTTTGCGAAGCTCAAGGCATCATCACCGTCCTAGCTGGACCAATGCATGCCTTTTTTTCTTGTTCAACATAAAACTTCTGTGAGGGATATTTCATTCCCACCGGAATTAGTGTCCGAAGATGATTTGGCTCGGGCCCTGAGCGGCTTCTCAACAACACCTACTATGCGTTCACACAAAAGAGAGAGCTAGTGCCTTAATGCTGAGTTTATATCCAAAGTTGAATTTGTAAAACTGGAAGCTATTCAAAGTCATTCTGAAAACCCGGCCCACGTTGTAGAAACTGCAACCTTTCCCTGGACGCTGTGCTCGGCGTATACGAAAGATGTAGTTTACGGCACTTCGCGTGTAGTATGGGCCAGTGTCTCCCGACTTCCAACCGCTTCAAACCTGGAATTAGTGCCACTCACCGCAAGTGAGAGCGGCTCTGCCGAGGAGGAGAACGAGGACGAGGACGACGAGGCTAGGTTTTGCGCCTATGCAATGGTGCCCCATTTGTGGCCACAACACCCCTCCCCCCCCCCATTGCTGAATCGGTCGATGACGTGGAAAGCTGAGCTGGACCATAGGGGTGTTGGAGTTGGATGGATGATGTTTTGGATGTCCCAGCCAATATGTACTTTCGTCGATGAGCTACCGGACGAATGAGGTCATCCAAGTAAACTTCGACTGAAAAGATGGTTTTGTCATTTTTTCTTTTTCTTTTCGTTTCTGCAGAAATAGAATGTGACTGGCAATGACCGGTAATTTTCCTCGTAAGTGATAAAACCATGTCCTTGTAATTTCAATTCCAACAAAATAACTTTAATATTTTACATGAAAGAAAATTCATTCTGTTATATTTATTATGTATCAATTTTGTAATAATTAATTATCTCCAAGACATTTTTAACATAAATAAATAAATAAGTAAACTACAAAATAATTAATTTTATTAAAAATTCTACTGATGATAGAAGAAAAAACTGTTAAAATAAAATATATAGAATAAATAGACTTCAAAAACTCTTTTCTTCAAGATAATTTTAGAAAATCATGAAAACGAATGTCTCCAAAGTATGTTATCTTTCTTTACTTCAATAATTTCAGGTTGAGTACAAAGAATTATACATATATATAATGAAATGAGTGTCAGAAAACATCATTCATTTAAAATACAAACATAACATTGAATTATGATTTATTTCCATAACTCAGTTTCATGTTATCCGACAAAGAAGCAGAACTGAAATTATTTTATTTTAAAAAATCTATGGATTAGTTGGTTTAAAGGTAACTGCATTTATTTATGTAGCTTATTGATGTCTAAAACAGTGCTACCTCATTGTACAACTTGGTTACAATAAAGTGTTTTGATATCCTACCATTTTTTACTTGCAATAATTTACATATTTCACAAGTTGATTCCAATATCATCAAAATGTCCATAAAAATAAAACAAAAACAAAAATGATGTTATCATGTTCCACTTGCTGTTTGATACAACGCTCAATAAGTGTATATTCTTACAATTGAGCAACTCATTTCCAAGCACAAAAGCATCTTCAAAATCATCCATATTGGTATATTTGTAAATGTTTAAAAACAAAATATTAAAGTTCAAAAAATATTATTTTCTTTCACAAATAAAATTATTAAATCAAAGGGACCTTTTTAAATATATAATTCATTATAGATTTACATTAAGATATAGCAGCAAATTTGTTTAAAAACTTCCAAATTTTATGTTTTAAACATAATGCTATGATTTTTTTAATTTTGTGCTTGTATTTGTGCAGAAATGACCTCAAAATAATATTAGTTTATTTATTTTTTTGCAATATTATACATCTTAAAAGGTGTTAGAGAATTTTAATTAAAAAAAAATTAGAAATCAGATGTTGTGATGAAATTTTTATAAGATGAAAATTCTTGTTAAAAAAATTATTCAAAATACCTTCTTTAGAGGCTAAGAAAATATGATGTCAAGAATTATAAATCAAAAGAATACAAGCTTGCAAATAATATATTGAAAGACAAAATTTAGACTAACTTTAGTTGTGTAAGTATTTTTCTTTTCTATTCTTTTCTAAATGATTTATCAACCTTCCAATATTTTTTGAAATAAAATAAGATAATTTCATAAATTTAAAAATATTTTTTAGAATGTTAGTTTTCAAAGATTGAAGTAGTACAATGTCTATTTTCTATCTAAAATAGACTGAGAGAACATCAACATTTCTATTTTATTGGGTTCATTTTATATATATATATATACATATATATTTAAAAATATTGCATAAATACTTATAATTTATTTTTATATCCATGATATTCTTATAAATTTCACAATTACAACAATAAATTAATAATATCATAATAATATAACTTTCACTATTAACATTTTATTTCTCAATTTACTTCCAAAATTCTTTTAAATTATTTCTAATAATTTCTAAATAGATTTTTAAAATAATAATTATAATTTCTAGAAATGATATTAAGATTATCTTGGAAGTATCATCATAAACTACTAAAAATTACACCACAATAATTTTCAAGACACAAAATAAGACACTTATAACCAAATGCTTATGTTGAGCCAAAATAACATTCTTAATAATTGTTATGTAATTTACAGTCACTTTTAAAACATACTTACAACTTACCTTAAATAGCTTTAAAGATTGGGAATTTCTTTTAGAATTTTCTTCATAATTCATTCCAAGCAATGCAAGTTTTTGAAACTCTATGATAGAATCATGTAATCTTAAAAGAAGATAGAACAGTTGCATTGAGTGACGTTGAAGTTTAGTAAAGACTCCATAGTAATAACTTAGTAATGTATAAATTCTTAATACATCTCAAGGGACCTAACTCATCTCCTTCAGTAAGTCGAGGATTTGATAGCTTATGTTCCTTAAGATTAAATAAAGTTGCGAAGACTTTATTTGTTTCATTTCTATTTTATTTATTTTTCATTATATTCTTTTTGAAGAAGGTCGCCGCGAACAAAGGCTCCCGTGAGGAGGCATGCACTACTGCAAAACCCGATGTGACGTGGCAAGAAATCCAACCCCTACGAACCCCAAAAAAATCCGACGTGGAGCGGGGAGTTTAAGCGCCAACCATATGAGGCTGACAATGCGTGCAGCGAATCTTTGCGAGGGGTACACTTCACTAGCGCACAAGCTGCCTTATCGCCACTCCGACCTCTCATTGGCCTTCGTGCTGTCCCGCCTTTTCTGAAGCATCCACAGGAGGATCGCAGGCTATCGGAGCCCTCCGTGGTAGCATCCAACGGCCCACGGCGGCGCGGCTGGGACCCGCCTTATCCTACGGGAGGTTTTCCTTCACAAAACCACGAGCTGATCAAACGCGCAGCTTAGGGAGTGAGGCTCTGCCGCGATCGAAGTGAAGTGTGTGTGTGTGAGCGACGTCCGCCCTATTCCTCTCTGCTCGCTCGCTCGCTTGCCGGAGAATCATCGACGCCGCGACGTATCAAATCTGCAATGGCGTGCGTGAGCATGGCTGCTGTGAGCTCGGCCACTTTGGCCCCCGCAGCCACGCAGGTGTGGGAGGGAAAGACGCTGTCGCGCCAGGGCTTGTCTTTGGCTGCTGCTTCTCCCCTCAGAATGGCTGGACAGGTCGCCATGAACCGCAGCAGGGTTGTGATGAGGTATGTATTGGTCTGGGATAAGTGATTAAGTGTGGTGAGGCGGTGATAGCGGTGTGGATTGATCATGTGAGGGTTTGCGTCGGTTTCTTTCGACGTTTCTTGAAGGAGACGCGCGTGGATTGTGAGCGTTGGATTTATTGCTGTTAGATTGGAACGATCCAATGGATGATGAGAGGTAGTACGTTTCTGCATGTTGCGCGTGGATTCTTGGTTCACATTTGATGGTGTGCAACTGAGCTGCGATTGCTGCTATCACTCCGGCATATCTGGTGAACTGTTTTAGCAGATTTTTGTCTGTGTGATGTGATTCTGCAGCGCTGCGCCACAGGACAAGAATGTTGCTGGTTTGACCAGCCTGGCTTTGCTTGCCGCTGCCGTGGTGCCCGAGATCGCAGAGGCAGCTCAACCCGGTATTTCTCCCTCATTGAAGAACTTGCTCCTCAGCGTGGTCGCAGGAGGAACTGTGCTCACCGTGATTGGCGTGGCCGTCGCTGGAGTGTCTACCTTCGACCCTGTCAAGAGGAAGTAGATTAGATGCATCGAAATTTTGTAAAGACTTGGATTTGTGTTTCAATTTGAATCGAATGTTCTCAACCTTCCTCCTGTCCTGGGTCCACAATCTCATCCGCCCCCCTAATTCGTCGGCTGTCTTCCGTATGATATCATTATCTGACTAGTCCTCGCATCTTGCTCCTCCTCCAGGTTCTGAATTGTTTCTCTTGCACTGAACTTAGTTGCCATCATCACAGTTCTCGCGTTCAGTGAGAGGTTTGAATCTTCAATGTAATTATGTGAATTTTAAAGATCGTTTCACTTGTATAGGCTGTTGATGTCTACTCGCGTTGTTCGAAGTGCATTCTCCTTCGTGGGATAAATTACGAAAGCGCTCTTCATGAATTCTCTCGATAGTCATTCAAAAGGTGATTGTTTCCAACCTAGCATTCTCTTCCTGTTTCCGACCCCTAAGTAGTCATGCCTGTATCAAAAGTTGAACATATTGTATTCAGACCATCATGTGCTTCACAGGCAGGACAAGAACCATGTATGCGATTGCATTAAATTTCGTAGGGAACTCGATGTACCTGAAGTATAATTGACTCTTAACAAAATTTGCATTCTACGCTCGCTTAGAGTAGCTGCACATTCTCACACTGGATCGTGCTGTCAATTGTAAGATTTTCTATGAAGATACTAAATTGAGGGCATGCTGGAGCGCGGTTATCGCTGCTGCACGGTTCGATAAATTGTAAACCCTCATTTGTTCATCATTCCGTGTGAGGTAGTGTGAGCGTAGGGCACGAACTTAAGGATTTCGCATCGTCCGACTAGTTGATATGAGAAACTATCGACTAAAATCTCCTATGCACGAGTAAAGTATAAAGTAAAGCAAGTAGGGCATGACACCCTCTGATACTGGCCTACTTCTGGGGCTCGTTCCTGGCAGCATTCGTTGAGGTTATAAAGTGTACCATGGTTTCTTCTGTAAGGTGCGGTTTTTACATGCACTTTGAGACTTTTGTTGACCAGATCTTGCAGATGGTTAGAATACCTGTTGTTTCAGTGTGAAGTATTCTGTTTACATTTTTTGTTTCTTGAGTTCGTTTTTGTTTTGTTTATTTTGTTTATTTTGTTGAATTCAATGGACTACAATTAGCTACGACTGCCATGAAGGATAGCTCTTTCCTGAACCGAGAACCTTCAAACATTCCTGGACAAATATTTAGCAGTAGTAAGCGAATCTCAATTGCCATTTATTTGCAAACAAATTGCTACTTTCTCAAAGTCGTCAAAAATAATTTATCAACTCCTGGCTATCAAACCACAATTTTCCAATTGTTGGTTTCAGAGGCTTTTAAATTACAACCCAAACACGCTGGCAATGCTATTTACTGAGTCAGTCATGACGTTACTGCTGTATGAGCAACGCAGGAAAAGTTTACAAATTCACCAAACCAGCCGTTGGACAAAAGTTTGTTATTGTCTACATGCAGTGATAGAAAACAGAGTTAAAATCAAATACACAATTCTAACTTTGCCTGATTCTGATCTGCTACTGTACATGAAACATAATGCCAAATCAGGCAAATCGTTCTACGGTGCGATTCCAAAGCACTCCTGAGCTGAGAGTTGAGTGCCTAAAGCTGGAGCATGTGCCGGAAATACGGATTCAGCTGCACGCATCGTTCCCTTGAAAGAGAACGTGGCCAAGCAACACCGAAAGGGCTACCAACTATCGAGTTAAATGCCGGTTGGGCGAGGAATACAAAATTTCCTGAACAAGCAATAAATGCCCATGTAGCTAGCAAGTAATGGCATCTCCAAAGGTATTTTCACCGCTATAGGTGAAATAGAGGAATCCGTCCTCATCTTTATGCTCATCATAAATTGACGACATCATGGCCGCTGCAAAAAAAGAAAAACAAACAAGCATACCACAGATGAGATAGAATCATATGACATTCGAATTCATCAAAATATCAGCATTTTAAAACTTGATAACGGAAAAGCATTCTTCAGCATACTCAAGTTTCAACAGCTATTCACTTAGGTAGGCCCCCAAGCCCACTTTCAGAGAGCCCACGCAGGTTTCAGAAACTATCACCAGCAAAACATACTTGTAGGTGGAAGGACATTTTTCACAAATATAAAAATGGCTTTCTCGGAACTCAATTTAATACGCTTCCTTATGACATAAACAAATTGCCCGACTGTCAAATCAGCTGGCACCAGATATCTGCACACATATACATTCTGTAAGTTCAGAATACAGCAAGGGCAGGGTCCCTTTTCACATAAAGAGATCGGAACCTCGACACGATTTAGAAATTGAGAAAAAGAACGACCCTGGAACATAAGAACAGATCCGTCTTTCTCAAGTTAACAGATGTAAAAACATGCTTTTTCTTATCAATATCTGGAATATCGCTCTTTTCAGCTTTCTCCACAATTACTGGAATTCTGTCGGGATACTTTTCACGGATTCTCAAAGCCTCCGCCTGCCTCTTCTCTGCTCAGCCAAAGTCACAAAATAAACCGTGAATACATAAGCAATATCCAACACCCACTCAATCAATCGAAAAGCGTCCGAATCCTAGTGTAAGCAAGCAAATGCACAATTACACATCCGTTCCCATCAAATCAGGCACAAATTCGATAAACAAAACAAAATGTCACAAGATACAACAATCCTCGAACTTGCACCAAGCTAACCCTACAGAAGCGATTTACCATGTGAAACGAACAAAAGTTGGGCACAACATTCTACCGTAGTGTGTACTCAAAAAAAAAGAAAAAAAGAAAAAAAGAAAAAAGAGGTAGGTCAGAGTAGACCAAATGTACCCGGCACGACGATAGATAGGTAAATACTGCCGTCCAACTTGTGGAAATATTAATCAACGCGGATACAGGGCTCTACGGGACGACTAACGGCATATCCAGAAAAAGCACACACAATGTAAATGATTTAAACTTTTTATTTTAACGTTACCTCGCTACAGCCATAAATGGTGTGTGACAGATCATGAAATCAAAACGAGAAGCAAACAAAGAGAAAAATCACAGACGGAATTTCATGTACATGGAGTTCCCGACGCTGTATTTGATCGGCGCACGGTCTATCCTCGTTACGAACAACGGAGAGCTCAACTCAGTTGGCGGTCCTCCACGGCAACGTCCGCGTGCAGGCGATGCAAGCGAGGGAGGGAGTGCGGATCGGCAAGAGAAACAGAACTGGAGAGCATGAAATTAGCGCTGCTACTATGAAAGCATGGAACAAAGCAGACAGAAAGACAGACGGGATGCTAAGAAGATGTAGGAAGGCACAAAAGACACGACACTGCGGACGAGGCCCGACCTTACCGAACCGACGTAGGCAGGTAGGTTCGGATTCAGGCTCGGAATGGTCGTAGGAGTGGTGGCTTGGCCTGAACGTCAGGTCCCCCTTTCATTATCTGACGGAGCGTCGCTTGGGCGGAGGGTGACTCGCTTGCCATGTAGCGGACGTTCGCAAAACCCCCCCCCCTAAATCCGTGCTCCGTGTTCCGTTTACTGTCCATCCTGATAGTTTTTCATCTATTTTCTCCCGGGTTCTATTTATATCACGCTGGTTAATGGAGGCATCCAATTATGTCGAGGGTTTGTGATCTTTTGCATCTAGGTGGATAGATCATTTTCTAGAACATAAAAGAATAATAAATATTAATATTTATTTCAATTTGTATAAAAAAACACTGTAACATAAGGCGACAATTGATCTTTTTTTAGACGAGTCTCAGTGAAGGTCATATGTTTTTATATAAAAAACATTGCCAAACGTGGACATATCAAGTACATGGTCAAAAAATGCAAAATATTTCTGAAAAGTTCTTTTGAAGTCCACTAAAAACAACTAACGATGCGAAGTCGAGACACTGTAAATACATTTCTTCCAGACACTATTTTTTAAACATTCCATCGAGTGGAGTTAGCATTGAGGAATTTATAGCTACCGTTGATCTGACAATCTATTTTATGTTAATTGTTATCTTGTTACCACCGAAAGCGGATGAGTTGTATAAATTATTTGTTGATAGAGTATTATGCCATAAGCCAATATTGGTAACAATGAGGATAGAAATGGGGCTATAAACAAGCGCGGGTCGAGGACGTCAGTCCGTGGAATCCGAACCTGCTGCCAGACCAGCCCCCCCCCCCCCCCCGGGCCGTCCAAAGAAAGGAAGGAAAGCTTGGCGCAGTCTTCATCTTCGTAGGGTCTTCCGCTTCTGGTTCTTCTTCATCTTCTTCTTCTTCTTGCGTGCCTGAAGTTCGACTCTGCTTCTGCGGTACTGTTCATTCCCTCGCTCTCTCGGCGTTCCGTCTCTTCACCCTTTTCTCTTGAGCAACCACCGGAGTGCGCTACTTACGGTGCGTCGACGCACTCTCTGGCGGCCGTTTCTTTTTGCGTTTTTAGGCACGTGTTGGCGGTACTTGTTGTGAGAATTGAGTGATGTTCGTGCATCGCTTTGCTGATTACGAATTGGACGTTAATTGCGTGCGTTTTTGTTGCGGGTGCATGTGTGCGCGTGTGTTTGTGTGTATGTGGGCTAGCGAGAGAGAGAGAGAGAGAGAGAGAGAGATGTCGTATTGTTAATTGAATTCGTGCTGGATGGGGTTATTGGATACGACTAGTGCTTGTAGGGTTTGCTTTGTTTTTAGCCGTTACTCAGTTTGTGTGATGTCGTTGGTTTTGTCCAGGTTGATACGGCATCGGTTTAAGCGTGATTTTTCTTGGTGGAGATTTCTCTGCAGCGTAGGTGTCGTAAGCGGAGGCAACCATGGCGAAAAACTCGTTCAAGCAAGAGCATCCAATGGGTACGAGCGTCATCGTTCATTTTATTTGGACTGTTTATGCTAAGAATGTGAACTGCATCGCAGTATGTCTTTCCTATGTTCGTGTCTATATCTTTCATGTGGAGCAAAGAAACGGTTTTACGAACTTAGAGGATGCGTGAATTTCACATGATTTGTTGTCTTCTTGCCTCGGATTTGTCGTGTTAATGGGTGTGGGAGACAGATGAGTATGAAGTGTGTTAGAACTTTACGGAATTGTGTTCCTTTTGTATAGAAACACAGAATTAGTCATGCGTTACGGTGTTAAATGAGAGATGTTTTTTTTCATGTTCATGTTACGTGGACCGTGAATGCTAGGTATGTTGCTCTGACACCCCCGGTGAAAATGATGAAACAGAGAAGAGGCAAGCTGAGGCAGCAAGGATCCGTGACAAGTATCCTGACAGAATTCCTGTAATTGTGGAGAAAGCCGAAAAGAGTGACATCTCAGACATAGACAAGAAAAAGTATGTAGTTTGTGTTCTTTTTGTAACGAGCTTGACATTATTTTCCTTTCATATTTTGGGGTTGAGTCTGATTGGTTTCGTTTTGTTTGGGGCCTAAATAATTTTAGTTCGTGCGCACTGAATTGTGGCACGTTCTTTGAATTGATATGAGGAACGCCTGTGTAGGTACCTTGTGCCAGCCGACTTGACGGTTGGGCAGTTTGTCTACGTCATAAGAAAGCGCATCAAGTTAAGTTCTGAGAAGGCCATCTTCATTTTCGTGAAGAATGTTTTGCCTCCAACAGGTACGTAACTGTGATTGCTGTCTGTTATGTCATGCTGTATGAAGTTATTAGCTTATGGAGGAATTTGCAATACTTGACGTGGCAGAGCGGTTTAATTGTTTGAATTTTTTCGCAGTTTTGATTCTAGTCTGTGTATTATTGCACTGCTGTTGTGTGGGATTTGTTGATGGGTTACTTAATTCATTGAATGTCGCACCATTCAACTTTGTTTGTGCAGCTGCTATGATGTCATCCATTTACGATGAACACAAGGATGAGGACGGATTCCTGTACTTTACTTACAGTGGTGAAAACACCTTCGGAGATGTTATCAACTGCCAGAAATATTGAGCGTATTGCTGGTCTGTAGTCGACATGCCTGCCCACAACTAGCTGAATGTGTTGTCGGCGCAAGCACTAGCTTGAGTTCATCGTCTGTCACGTCTATGCTTAGGAAGTCGGATTGCTGTCTCGAAGCATCTTTGTAAATTTTGTCAAAAACTATAGTTCATGTATAGGAGTGGACAAGTATCAAGCAAATGTATATATCTTGATTTGGATCTGTGCTCCAGCACAGCATATAAATAATTAATTACCCTTTCTCCTCCTCTATCAACGTCTCATTCTGTAATTGAGGCCACTGCATGTACTTGCATTTTTGAAAGCGACCTACTTTGGTCCGTACCGCAGCAAGGAAGCTGGGTAGAGCTTTCCAGTTTTGAAAAGTCAACTTACTTTTATTAATTAGTTTTTAATCAGGTGAAAAGTCTGGTGAGTTTGCCTTACAGTGCATAATGTTATTGTTCACACCATGAAGGAGTAAAGTGTAGTATGTATAGGTGTTCGAACCGTAGTCAATGTCTCCGTTGAACTATGCAGCAACTGATTTGGTCTCATCCCAGCTTCTCAATGCTTCAGAGTGATTTTTTGTTTGGTTTTTCTCCTCTTCTATCTTTTATTCTTTTTGTTACATATTTTGCAGGTGCCACAAAAGCATCTCTTGCTTTTTCTGTGTCATATTCCTGCGAAATAAAAATAGATTGTTCCACCACCAAATTTTCTGTAGTGATAAAGATTACAAATCGAGTACTTACAGTGAATATTATCAAATCTCGAAGGGCTTGGGTGGTTCTGACTTTTGTTTATTACATTGTGGACCTTTCAATCGGCACTGGAAATAAATTACAACCTGTCCATCGCGAATAATATGGATATGGATGAGCAGAATGTAGTTTCTTCGGGACCTGACACTCAACCCCCGCCCCCACCAAAACTTTATATATTCATTCTCTTACACAGATTTGATATTTAATTCCTATTTGTTGATTTTGAGAGAAAATGATTATATAAAGTTATTGATTTATATTTATTATTATTATTATTATTATTATTATTATGTTTTTTCCATTTCAGATGATAGTGTGGGATGTTTTTGTGTAAAAGTTGTTAGAAAATCTATAAAATTGAAATCATTTTGTCATGTTGTTTGTTATTTCCAATTATGAAAATAGAAAAATTTAAGTCTTACAACCATGTATGATGAGCAGAATCAATCATTGTCACACAAAGAATAAAATACATAAAACATTATTACTTGGAGAATTATCCAAAAAGGCATTTTTGTACTATGAATCTACTCATTTCCATCAATAAAGGGTCCTCATTCTAACCAAAGAATTCAAGGGCAGTTTTCTTTTACAAAATAGAACCATGTATGTCACAACAGATAAAATCTGAACAACTACACTGAATGCCACCATCTACCTCCACCTCAGGTACTTTAAATATTCTTTTCAAAGCTAGAGGTCAAAAACTAAAAACCATCTCTCTTTCAAATGTCAAAAGAAAACACACCAGGCCACATGACCAATATTTGTTACCTACTAAAAGGCAAAACAGACATTGAGCCTTGAAGCAACAGTCCAAGATGTCTTCAACCAAATCATATCAAAACTTTGGGCACAAAACATGTATAAAGTCAGTAAAACATTGTTGTAAGTCAATACTGCAGAGGTCAACATGGGATGCCAAGTGTTCCTAGCTGCAACCTCTTCTCTTTTTTTTGTTTTGTGTTTTGTTTTCAGTAATGAAATCTGTGAGACAAATGCAAAAGTCATGGATACTCACTTCCATCATGCAGCACACTTACACACACCGGCAGTTACTCAGTAAAGCAGACACGTGAACAACTGGGGTCTCCCAAAATGAAATATTATATGTTGCAGATGCTTTGCACAGAGGCCAAGGAAGATAGTGCTTTCTGTCCAGGGTGGTAACACACACCATGGCTGTATCTGTCTGCCTGTGTGTGTGTCTCTTCAGGGGTCTTCATGCCACCCTGCTTCACATGACAGCCACCCTTTCTCTGCAACCAACACAGACATGAATGCCTCACTTAGTCACCCACAAAGCCACAGACTCTCTCTCTCTCCTTTCACTCCACTCACCTCCTCACACATTCACACACATACTGACTGACTGACTGACTAACTGACTGCGCAACTGACTGACTAAACTCCATTGGCACAGAAGCAGAACAGGGGTTCATTATTATACTCTCAAGGTACTTGTACGCCACAGACTGTTGCTGGCAACCCATGCCTCATAGCAGAAGCCATGAATACAAAAGCACAACGTCACCCACACAACCCAGGATAGCCTCTCATCCACATTTCTTAATCTGCTTCTTCTTCTTCTTCTTCTTCTTCTTCCAAGTTGGGGTCTCAGAACCTGGCAATCTGATGATATTATCATACCCAGCACTACTACTATTACTGTTACCATCAGTACTAGTACAAATAGAATCTTCTTCTTACCAACTTCATTATTAGAGGTTGTATAGTTGCTGTTTTGACATGGGTTTTAAGTGTAGTCAGCATTAGATATTCTTCTCAGTTCCCAGTAGCTGTATTTGCCTTGGTACTAGCTGTTGGGGTGTTAGAAAGTTTGTGCCCTTAGAGCTTTAATTGGGTCAAGGTTTGACTGGAGGGAGGGAGGGAGGGGGGGTGAATTTCATTTCGTATGGAACCTTTGAAGTGTGGGGTGGTGGTGACATGAGAAGGGGGCTGAGGAATTTGATCAAGGGAAGAGTCAACCCACAGTCTGGTTCAATCAATCATACCAGGTGACTGGCACTCACTCGCTTGTGTGTGTGTGTGTGGCCACAGAGCTTTATGTAGCTGTTCATGAAAAACAGAATTTGGAAGTCACATGTGAGTGAGATGGGCAGCATCAGCAGCAGTAGTTGGATGAGGATGATGCAGGACTGTGGTGATAGCTCTTGTTGTGGCCAATTCCTGCTGCTAATTCAATGCTGATGCCCAGTGTTATCCTCTTCTTCACCCCTAACTTGCCCAACAGTAAGTACCCATTGACCTAATATTGGTCACTCATGATCAACTGGACTGCAGTAGTAGCTATCCCTGCATTTTGAAAAAATGTCTCTGCATTAGCAGTGTGAAGATTTCTTCACCACATTCCACTTTTCAAGTGGATATTGTTGCCAGTGATACTATTTTGAAACATTTCAGATTCTCCTTCTTCTCCTTCTTCATTGTTGATGCTTTTAGCATTTTTCTTCTGGAAAACAATTATGCATTCATCTGATAACAAGTTTAATGTAAGGTTATCAGAGTAACAGGTGCATAGTAACATGTAACACAAATAAAAACCAACTTTTTATTTCTTTATTTCTTTATTTCTTTATTTTTTTCACAGTTTTCAGTGGCAAGAGAAATAAAAAGAATGCAACACAAGACTTGGAATAATATTTTGAAGGAAAAGTATCAAAATTTTTACATGCACATTCTATTTATGGGAATCTTTAACTCTTACTTTACAAAGTTTGTTGCATGTTTCTGGGATATTGAAATCAAAATTAAGTTTTAACATTTTTTTAAATGTAAGGAGTTATTAACTACTAATTTATGTCTAGTTTAATTTTTAATACACAGATGGTTCATAAACCAGCTACTTAAATTTTATATTTTAAAATTTTAAACTTGAGTTCCTTGTATGTATGTATGTATGTTTATATATACACTCCTTAAGAGAAAGAGAGAGAGAGAGAGAGCGTCATAATTTTTAAGCATAGGCAAAATTGTGATTTTAGGATGTGTCCCATTGTTTAATTATTTCAGAGGTATGGTAAAGTTTTTTTTTTTTTTTTTTTTTTTTTTTTTTTTTTAAATGTAAGTGATAATAGCTTTTTTAAATCACTTTGTTAGTATGTGGTTGCGTTTTCTGTCTCTTTCCTTTTGTCAATATAAAATCAATATAACAATTATGCATATTTCTGCAAAATGATAAATAAATATTAGTAGCATATTTTTCTACTTTTAATCCAAACTATACTATAAGCCATCAAAGAATTGTCATTTTTTTAAATAAAGGTCAAATTTAATATCCAAAAACCATAATTTAAGGATAATTTTATCTTGTCAAATAACCACACCCCTGAAATAAAGAACATCGAGACTGTTCTAAACCAAAAGATGATAGAAGCAGGAACTGCAAACACTTCTCTTGATATTTACAAAACTGAAATGCATTGCAATGATTTGTTGGTATACTTTAGAGTTTTGAATATCACACACTGTGGCTCAAAAGTTCAATCGTGGGTAGAAAACACATAAAGATGTATATATATATATATATATATATATATAATATTATATTACTCTCTCCCCCTCTCTCCCCTCCAAACACTTACATTAGTTGGGGTACAGTTTAAACAGGACTCAAGCAGGCGCTTCAAGGGTCAAACCAGGGTTAAATACAGCCCATGGGCAATTTTGCACGGAGCAGCAGCAGTGAGAGAATAAGGGGAGGAGGAGGGAAGGGAGCGAAGTGCTGGCTGTATTGGGAAAAGAGGCAATGAGGCAAGGAAGCACACCAGAGAGCCATGAAAAACTCCCTCCTATCAAAACCAAAGAGCAAAATCCAGCAAAAGAAAGATAAAAGAGCATGCACTGGAAAGAAGATATTTGTAGATCGTTACTACCCCAGACTCCACTTGTGTGGAAGTGTGTGAGTGTGTTTGGAAGGAAAGCTGCTGGTTGCTATAAAGGGAAAAGACAGAAAGAAAAGGAAGGAAGAAAGAAGGGCACCAGGCAATCCAGGTGGGAAACAGGATTCCCACTCCTCTTTCCCACAAGACCCAAAGAAGGTAAGAGTGGTAAGAGAACATAGTTCCCAAACCAACAGGGGTGCGGGGGGGGTTCATTCCCAATCTGAGAGGCGCAACGGCAAATGGGAGGGGGAGAGGGGAGCCCCACCCATCCCGCGCTTTACCAGACCAACGGACCCGTGACGATGCTGGCTACGAATGGCGCCGCCGAAGCGGAGGCTGCAACGTCTCCAAGCGCGGCACTTGCTTTCCGGGGGGGGGGGGGGGGAGGCAATCATAGTATGTACAAGCGGCGAAGATTGGGCACAGCCAGGAAGCGGGGCACCGCGCGGTGAGACTCGTCCCAGTTTAGCAAATTATTATGCCGGGAGGAGCCAAAGCCGGGATACTTTTATGAAGCGCAAAAAAAAGAAAAAAGAAAAAAACAGAACCCTAGGCAGGCTGCGATGGAGACCACCGGCAACGACGGGAGGAGGAGGAGAGGGAGTTGACGACGTTGCTACGGAGGGAGGGAGGGAAAGGGTGAAAATGCGGCACTGGGCGGGGCGGACAGACAGCAGAGGGACTCCGTGACTATCGTGATTGATACTCCGAGTGAAAGTGACCACGAGGAGTGCGGCTCCGTTTGGGCACTAGTTAGCCGGACGGGGAATGGAAAAACTGGGATGAATCCCCAAACGTTAATCTCTGCGTGAGTTTGTCGCGATAATCTATTTGCAGGCGTCCCGCGGGGTTAGATCTGACCGAGGTTTGTAGGAAAAGAAGGTTGAGGTCTGGATCAGTGGCGGAGGTTCCGTGATGTGGATTGCGGGCCAGCCTACGCAGGAGCCGGAAGAGAAGAATGCTGTTGTGTGCATCGAATGGAAGAGTTTCGCAGTTGAGACGAGGTCATGAGAGATTTGTGAGAGTGGTAGTGTGTGTGTGTGTGCAGAACGTGGATAGAGTGGTCTGGAACAGAGAGGTTGAGAGAGCGAGAAGGGATGGAAGTGGAGGCATGTTAATTGTATTGGCGTTTCGGGGGTGGATTGGAGTTGTACGGGCGTGCGTATCGGTTGGACGATTGATTAATGCGTAGGAGAATCGCGTAATGCAGGTCGTTGGGAACAATGACTCGCGTATGCGTGGTCGAGTAACTACCTGTTGCATTTTCGACCAAACTCAGCGGTACAGCATTGTCCTGAGATGTCTGCGGTTTGTGTCCTGCCAATAGACTGTACTTTCTTCCCATTTTGCGCATTTCGTTGCCGGACGCCGAATTGGAAGCCTGGTGCGTGCGATTTGGCGGCCAGTCTGGGTGATGCTATAGTGCGGTCTGGGGAACTGCGGAAGGCTATTTCCTGTGATCGAATGTTCTTTGGAGGTTCTCACTTAGATCAGATCCCATCATCCTACGCGTGGAGCATGTCTGGGCAATGCAGGGCCAGCTGCCAGGAAATAGAAGTGGATTGTGCGTTGTTTCAAGCTTCTTCGATGCAGTACACGAGTTAGGATGTTGATTGATACCATTTTTTTCCTATGGAGGTTGGATCGCCTTGGGTCTGAATTCTGGAATGACCAAGTGACGCTCAAATTCCAACCCCCCTACTTCTCTGTTTACTACACCGACGGCCTGTAAAGAAGATACATATATTTTTGACTTTCCATTATCGGGTCCCATTCCTCCTGGACTCCAAGCGCCGTTCAAGGCGAATCCTGCCATTTTCGCCTTCATTTCAGACCAGGTTTATACTCGTAGCATGAACTGCATAATGGAATCATTCCTGTCAAATCAGCAGTTTTTCTAAAGAAACCCTTGAGTAGAACAGCGACTGATTAGAGTTCTGGGTCTTGAGAAGAGAAACCATTTCTCATTGTCGCGCATATGTTGATGAAATGGAAAGGTCAATTGATTTCGTACTACGTGATTCTTCACATCACTTGCTGAGGCACAGCTACCGTTACATGTTCTTATTTATCGACAGTCATCTTAGAAAGAAAATCCTCGTATTCAGTTTCTGTACCCTTCCTGCCGTCTAGTTGCTTCAGGGTCAATAGGCTATTGTCACCATTACCCTCCGTCTTCTTAGTAATTTCCATCAACAGAAAAATAAATAGAAAAAACACGTTTCTGCTCATCATAGTCAGTGATGGAATTCTGGGCAGTAAATCTTGAGTTTCTTTGTAAGGGCTTTGTCTGGAATCAGCGTAGGGTCTTACCTTGTTGTCTCCTTAGCAATTCCTTCCCTTGATACAATGTATTCGTTCTAATGATCTACAATTTGTGGATAGGGCATACACCTCCAAATTTTTTCATGTATATGTTAGTCACGTGTGTGGTTAATGTCACCCAATATTTTCTTTCAACTATCACAGAGTTCCACTTATGTGTTGCGCTCGTGCAGACTGATGTCCGCGAGGATTCAACATGGCAAACCTCCTTTTGAAGTTCGCATTTTAACAACTCGTTGATTTTAAACAGCGACGTGTGTTATATCGTCGCAAGGAATGGCATTTCTTCTGTGAAACTTTCTTTTTTGGAGTTGGATAACTGCGAAGGATAGGTACTGAGAATCTATTACAGTCCATGGACCAGAATTTCCTGGAAGTTTTTCGAAAGTAGAGTTGACATGTGTCAAACAGTGATGCGGAGCATTCAGCCACCCGAATCTAAACAGGCAACTACCCTGCAGGTATCATTATCTTTACTGTTTCTGCCTCTTTTCGATGAAATCAGCTACAAAATATCATTTCAATAATTTTCTTCAGCTCGTTTCGAAACTTGTTTCACTTACGAAGCTCGCTGCAGGTAGCTGTAAGATGCCGTCCGCTTACAGCCAAAGAGAGGCTGAAGAGTCGTGACATTCTTCGGGTTGTCGATGATAAGGTTAGTCATCAAATTCAACGAACACATTGCGAAACATTCCTGTTGCACGTCCTAAGTTTTCGGTGTTGCTTACTTTACTTGCTTTGTAGTAGCTCAATTATTATAATCGTTTAGCTGCCGTGAGGTAATGGATTTTTCTCATTTTCAGGTGGTAGTGGTGCTGGACCCAGACACTACCAAGGATTATCTCGATCGCGTGCAGAATCGAAGCAAAGAAAAAAAGTATACGTATGATGTTGCTTTTAGTCCAGAGGCGAAAAATGCGGTAATTCATCACCTGCGGAGTCCTTTGTTGATATACTAATTAAGTTCCCTGCTTTCATTTTAAAAAATAAATTTGATATTTTCTTGGCTTGCATTTACTTCCAAATTCTGAAGAATACCACTGGATGCGTTAGAGAATTAATTCTGCCCATACCTTAGCTTAACGCAGAATTGTCGTGCTTTATTGGCAGGATGTTTATAATGTAACGGCAAGTGGAATCGTTGAGGGGGTTGTGAGGGGTCTCAATGCAACTATTTTTGCTTATGGGGCCACAGGAAGGTGAGTCCTATTATACAAATCGCTTTCTTAGAGGTGCACGACGAGATATTTCACATAGTACTGTCCTGCTTAGCTATTTGTACCTACCAGCGTCTTGACGATTTTATTTGTTACATTGTCAGGGTGAGATTAATGAGTATTTTATAATTTTGTGGTTTTCGAGTTCTCCTATTGCTACCGATTTTCCCACAGTTTTCCCACCGAATTTTGTTGATGCCTTCTGAATAAAAAATTTATTATGTTTTTATTTCCCAACAGCGGTAAGACGCACACAATGGCGGGTACACCAGACGATCCAGGTCTTATGGTTCTGAGTTTACAGTCCATATTCGCGCTCATCTCCAAGCAGGAAGCTGAGTATGAGTTTGAGGTCACTTGCTCCTACCTTGAGGTCTACAACGAGGTATGTTAATTTCTTAGAGCGTTAATCTGGAACTTAGTTACTGTGTCTCACGTGTCAAGTGTGTTCATGTGGAGTGAATGGTTGTAGGCGCGTTTTAGTCCCACTACTCAAAAATATGTTTCATATGTTGGTTTCTGGCTCGCAGGTCATATATGACTTACTGGAAAGATCGTCCGGACACCTGGAGCTCCGTGAGGATCCCGATCAGGGCATCACTGTCGCTGGTCTTAAGCGCATAAAGGTATTTTTTTGTTGATTCGATGCGAGGTTTTCATCCATTCTGTCTTGTAATGAAGGAATTTGTTTTTGAGAAGAATGAGTTCATTAATTGCATGTCGTCTTGGCAGTCTGATGGACACAATCATTTTGCTTCGTGTTTCGAGAAAAGTATCAATATGAGGTGCTAATATTTTCTTCCCTAGTATTTTTTATCCTCTTTGATATCAGGTCAGCTCTGCGGAAAAGATTTTGGAACTCCTAACTCAAGGTAATAATCGGCGAAAAACCGAAAGCACCGATGCTAACGCCACATCATCTCGGTACGTGGTGATTAAATCTTTCTAGCGGGTGATTTTTTGTGTGACGAATATAAACAGCACATTGTAACCATGGCGCTACTCATTTGTCTAATCTACTGATGTGTTTCCACAAGCTATTCTGTGTTTGCCAGTGATTTTTACATGTTTCTCACACCATATCTGTTAAACAACTCTACCAGATCTGCTTTTTTTAAACGTATTTATCTGTATTAATCAGTTGGTTCAGCTCTGTCAGTCGATCATTTTATCAAAACTTACAAATGTGCACTTTTCGGTTCATCTCTAACGTAGAGGGTGTTCTCGGTAGGGAGCTTATTTCGGATTTGAAAGAGATAGCATTCGCTTCCCAGTGTTTTACTACATCCACGTTTAAAACTTTAAGTACAGATTTAAAGTCCTGAGGTATTGGTGAGGTCCGAGAGCTAGAGAATAGGATAATGAAATGTGACTTGTGCAAGGGTCATACCGAAGATCACCGCAAGTTCGTGAGATGAAGCAATAATTGTTCTCCTTTTTTTCCGCAGATCTCATGCTGTGTTGGAGATTATTGTCAAGAGAACCCAGCGGAATCAGTATCGAGCACAGACGCTTCGCGGGAAGCTTGCGCTGGTGGACTTGGCCGGCAGGTTGGCTGTCTTCCTCTCCGTAGAGGCCTTGGGTCCTTAAGGCAGAGCCGGAAGTCCAAGTAATGCTGTGTTCAGTAACTATGTACAACCAGATTGCAAACGATTATGTTTACAAATGGGATCTTCAAATTCCTGTGATCTTAGTTATTTTTGGATTGTTATTAAATTGCACCTCATGATCGATGAAAAAAGCATTGTGAGTGAATTGCATAGTTGTAGCTCAACGGTGTCAGATATTCTCTTACAGACCTTCCTCGATACTTTGAAGCCTCTTAAGCTATATTTTTCAGGAATAGCATGCACAGTATACTTCATTTATGCAACTGACATATTTATCTTGGTGCAGTGAAAGAGCTTCAGAGACGAATAATGCCGGACAGAAACTGAGGGACGGTGCAAATATTAACCGCTCACTTCTTGCTTTAGCTAACTGCATCAACGCCCTTGGGAAGCAACAAAAGAAAGGACTAGCTTATGTCCCGTATCGGAACAGGTACAAAATTTGCAACCCATGTTTTAGGAATCATTGGACTGCAAAGATGTAGTGCATTCGTATTACCGTATAAACATACTAATTATAGTCCCTGAGTTTGTTCCCGGTGCACTTTTAAACGTTGTTATGGGCCTGAGTCTCAAATTTCGATCTTTTGAAACTGCGGGTGTATACCCGATGCCTTTGTTAAGCAGAATTTATATCCTTGATAGGTTGTATTCATCAATTATCCGCTCGATAATTTTTGCCGAATAGCTGTCTCCTGTAAGCTCATCCTGCAATGCTTTAATGAGACAATGGATTTCATTTCTTGGCCTTTGCTACGATGAATCTTGATCTGTTTCTGTTCGAGAAGCCTGTGATGATATGCTCATTCTCACACGATTGCGTTGCAGTAAATTGACTCGACTCCTTAAAGATGGGCTTAGCGGAAATTCTCGTACAGTCATGGTGGCAACAGTTTCCTGTGGTGCTGATCAATACCACCATACAACCAACACTCTCAAATACGCGGATAGGGCGAAGGAGATCAAGACTCATATTCAGGTGTTAACTCACATGTCATGGCTCGTAGCTTTATTCACGCTGAGATCTCATGGGAGTGTAGAGAACTGGCATTGTGAGTACATCCAGGGTTCTCAACAGGCCTTGTGGATGGTATATTCACGGATATACATGTTTTTCAGGTTAATACGGGCGAGGAACTACCACCTTTGAGTCAACCTGTTAGATCTTCTGCCCCCAATATCATAGCACGTCGCGTGAGGGAGAGAGGTGGTGCCAACTTTACATCACCTCGGGGTTCGAGCTACATTGAAGTCAAGGATGCCAATGTCAGTCTTTTAAAGTCATTTTATCAACCCCCATCCCTTGTTCCAATCGTTACGTAGTAATTCCTTCGTTGTCGATGGCGCTGTTTTCTGGCAGTCTGCTATGACTAGAAAACCTTTTCAAATCAGGTATCTGAGGGGCAGTGTTTAACTGTTCGGAACCTGTCAAACAGCTCAAAAGCACGCTCAGTTTTGAAATACTTACCTTAGTTGTCATCGTTTGCAGAAAAATGTGGGAACTGTGGATGCTCATGTTGCTGACTATCAACAAATGATTGACAATCTCCAAGTAAGCTTCTTCTGGAACTCTTTGTTTGAAATGAGTTTTATCATGGCGACCGGAAATTTCAATGTCAAAATATTGAAGGATGTATCATCCGAAGGACCGATTAGGAATGGATTTATGGATTCGAATATTGTCTTGGAATGCTTTCTGTTTTAGCGAATCGTCGTAGATTTTGAACCTACGGGTAATGTCGATTTTGTTGAAGCTTTCTGCCTCTTCATGCATTGCACGCTGGAGTTTGGCGACTTCTGGCAGTTATGATTGACGTAACTGGTGTATAAACAACCAACGCAGGTGGAGGTTACACAATTGAGGATGGAGTTAGCTGACAAAGACACTCAATTGAGCACTCGTTACCCAGAGAAAGAGAAGTCGGTGGATGATGAACTCTCATGGCTGGATGAACTGAGTCATGATATCAACGAGAATGTTGAAGAGAGGATTAATCTACAGAAAGCATTATTTGAACTGGAGGATATGAACCTTCAAAATCGAGCAGAGCTTCAACAACTTGATGATGTCATTGCCGATCCGGTACTTCTTTGTTGATATTCAAATGTGGTTTAAAGCTGATTTGTTTCTAGCACCTATGTTTATATGGCGGAATCGTATTAAAGTTCTGCACACTTGTTTCACACCACCTTATTTATTCGTTGTTGACTATAAATGCAGATCTTGCAGTTTCCTTCATTGAAGTTCTTGTTGTTTCCGTCGATATTTGCAGAGTTTACGTAGGAACGGAGAGAAGCACGAGATACTTGTGGAGAGGCGACAAATCGTGCTGGACAACATTCGAGACAATGATGAAGCTGGCGCACATTATCGTGAGGCATGTATATTGCTGTTTCTATTAGCTCTGTGCTCTTATATTCATTATCACGCTTTTTGAGTTATTTCTTACCTCCATTTGACAGAGTATATTTTCTTTAAATTGGTGCATTGCCACAACATAATCAATGTTGGATTTTTATGTTGATCGGAACGGGAGATAATCGTAGAATTTGCTCCAATATTAGGAAATTGAACACAATGAGGCTCAACGTAAGGAACTTCAACGGCGCATTGACGAGGCGATTGATAGCGATCGAAACAAGACCTTTTTGCGCATCCTTACCCAATACAGACTTCTGGTACGTATTTTGTGGATATCAGAGAGATTGCATTAGCGTCGGAAACCTTGTTTGCTGACATGTTGTTCTTAGTCGATATAATTTTTTAACTTCAAAGAAATTGTTGCATTACTGTTTGCAGCAACCTCGTGTTGAAATATCACATATGTTGATCTAATCTGTTCTTCCTTCTGTGTTGTATTGTGTTTATACAGGGCATGACAAACATGGAACTTCAGTTTCAAATGGCTATTAGAGATCAGATAATACACGATCAACGAGAAGCTTTGAGCAATCTGTGGTTGGTTCTTGAATGCTCAGGACTGAATCATGATCAGATATTGGAAATAGCAGCACAGCAAGGTATTATGATTGAGGAGGGAATTATGCCTGTAGTGGCTGGCAGAACTCACATACCGTCCACGCCTATTCCCATCTTGCATAAGCAACCAATTCTTAGTGCTATCTCGGGAAGCAAATCTCCTGCTTTACTTCCATTTCAGAATAGTGTGGATACCACATTCCATGAAATTGATAAGTTTCAAAATCAGCGCAGGCATGATAATGCAGAGACTAGAAGTTCATTATCGATCCCTGCTGACAACTTTAAGAGTACTTCAGAAACCAATGGAGGGCATTTAGAGGTCCCTGATAGTCACCTTGGTAGTCATGCTACTACTATGTATAGAGACTCTGCCGATATGTCTAGATTTGAAGAAGGTAGCTTAGGTCACCCCAATGGAGATGTCATCAGATCATTCTCTTCCAAGAATCACTGTGGGCCTAGACCTCTAATCGGTAATAATGATAATTTGGGAACCCTCAATAGCACTAGTCAAGAACGTTCTCTTTTAGAGGACGCAAATGGTGGTATAACGTCATTTGACTTCATGGGACCCAAAGTTTTGACTCACTTTAGGTCTAGAAGGAGGCCGCGTTCAGTTGAAGGCAGGCATCAACGTCATTTGGCCCGTGAGGGTTACGACACCACAACTAGTAGTGAAGGAAGTGAAGCTGATACTTTAAACAGCAGCCCCCACGATTCTCAAGCCGGGCCCCGTGTCGATAGAGTGAAGGAAGGTGCTCAACAGTCATTGGATCAGGAGTCTCTTTGGGTGGTAAGTACTCTTGCCTTGACAATCATCATCATTGACTTGGCTTGTTTCAGTTTTTGGTATCCAATCAGCCAGTCTGACGTTGACGTGTACGATTCTCGTATCTAGTCTTGTTAAGCTCAGTTTTTGGGTGGTTAAGGACATCACACTGATCGAAAATTGTGCTACGCAGGAATTTGAGCGGCTAGATAGTGAACTTCAGGGAATGAAGCGAGGAGTTGGATCGACCTCACCTTTTGAAACTATACTAGGACCTAGTCATTCACAGAGATCCACATCAGATGCCGCTGTTAGTAACGATGCCCCACTTATAGGATCTAGAGGCATTGCCGCGGTGCCTGTTTCCAACTCCTCTAAATCTTCTTTCAACAGTTGCTCGTCTCCCCTTCAATTGCGTTCGAAGACCTCAGCTATGATCAGTAGTGATAGTCGACATAGTCAATCACAAAACTACAATCTGAGCTGGCGATCTTCTAACGCTGGATCAACTGACGATGTTGGTCTGCAAGAGGTAGATATGACGAAATTGACTGGATCTGATTTGAGCGACCATAGCTCAGTGGTTAGCCGAAGATCAACGGCTAGTACCAGGAGGAAACCCAGGTTTGGTTCTCTATTTGGAACAAGACAAACGCAGCCGAGAGCTGTAGTGGATTGGAAATAACAGGGTTATCGGTATCTTTGAATCTTAATTTCTAAAAAGTTCAAAAAAATATTTTTGTAGTATTCTCTTCTGTCCTTTTGCATGCACCAGTATTGCATAGTTTACTAATGCTTAAACGATAGTATGGATTTTGAAATTTGTACGGGTGCTCACTCCCAACGTCTGCGAACACGGCGTCACAAAGAAGCTTGTAACAGCCACACTTACGTCATGCAAAGAACAGCCCTTGAAACTGAAAGGACAAGTAATTCTGCACACACCACACAACTCTGCAAATCATATGCAAAAACTGTGCACAATAGATGAAGATCAACAAATAATATATTTCATTACGCACCAATAATGGTTAGAAATGTTCGAAGAGGATGCTTATAATGTAAACTGATCTGTGTTGGGGAGAAGCAGTGCGATGATTCCAGAATTTTTTTCCCACTTTTCAACATTCGTTACGAAGACGGGCGCTTGTGACCCAGAACGAGCTTTTATACTCTACTGCGTTTAGTCCACATGCCGGAAGTGCAACACTTGGTCAGCCACGACGAGAAACAGATGCATGTAGATGTAGGTCAGCACTCCGAAATTGCACTTGATTGAGTGTTAACTCACGAGATGGAAGCAGGAGGATGCGCATCTTCGACAGCGTGCTTATGCAGCTGGAGATAATGATCGATTGGAGTGGCGTCCCAACTCATATCCTCGCGCATCACCTTCTGCTCAGGGGTTTTCCACCACGGTGGCTGTTCTTTAAAATACCAAAATGTCCGATCCGAAGTACTCGCAAATGCCTGCAACGGGCAACCGCTTGAACGTGTTGAGCATGGAGAGGTGCAAGTTGGAATGTAGAGTTGAGTGTCATTCAACGCATCCAAAAGAACTTTTCCAAATGGCTTTGACTGAAACAAAAATCACGCAAACGCTCAGTTGGTTCACTTCGCTTCTCCTTGGCCACATACTAATGGTGGATTTGCCTTCCTCTAAGCGCGTGTCACCTGTTGAATTGCATTTCCAAGCGGGTGGGGGGAGTTTAATGGGTGGACTTGCATTTCTGGCTAAGCAATTTGCCCGGCTCCGAGCTCTTCTGCGTATAAATGTTACAGAAGCATATGTTGCAATTCTATTGCACCCCATCGAGTTCATCTCCATCCTGAGATGGGTACTTCCACAAAGATTCTTCCCACCTCAGAGTGTCCTCATGTATCCTGAAAGGCTGGTAGACATGGATAGTTCAACACTCAATTTTATATTCTATGTGAAATTATATGACAGCCACTGGTGGATAAAGGTAGTAAATCAACTCAAGTGCAACATCTGTGTAGTGGCGCAGGCATGTAATTCTGTAGCCTCCTCTTGTGGTTTAGGTATTGACTCCTGCAAGTATGTACCTCATTGGTAGAAACAAGTATCCACTTGGCATGTATCCGCTACAATATTATGTCTCAAATGATCTCTTTGTGGCTTGCTGGTGGGCCTCAAATATGAGCACATTTTCAAGTGCAGGAGTACTGTTTGTTGCCTCTGAAAATTGTGTTGGACTGTCTAAATGGTGTCCATACTGATGCTGGTAAAAAGTTGGGGTGTGAAAGAAAGTAAAGAAGTCACGTTCAAATCAAAGAATTATTATTCAGGATAATACTTAACAAACATTCATTCCTTACAGCTTCTACAGCTTCTCAGATATACCCAATACAAACTGCTGATTCAATATCCATGACAGTTTTTATTCAGTTGAGGAAGCTGAAGCATTAATCTTAAGGTGACCTGCACAGCTTTGGATACGTTTCAGGCTTGGGATAGAGAGTACAAACACTTCATTTTGATGGAGAAATGAGATTGTTCTTCAAACATCACTTCATGGATTTTCCAAATTAACACAATCCACTTGACTGGGAATGATAGTCTTGCGGTTCTGTAGAATGTTCGTGGCCTTTACTGAACAAAATAAGGAGAAAATTAGAACCCAGAAGACAAACGGCCATCGTAGAACGTCAAATAAATGGACATTAGTTTAAGTACCAATATTGAAGTTATATTCCACCCCCGTGCCAAGCTCTGAAACACGTGCGGTAGAGTATGTCATGGTCTTCTACAGGTTGGCAACTCAAAATTGAAGGCATTAGGGAACTAAAATTAAATACATTATTAGGGAAAATAGAATTATGAATTTGCTACACTAAGATTTCAACAGCATGGATATAATTCTATCATTTTAATGCTATATAGAAGGGAAACACAGGTGCTTAGAACCCAAAAATCAATCTAAAGCGCCAATAGTATCTGCAGTACGCACCACCTAAATACCCACACAAAGAAAAGATTGTGATGCAATAAAACATGTGATTTTTCCTTTTCATGGTGAGGGACTCTTCAGGTCATCTTTCGGCATCCCACGACCCCAAAGGCGTTGAGATTTCGACCGAGAGAACCCTAGGACCCAACACATGTTTCTCGAAATTTCATTTCACAAATCTTCGAGTGTTATAAGTTCAAAAATAAGAACTTTATTACATGCCCAACAATTCTAATGTCAGAGTGGATAGACCATTTCATCACAACTCCACAACAGATCCACAACAGATGCATCGGAATCGATGAAAACTAATCCAATGTACCGATGCCCTGATGATTTAAGGCTGTTAAGCGTGAGATAGTTCTGAAAAACCAGGACAAAGCACCTTGTCAATGGTCCTGCAAGGACATTATGACATCAGGACATCGGACATCAGGACACAACTACAATGCTGCATTGAGTTTGTCAACATCAGAACCTCCATCAGTGCTATTCTGTTGATTCCAAAGTTGAGCGTATCGACCATTCAACCCAAGTAACACCTCATGGCTGCCTCGCTCCACAACACGACCCTCTTCCAAAACGACAATCTGCAGCAACGAAAATCGATCGAGGCAAGTGAATCACAACAAACCAAGTACACCAGCATCTTAGCATTCAACGACTAAAACCCAATGAGGATCAGACTCCGCAAAATAGCACACTTGAACTAAACTTTCTACTCTTCTACTTAGTTCCTGGCATGCAAATTTTCACCTCATCACACTGCATTGCTGTTGTTAATCGATGGGCGATAAAGATAGAAGTTCGGTCATTGGCTAACGATCGCAGCGCAGTCAAGATCTCTCCCTCAGTTGAACTGTCAAGTGCACTTGTTGCCTCATCACAAAGCCTTCCATACACCACAGTATAAGACGTTAATATATAAGAAAGAACAAAAAAATTACTCGGATCTAAAAGGTTCACGGTTCTGTCTTGAGGGGCATTCTAGTCACCAGCTTTAGTGCAGCTAATAGGTAGGCTGCAGGAATACCAAAAACACTATGCTACTTTTATTTTCAGAACCTCACCGTTAAACTCATCACATCTCTCATGTAGTTACTACACAATATGAGAAAGCCGAGAAATGCTCAGAGAGAACTCACAATAAAGGTGATGCTTTTAGAAAAGCTCGAGCTAGAGCAACACGCTGTTTTTCCCCTCCACTCAGCTGCAGGTATGTGCCCAGATATAGTGCATTAGTTTTCCAATCAGAACTTTCTAATGGAGATTCAAAGGCCATATACAATCCATTTCCTATAGGTGGGAAAGCTGGAAGCAAAAAAAAAAAGGAAAAAAAAAAACGACGTAGATAAACACCAACCCATCATCTTTCCAAATCTACAGGAGCTATTAAATTACATTGTGAAGATGCTAATAGACAAAGACATGATCAGCACATTCACATACAGCTCCTTATGCACAATTGTGTTTCAAAATATTCTTCATACTTAAGTTGGAGGCAAACAAATTTTCAAAAACAGCTCCATAAACAGGCATCTGAACTTGTGGTTCGAGATAAAAGTACCTTAAGGCCACGTTCTCCAACTTTGGTTTCATATTGATCCGGAAACCTCATTATAACATCATGAATTGCTGCCTGCCTCGCTGCCTCAATCACCTGCGCCAACAATAGCAGAAGCTCAGTCAGTGTACAAATAAGACTCGTACATCTTTACACAGAGCAACTTGCAGGAAGTACTATGCTTGTAAAAGAGACGAAAATAACCTCTTCTCTGGAAGCTGTCATTCGGCCGTAGTGGATATTATAGAAAATAGTATCGTTGAACAAAACCTGTAGGAGTAGCAGTTCCAGAAAAAATTATCTTGTAAAAAGGGACGGTAACCACTATATGATAAGGTTTCACCTAAATATAAACTATAAATTATTGAATACACTAATAGAAGAGCACAAACCAGAAAAATCAACAATTAACAAAATGGGCATATCAATCAAACAATCAATCACCAAAATTTAATTTGGATAAGATCCCACACGCCCGTAACAAAGGCGTAACATACCGTATCTTGGGGGACAACACCAATACATTTGCGTAGACTGTCAAGGGTCACATCACGCACATCCTGACCATCCACTTTGACCTACAAGTGGTCAAATTCCACAGTTCATACTGTCAAAATATGTCTAAGCAACACGCTCCAAGCAAAGAAGGACTCGTTTCATTGTATGTAATATTGACAAAGTTATTGCGATCAATTATATTCATAACAAACCAGAAGTATTACCAATTGTTAAAGACCTTACAATTACAGTAAAAATTGAAAATTGAGTTGGATAACAAAAAACTTACTGAACCAGAATCAGCGTCGAAAAATCTGTACAGCAACCTCAAAATTGTAGATTTACCTGCCCAACTCCCAGGAAAAACATGAACAACCAGAACAAATCAGCTCTTTCTATCAATAAGGCAATCGACCCATCCGAGGAAACATACTTTCGATGTAGAAAAATTGATGAACTACTTATGACAAGAAAATCTAATCAGATTGTATGCAAAATCAATTTTATAAGATACACCAAAAATAATCCACGTGTTTATAACTTGTTAAGAACTGTTACCACTCCCACTCGTGCCGACGATAGCCACGCTCTTTCCAGCAGGAACATCAAACGATATTCCATTCAAAATGGTTCTATCCGTGAGATACCTGTTAAACAGGAGGAAAACATTACTCAAGGACTTCAATTTTTGATATTTTACTTCCAAGAGTTTGCCGACAAAGTGAAGTTTGCCTGAAAAGTAAATTACATTCACATCCAGATCCATCTGGATAGATCATGAAACTGATTTGCGCTACAATGAAAAAGCAAAGAGGTTATCAGCTTCAATTCAGATTAAAACTAAAATCATGACTGCTCAGACAAGAACATGTGCACAAAAGGATTAAGCGATCTTCAAAGAACTAATATGATAGTGAGCTGCTATGATTATTCCCCTTAACTTTATTAGCTGCCAATGTGACAGAATTGAGAGCGTTATAATTTGCTTATGGATAAAACCAACGCCAACTAAATTCCTCAAGCATGACTTGATCTAATCAGGTACCAGCAGAAAGTGAAAAGACGCACCCAAAATGAACATTATCAAAGGAGATGCTGCCACCTTTCAATTGCAGAGGCTTTGCATGTGGTCCATCTGCCACACTAGCCTTCACCTGCTCAACGAACGCAAAGATCTTAGTTCACCCTCTATGCAAAAGACATCCCTAATTGAAATGAGTACATCTGCACAGCTGCTCCTCTTACATTGCCTTAAAAACACCACCCCGAGGATATCAATAATATCAGCTCTAAAGGATCAGATCATACCTCAAGCAAAGAGAACATGGAGTGCATGTCTATCAAGCTCTGTCGTGTCTCCCTGTATACTGTTCCCAAGAAATTTAGAGGTAGAGACAACTGAAACAGCAAACCATTCACCATCACCTGTAACAGGAAGCAATAATCGCATCCATTCAATTAATAAACGAGCAATGTAAAGGGAGTGACAGGACCCCAGCCGAACAAGTGGAACAGCGACATTAGAAAAACGCGTAGGACAATTTTCTTGTCCCCTATTCTACATACATAATAATATTCAAAGTGAGAGGGTAGGAATTTGTTTGGGAAACCTACACAACACCAATAGGTTGACAGGGAAGACACAACCATCTTTACCAGCCAGATAGATGATGTAGCAAAAGAACAACAAACCTTGAACCGTACCTCTAAAAACCAGGTCATGAGTGTAATGATGTCATACCAGGTCTCCTATGCTCATTGTTCCATCGAGAATGCCCCGACTACACATGATCATAGCAGTAGACAAAGCGGCGCTAAAGATTACATTCTGTCCAAAATTTAATGATGACAAACTTGTTTGTGTCTTCAAGGCTGCACCTTCGTACTCTGAAAAAAGAGGAACTGGATGCTGTGATCAACCATTCAATGACCGAAATCTGTAGCGATGATAGTACAGAAGGTTCTACAGCGTCAAATATTCAATAAAATTATGCATACGTATAGTAGGCTTCTGTACAAGTAGTACAGAGGTTTGATACGTGATGTATACTCAGTGCAATTAATTCATTGAAATGTATACCCTAAGAACACCAAGCGAACACAAATAATAAGATAGAATTCTTTGTCAAATCAAACCACACAAGGGACATTACTTACTCTTAAGAAATTCGTCATATCTTTTTGCTTCATGTTCCTCGTTGTTGAAATACTTCACAGTCTAAAACCACAAAAAGACTTCTTATAACACTGCTATGAAGACCTGGAACAACAGAATGTACTTGCATCTACCTTATAATGCAACCCTGAACTACAAAACGGTCGCAAGATTGAACACCAAATTCTTGTAGTTAACAAGAAAATAATACATTACATTCAATTAGAACGACACAACTTCATAAGAACATGAAGATCGCTTCTAAGGATACTCAAATAAAGAAGCAAAACTTGAATGTAGAGAAAATTCACCTCATAGTTAATGAGAGAGTCTGTCGCACGTGAACTAGCTGCATTGTCAGCTTTATTCATGTCCTGCCTGAATTTGGTCCGCCACTGCAGCCACAACAATTAATAATAAGATGCGCTCATGAAACACATAGAGGAACTGGGACTCGTTCTCAACTTGCTTGCAAATTCACATGCAGTGTCCAACCACTTGGCATCAAAATAACGATATCTAGTGCCATTTCAAATCAAATCAAATGTACATTTATGCTAAAATCAGAGACTAGATAACCACTCACCTGCATTCAACATGAACTTGGTACATGACGGCAAGAAAAAGATGCACGAAAAACATACCTGTGTCACAGTCAATGTAAAAAGAGTGTAAGCAGCCACAGTGAGGGAGGTGATCCACGCAAATGGAGCTCCGAATTTGTAGGCTAGTATCCCAGCTACCATCGATATCTGCAACAGAATGCGGTATGTAAGCTAAGAAATTCGACGCTGCGCCAGAACAAAACAGGAGATTTACGGAAATCTATGCTTTCTAATAATGCCATTACTCTTAATCATCACTATAGAATGACATATCTGCATATCAAACATCAATTAGTAAAAATATTGTGTTCTTACAAAGATAGCACTTAACAGCAAGGCAGAATTGTCTTGTATACCTCTAAAAGTGTTGGAACCACATTGAACACCATAGATGAAAGAATAAAGTTGATAGCTCGAGTGCCTCTATCAATAATGCGATTGAGAGAACCTGTCTGTCGACTGCATGAAACAAAAAGCGAGACATATTATCAGCATTTTAAAAAAATTAAATGAAATTAAAATTAAAAAAAGGATCAAAGCAACAACATTGTAAATTATGACTTTCTATGAAGAATAATTCCATTCACCACAAGATCATGGCACCTGCAGCCTGATCAAAACGAAAAAGCCTTAGTTCTGAAAGTACCTCAAGTGATAACTCAAATCCAGGTGGTGAAGATGCATGAAGACCTGTTTTCAAAAACACTTTCACCTACTTCAGATCACGGAGTATACAGTCGAAATATGATTCTAAAACGGCTGTTACAGACCGTCTTCTAAAGCGACAGCACCAAAACTTGCATGGTCAATGTGCTAATCATGCAGTAGCAACACAAGTTTTCGAACATCAAAAACTACTCGAGAGATGTTCACCTTGCGGGCCACATTGCGTATTGTGCCTTGTGCGACCTTGGCAAACACCGCATTGCGCAGCTCTGATTCCAACACATAACGTCAAATAACGCGGGCGTAACAAACGTCTAGACCTGAGAGCCACCAACACATGGCAGATTCTCTTGTAACTTAAACTTGGAAACGTGAGAATCGATGAAAAAGCAACGCATTGTATTGCCCGAAGTGTGACTGATAAAGAAACGAACAGATAATCACTTCAAATTTCAACCGCTGGTATTCCTTGACTTGCAATTCTTTGTTTTGATGCTTTTATTATCCAAGCCTAGACAATTTCAATGAACGTGCAAAGAGCAGTTTACTTTAGTATGGTCTCTCACCGTTGCATGCTGAAGCACCAGCTCGAGCAATACCGTAACCAAGGAGAACCGATGTCGGTGTAGCAAACATCAAAGCTGTCGACGTTGTTGCAGCTGATGCTGCAGCAGTTGCTCCAGTTGCTCCAGCAGCAGCAGATAAAGCATCAACGGCATACTTGAACATGAAGGGGACTTGCACATTTAGCACCTGCAGAGCAGGCAACACGTACTCTTTCTTATCACAAGCACTTCCTATCGTCCATCACACCCTTCCAAATTCCTGATCGCGAAACAATTACCTAGCAATGCATTAGTGAAAAAAAAGTATCGTACCTTCGAAGCAACAAGGAGACTCAAAGCAAGAGTAACCCTCCTACGAAATTCAGGGTTGTCCTTGGGCCATAAGTATGCAGCCAGAGATTTCAAAATTCTAGCATCAGCCACAACTGCCTCTGCATCTTCCTTCACTGACATGTCATTTTTATTATTCTTGGGAGGCTGACTCTTTCCAGCATCAACAAGAGATGACAACCCACGTAAGTTTAGTGTTGGTTTTGTCGAAGACCCAACAGTGTGCTGAGCAGCTCTGGTATGCAAATATCTTGTGAAATTTTCGTCCTGACAAAAATAAACCCTTCAGTAAATTGATCTACTTGCAGGAAACCTAACTTTACAGAAAAGTAACAAAATCCCAGTCAAAAGATGAAAAAGAATATAGGAAAAGAAACTCACTGCACCATGCTTGTTTAATAAATCTGTTACAGAAACGCCCCGAAATCCTATTTCACCTGAACAACGCCAACGATGATTTCTAAGAAACCATGTAACAACATGTCTGTAAATTCGTCGTAAATGATAAGAGTTGGAGCGAAATCACAGTTCTTCCGTGACTTAAGCCACGACACTATGATCATTAACATCACAACGCCACTCAACTACGTAACTTACCGCAAGCTTCGACAGTAAAATTACGATCTTTCCCGTGCCATCTCCACTGATCTCCAGTCACATTTTCCGACGCTGTGTCGATACCACTCTGTTGGACCCAAAGATTAGACCGTCAACACTATGCATAAAATTTTCGAAGAATGCCACAAATTGAGGTCCTGAGTAACGTATGCCATCATCAGATCAGCAATTTCGAAGTACAGTTGGAGAATCGAATCTAGGTGTGCAAAAATAATTAGAAGCTGATCTTATTTCCTTTTTTTTTTCTTTTTCTTCTTCTTTCCTGACAACACAGGCAGGATCGAGTCCATGTAGAAGAGTGTGCATGGTAAGTTAAGTCGCACACACTACTTGTCAGCATAAAACTCAAGGCTGGCCTTGCAAATTAGGTCATGATTGCATTACACCCTTCTAATAGCCTTGCTGGAGTTGTAGTTTTTCCAAAGAAAAAACATGAGCGCCAATTCTGAGAAGAATGCAATTTACGATACTAATGCAAATTTCGAAAACTCAAATTCTAAGCATCCCTGTGAATTTTCGACAGACTGATTCCATGAAAATATCAGAGCAATGATCGAATACACGGAGCGACTACAGTATCTTGTGCTGTGTAAGAAAAGACGAAAATTACCCTAGGCAAGACTGCGAGCAGAGGCGATCCACGATTTTCCGCGCAAGGAAGCGACCTGCTCGCCTGCACCGCCTTCCTCACCACCCGCCTCAGCATCTCTGCCGCACCCGAGCTCCGACGTATGAGGGAGGAACGCATCCGAAATCCTTCCTTGCTAGACTTGTCCAACGCTTGCACTCAAGCAGCCTTCAACTCACCTTTCCATACTAATATTACATATAGTTTGATTTTTAGCTCACGAACACGCACTCCATCGAAGCACTCTTCCCCAACCTTAATGCCAACACTTCCTACAGCATAACATGTTCCTGATGACGCAATCGCAGGCCTTAATTTCCAACAAGAGGTACGCCAACGCAGAACACGCCACCAATTTTCTATCCCTCGGTAACTCAACGCAGGCCCAACAAACAAACTCGCATAACCACGGAAAACGACGCCGTGCGCATTAACCTTCGCACAGCATTCCACAAATCAATACTCTGTAGAAAGATCTTCGAGAACCGATCACGGAAAGGCATGGAAAGGGTTGCGATTAGGAAAGCAGCAAACGCCGCAATGCCGCAAACAGTGAAGATCCCTACGCCATAGCTGCACCGAGAAGGCAACACAACTGGAAGAAGACAGCTCCCTCGCTTGTGGATGAATGTATGTATGGTATGGATGAATAAGTTTATTGGATGAAAAACGATTCCATGGATGACGGCTTGTTTTGCATGGGCTCCTCCCTCAGCTATTTGACTTGTTTACGGAGCCTCTGAAATCTTTCCATAGCTGGAAAGATTTATTTTAAGGCTCTTTCGAAATGACTACTGTGAATAATATATTAAGTCCGTATGGTCCAGCATTCCGGTTTCTTTCCAGCGGGTGTATCTTTATTTATAACATGAAGTGTGAGTTTTTGTTGTGATTTATGGCATGAATTAACTAATGAATTATTCTTTTTTAGTATTGCATTTGAGTGCCAGTTGTGCAATGAATTACGTATTTTTTTCACATTGTGATGGTGTCATTATATTGAGATTGCTTCTAAATTACATATGTCCACAATCTAAGAAATTTCTGATATTTACATACAAACTTAATAAGGTAACAGAATTTACCTCAAGTGTAATTTGTAGGATCTTTAGAAACGTGTAGAATATTTAAGTTTCTTTTAGTTGTTGAAAAAATAAACAAAATGTTTGACAAAATTAATTTAAGTAAAAGTATATATCCACAAATACATGTAAATATATGAAATAAATAGGTAGTAGAAATGTTAATAGAAATATAAAAGTGATAACATTGATAGTATAAATATTTTTTATATAATATTTTGTAGAGATTTCATTTTTTAAAATTTGTATCATTATTTAATTTATAATATATATATAAATATATATGTTATTTATGTAATTAAATATTATATTTTATATATATTAAAATAAATATTTTATAATATAATTTCATAATATTATCTTAAAAAAAAACTTTAATGTTCTACAAACAACAATATTATATATATATACATAAATATAAAAATTAAAGTATATGATTTTTATTATTGTATTTTAATAATATATTATAATTTATTTATTTATTTATTTTTCTTTCTCTAACAACATTTGTAATATATTGTCATAGACATACACATGTAAGCTAGTAATTACCTGTACAAATAGGTAGAAGTAAGTAAAAGTAGGCAAAAGTAAGTTAATTCTATAATAACTTCTATAAAAGCTTCCTAAAAGCTTTATAAATGATGCTTTGACTTTATAGATGTCTATAATTGACTTTTAGAATTAGAAACGTGGTCAACAAGTTGGCCATGTGCCACACATGTTGTTAGTTTGAAGACCAAGCTAACTATGTAGCTCGCATGTAAAAAACCTTGCCTTGTAAGACAAGGCATGTGTCCTACAAAGTCAACACATATTGGAAGTCCTACAGAACATTGCCACATAGCCCCTAGTTAGATAGTATATATAGAGATAAGAGTGAAGCCCTCTTCACTCTTATTAATTCCTTTCTTGCTTCTAGTTTAGTTTCAAGAGTCTCAAGTTTCCTTGTCTTTTGGCAATAAGCTATTCTAGTTTCTTTTTAATATATGTACTTCCTTATTTCTATTTTGTTACTCTTTCTTTGACATGGATTTCATTGGTTTATGCATCATCTTTTATTTCATGTTCTTGACAGATTGACAAGAATACACTTACAATATCAGAGCTTTGTCTTGTCTTGATTAAGAATGGATTATCTCTTTCTCATGATAAGACATAACCATATTAGAAGATGTGGATTACCTTCTTCTAGACTAATATTGTTCTTATTATTTTCTTTATCCTTAAGTTCTTTCTTCTACTTGTCATGAGTGGTATTAGATATTTTTTTGAATGTTATTATAGCAAAGTTTGTTGAAATGAAGAGTGCAATGGCACAAATGCAAGAGCAATTGGGGAAATTGATGCTTACGATGCATCAACTTAGCTTACCACTATAAAGATCAACAAGAATGGCAAGAAGTGAAGATACAAAGATGATTAGAGCAACTTCAACATCTGCACCAAATCATGTCCCTTCACCCATGGTGGAACATCCTTCAAGTATTAGAAAACCAAGAATTGCTTTGCCTAAGAAGTTTGATGGTACAAGATCTAAATTTTGATAATTTATTAATTAAGTACAACTTGTGATTGAACTTCAACCTCAAAGCTATCCAGTTCCAGAATCACAAGTTAGATTCATTGATATACTTCTTTTAGGTTCGGCACTATCATGGTTTTTATCTTTTCTTGAAGGACAAGATTCAATATTGAATAATCTGGAGGCATTTTTGGCAGAAATCTAGTCCATGTATGGAGACACATGATGCAACTCATGTTGTATCCAATAAGATCTGTATTTTGTGACAAGAAAATCGATTTGTAACATTATATGCTTTTTAGTTTTGACAACTTGCAATTGATATTGAGTGGAATGATGCTGCATTTAGTAGCCAATTTTTCTATGGATTATAATATGAAATAAATAAATTGATGCTCAACTTACTTGATCTTCAAACATTGAGTCAAGAAATTGACTTTGTTGTGAAATGTGATAATCAACTTTTTGAATTTTGATCTGTGAGCTGCATAAATAGGCCTTAACGTTACTACAATTTGATAGCAACATCAATATCTCCTCAACACATACATTCAAAAGTAGATGATATGCAAATTAATGTACTACATTTTAAACCTCTTATCGACCAAGAAAAGACTTGTTGCCATCAAAAAGGACTGTGCTTATATTATGGAGAATCTAAACACACTGCTCAATATTCTCTAAAGAAGTTACAAAATCACAAAATGAGGAGCATATCTGTCAAAGAAGACAATGTGTCAAAAAACAAATTTGTCTAGCTATAATAGAAACTATGTGGCTGAAATCTTGTACAATTTCTAATGAAGGTCCTATCCTTTGCTCAAAACCTTCTCTTTATTTTATAATAGATGTGTATTTAGGACCTAATAATTATAAAGCCTTCGCCTTGATAGATTTAGGAGCCTTAGCTTGTTTCTTAGACATAGAATTTGTTGAAAGTCATAAAATACCATTAATACAAAAAATCAAACTTGTTCATGTAGAAGTCATAGATGGTTTTCCATTTTCTTTTAGAAATGTTACTCATAAAACACTACTTATAGATGTAGTAATAAATGGTCATAGTAGTTGCGTAATCTTTAATATAATTAGATCTTCATCTAATCTAGTCATTTTAGATTTATCATGATTTGAAAAGTATGATCCTTGTATAGATTGGATTTCTCATATCCTTGACTTTTTTAAAAGTATAATTAAGAGTAAAATTAATCTAGTAAAAAGATATAAGTCTAGTGCAATTAAACTTATGTTGGTAGGTACAAGAGCTTTCTTGCATGCTGCAGAAGAAGAATCATCTTGTGTGACTTATACCACATCTATTTCTATTGATGCAAAGACTTCAAGTGACATTCTTAGGCAATATTAAGAATTTTAAGATGTATTTGAGAAGAAGAATGTGGATACTCTTCCAGAACATTATTCCTATGACTTCTCAATTGACCTTCAAGAAGGAGTACAACTGCCATTTGGACCAATCTATAATTTATTACAAAATAGATTGATTGAATTTAAGGAATATATTGAAGAAAATCTGGCTAAGAATTTCATATGCCATTTCAAATCACCAGAAAGAGCTCCAATCCTATTTGTGAAGAAGAAAGATGGATCATTGCGGATCTGTTTTGATTATCGAGGATTCAATAAGATCACCATCAAGAATAGGTACCTTCTACCTTTGATATCCACACTTTTTGATCAACTGAATCAAGCTAAGATCTATATAAATTAGATCTATGGAGATCATACAATCTAGTGCATATTAAAGAAGGAGATGAATGGAAGATTGTGTTTAAACAAGGTATGGTTTAAAAGTAAGTTAATTCTATAGTATTTGGTATAGAAGCTTTGTAGAAGCTTTATAGATGCTACTTTGACTTTATAGGTGTCTTTAATTGACTTTTTGGGATTAAAAACGTGGTCAACAAGTTGGCCATGTGCCACACATGTTGTTAACTTAAAGACCAAGCTAACTATGTGACCGACACTGTCGTAATACGTAAAGTCTTGCTTGAGAATGCTGCGGACACTTGACTGTGGAAGGAAGAATAGAAATTGTAGTAACAAAATCCTAATTCTAATAGAATACTAACAATGCTCTAATTAAATCATAATAATGCTAAGCAAGCTTAATCAAATTTAAAAAAAACTCAAATAAATTTTAAACAAATAATAAGAATTCTTAAAGAAATATTAGAAAGATCACAAATATCACTCAAATATATCTCAATTCAATCTTAATTTAATTCTAGTTAAAATCCTATTGAACTTCATTCAAACTTTAGGCCAAAACTAATTGAATCTTAGATTTTAATAAAATCCTAAACCCTTAATCAGACCCTAAACAAACCTTAAATCAAACCACAACCAAATCCTAAACCAAATCCTAATCAAATCCTAATCCAAATTCTAAATCCTAAACCAAACCTTAATCCAAATCCTAAATCTTAAATCAAACCCTAACTAAATCCTAAACCCTAAATCAAATCCTAATCAAATCTTAAATCCTAAATAAAATCCTAACCACATCCTAAATTCTAAATCCTAAATTAAATCCTAATCAAACCCTAACCAAACTCTAAATCCTAAATCTTAAATCAAACCTTAACCAAACTCTAAATCTTAAATAAAACCCTAACCAAATCCTAATCCAAATCCTAAATCCTAAACCCTAAATCAAACCCTAATCCAAACCCTAAATCCTAAACCAAATCCTAACCAAATCCTAAACCAAACCCTAATAATTCCTACAATAGATTTAAACTTCAATAACTAATGAATAAACCAATGATCTTAACTCAAATTTTTCACACTTTTAAAAAAATAAGTTAAAAATAAGTACAAAAAAAATTAAAAAGGATCGGAGTTACCAAATTGATGATAGCTTCAAAAATGTGCTCGGATATTGGCCGGCCTCCTTCTCCAATCTTAATGCCAATCTTCCAAAGCCGATATCTCTCCTTTGCATTGTTCGATTGATTTCAAAAT